GAAACTTTATTTGCTGGAAATTCGTCCAAGTCAACTTCAGGCTCGGGAGGATGTTGCAACCGGGCGATGAGGAAGAAGAGAAGCGGCGGGAGCTCATGCATTTTGTAATTTTTATCAGCCTGAAAAACGAACAGTAAAGGAAAAGGTCGCACCGACCGATTTGTCTAGCGTAATTGCCTTCGTATTCCTTGGTTCCTCAACACCCTACATGCCTAAAAGCAACCATTGAGATACACCACAGGTGAACAACGTCGTGCGGGCAAGCTTGTCATTTAGGGTAAACACGCACCCTCCGACCTGCCATTACCCTCTGTACAAGTTTGAACGCCTTTATCTATCGTGGCCCTCGTATAAGAAAAGGGCTTGCTCAAGTATTTGGGAAGGTTGATACTGTCATGACATCCTAAAAGATCACAAACCTCCAAAAGACATATCTTTAAGATTGGAAAAGATGCACACTTTCTTTAATGGTACATCATTATTCACAGGCCAGCCTATCTACCCTTTGCATATCTCAGCCATAATTTCTGTTACTGAAGAAAAGCACGGGAAGTTAGTCCACCTCCTGGAAAGCACATTATCCGAGTTTGAATTGTCTATGTAATTGAATGTGCAATCCGAGTTTTGTAAACTTTTTATTAATGTCTTAGACGACATTAATAAAAAGAAATTGTTTCTTTGTCTTTAAAATAGTAATGTGTTTTTAATGTGATCAATGGCAAGTAATGTACGCACTGGATATTTGTCGAAGTCGACCAACTGAAAGTTTCGTACACCAAAAGCTAGTGGACTCTTTTTCACCCGAGCAGCTCTCCATGTAGGCTGCATTTTGGAAGTGTAGCAATCCTGTCCTTCTGATGCAGACCTGGCTGATATAAATTATCCTAGAAATATCAGTGGTAGTTACAGATAACTCCAGTAGATTGTTGCTTTGTGTATTTTTAAAGGTTAGGCGGACAAAGTAGGCGCTACGGAGAGTATAGCTTTTTGTGTTGTCCAAAGGAAGACTGGAGTTTTTTTTTCTTCCGTCAGCCAGGTCCTGTTGATATGCTAGTGATGCATTGATGCCAGCCATAGCTGGTTTACACACGTTAGTTTCCTAGCCCGCTCATAACAATAGGTTCTAAGCCCCCAACTGAGAACAGTGTCCTAAAGTATGGCAAAATAGTACCAGGCATGCACACAGGCTCGTGCAAGTTTTTATCTTTAGCTATATTTCAGATTTGGGTGAAGTTTGCATAACTAGCATTGAACTGGAGCAAGTGCCGATTTCCAATTTTGTCAGTATACTTTCGGATTTGGAACTGGCGCTTGCTCAATGTCTGAAACTGACAAGTTCCAGAGTTTTGTTACCTTTTTTTTGTCAATGTTCAGTGTGCAAAGTGCAATTAAAAAACGTACGAATACATACTCATGTACTCTCAACAGGCATTGCACAAAAACATCTTGGCTGCAAAAACGTTTTGTCAGAAAGGTTTTGACAATTTCCCAAAGGTGTTTGGTGCACCTAATGCAGCTGAATGAGACTAAATCAAGTGCTTGGATTTTGGAAATATGACAAAAATATGAAATATGGCCTAGCTGTCCCCACCGGGGACAGGTGGCACATGCAGATGCGGGACATTGTGGTACTGATGATTATGCTCGCAGGCGATGAGGTAGCATTTCCGTTTCGCATTTTCATTGCATGATGGATTTACTCCTATGTCACGGTCTAAAATGTTTCCACATCAAAAATATTTGCCAATAAGCACCATTTTAAGCTGCTCAATGGAAAAAAGAATAGAAACTACAGTCGAACCTCGTTAATTCAAACTTGAGGGGGACCGAAAATTTGTTTGAATAAAGCAAAGCTTGAATTACCGGGTGTTTTCTCCCATGGAGATGCATAGGATGGAACCTGCATGTTAGTTCGAATTATCCCCAAGTTTGAATTAATGAGAGTCGACTGTCTAGTCACTGAAAGAGTGAGAACGGTAGTGTGACAGAGTGAGAATGCTGGCCTCCATCACGCACTAGTTGATCAGGCCAAAGCATGGTGCCTCCCGCCGTGCTTTGACTGCACTTGCATGTTAGAGGTTCACAAGACGCTAAACATGTTCAAATCGTGGCTTTTGAGTTCAAAGCGAACGCTGGTTTTGGCCGAATATTTTCGATCCGATTATTGAATTCTTTCTCCAAGCCTTCCACCACCGTGTACCACGCTTAAACGAAGATCCAGCCAGACTCATGAAGGTCTTTCCCAGCCTTTCACTCGTCTACTTCTATGCTCGGTTAATTTTAGGTAAGGTAACGGTATATTTATGAACAGTGGCACGCAAATGACAAAATTTCTGCAGCTATCCTAATCGAGAGGATTTATAAATCTGCTAAATATAGTATGCAACTACCGTAGAATACCGTGCATCCGCCCATTCCACATTAAGCGCCCATCACCAAATTTGTGAGATCTGAGAAAAGACGTACAGTAAATTTATATGTAAAATTGATGATCGGACAAGCGCCCATCCCCCATTTTTTTGCGATTATCTCCTAACTTTGAGTGGGCGCTTGTCCGGCATTTTACGGTAGGTATTCTTTCCTCAATTTTAAACTTGGAAAAAAAAAAAAAGGACTAAACAAGCGTGAATGATGAGAGCGGGTCGTCGAGACCTCGCTGCCTAATGCGTAATAGACTACTTCCATAAAGCCCTGCATGCAACACGGCGCACGTTGCACTCTGGAAACTAGTTGGCCAGGGAGGAGGGTAGCATGGTTTCGTTTTCGATCGACACGTCGACAAAAGATTGTTTTCTGCTCCCGAGAGAGTCATTTGTGGTCTCTAAACTAACCTAAATGGTCAGACCTCGAAGATTTAGCACAAGCCCGAGACGTATAGCACGCTTGTTGTATTTTTGTACTTGAGCCTTCCTGTTAGCGTTCCAATCGAGGTATGTGGACGAGCCAGTGCTGGGAGTCTCGACGCTGCGAAGCTCGGGGATCTTGCTTGTGTACGAATCAACAAGCTGTAGCAAACAATAAGTTGTTGTTGATTAGGAAGTTTGTTTGTTTCGTGTATTCATAGACAAAATGTTACTTTTTGCAATTACTGTTTTTCTTAATGTGCCTGAGTATGCGAAGCAAAGCTCGGAGGCGCCATTGAAAAGCTTAATTTTAACACACTTCATATCTCTCATCTGTACTGACCCGCAGTACTGCTCGAAGTGAAGTCCCCACCCGCTTGCATTCCACTAATATTCAACATCGCGTATTCGCATAAAGTTATCCTGCAATCATATAGGCAAATTCGCGCATACAGACCGTTTTAAGAATGCAAAAGTCGAGCACTTGTGTGAATAATGTCGCACCGTTCGCCGCAAGTGTGTCAGACGGGCATGAACCCCTATGCGCACCGCATTGGGGTTTATGCCCGTCCGGCGCACGTCGCGACATTCTTCACACAAGTACTCGAACGAATTCAAAGCGCATTTGACGGTTGCTAATGGCCATAATATTTTTTATGTGTTTGCTTTCTTCCTGCCTGAGTATGCCGAGATAATTTCAGACACACTGTTCCCGGCACAGATCTCGGGCGTCAGTAAAAGCTCGTTTAAAAAGGCTTAGCGAGGAGTAGGGGACGCTTGTTAGGGCCTCCGTCGTAGCTAGCCGATTTCAGCGTTTGCGGAAAGTTAATCTGTAAGGCTCCAGACAAACAAATTTCAGTTGTAGTTCACTCTTACTAGACGGGATTACTGACATTGAGCTCAAAGATGCACTCGTCGGGTGAGGTGACTAAGCCACGACTTACTACGTTCGCATACGCACGCACAATATCCGGTGTATCGGGAACCAAGGAAAGTGCCCCGGTCTTCGTTTTGTATCGCTCGAGAATGAGTGTATTGTACGTTCGTGAAAAGTCAGATAGTCAAAAACGCAAGCAGCGCGTTCGGTCGCGGCGTGATAGCATGAGATGAAGCTGCTCAGTGGAAACCGAAACCGAGTGGCCAACTAGTTCCCAGAGTGCACAGCATGGAATTTCACCGCGATGGGGCGCGTCGGTTTTGGAAGAAGTCCATTGGAGCAGGCCAGAGCCGTATATGTAGAGAGTTTGGCCATTCGTTGGGAAGTATAGGAGACAAATGAGGAGGCGCCATTGGCCGAAAGCGGGCTGGGCGTGTTTCAGGGTGTCTTCAGAAATTCGAATATGGCCAATCAGAATCCGGAAATAGTACCCTGGCGGTGGTCGCAAGAAACAAACTTCATGAGTTCATCGGAGTAACTCTCGGTGACTGAAAATATGGTGCACGTGACGTTTCACTCACGGTCATCCAAAATCATAGTGAAAGAGTGCGACTGGCCGAACGATCGACATAATCTGTTTGCCAAGCGCCGAGGGCCGGGAATCTGCCGTCCAAGCGGTCAAACTCTGTCCGAGCAAAACAGAATTGAGCGGCGCATTCGTTTCTTACATCTTTCGGCATGATAATTATCGTAGCATCACATGCACCCTATTTTCAACCACAAAGGGTTCCTACACTTCACTCTTGTGCGCTTATTAAAACCATATAGGAACATATACCTTTGACAAAAACAGTTTCTCGCTACCACCGCTAGGGGATTCTTTTCGGCTTCTGGTTGGCCAAAAGAGCATGCCAAGCCGACTTTCTGCGTCTGGTGCACGCCCTTGCTCTGCCCGCGCCTCCCATTGACCAAACTCTCTGTATACATGGCTCTGGAGCGGACTGGCCCCGTTAAGTGCGCTTCTCACCTAGCGCTTGCACACTGCGGGGACGCAATACCTGCAGAACCCGCGAGCTCTGCCCGCAGGTATTGCACCTGCGGTAAAGAGTTCGTCTGGAAGCAACTATTAAGTGCATTATTCTAAACTGCTATTTTGAAAATTCGAAGGTACGCCCCTGGAGCCAGAGGGGGGACGACCAAAAGACCTCCCCGTCGTTTTCATCTTCTTGGTGACTGTGGACTGGAAACGATCATGGTTATGACCTGTATCACTCGTGCAGATCGAAGATGCCACAGCCAGTGCCCAGGGAGTTGCCAACCGGTCTCTGGATCAGGTGGGCCACCTGCAAGACCGGCTAGCCGAGCTCAAGAAGAAGTACTCCCAGAACAACCTGGACGCACGCAAGGCCGTCAACGAGGCCAAGGCGGCCGACCGCCAGGCCGAACAAGCTCAGCAGGCGAGTGTATACTCGGCACCAAGGTTGTGCCGAGTTGACCCTAGAGGCCATGGATTCTCAAACTGGGTTCCCCGGAACACAGGTTCCTGAAGCGTCCCTGCCGCCAAGGGAGGCGTTCCTTTAGTTTAAAGCAGTAGTTGAAAAAATATGAGCCACCCATTGATAACTATGGGCCAGACACACTCTAGCATGTACAGTGCTGTTTACAAGGTCTGTAGGCTTCTGCACTACAACATAGTATCGATGCAAAGACCAGGACACATTGCTTAGCTGTCAATCAAGGACAGGGGTTACTCGAGATGAAAAGTTTGAGAACATGGAGATACTCTGGGGAACACAGGGGTTCCCCAGAATAACCCCGCGGGTTCCTCAAGCTCCAAAATTTCTTCGGCCGTCTCTGCCCCTAGGTAAAGCGTTTTTCCAGTTTAAACGCCACTTTAATGGATCTCGGCCTCCCATTAATGTGTAACAATGAGCCAAACACTCTCTAGTATACAAATTATTGTTTACGTGGTCTCTAGGCTCGTTTACTGCTTTTTTACATCGATTCCAAAATTGGAAAGGCTTCCTCGACCAATCATTAAGGAAAATAAGCTTATTTGAGGTCGGAAAGATTGACATCCCTTGCTTTACGGCCTAGGCCATTCCATAGTTGTTTATTGCGCTGTGGGTTCCACGCGTGCGCACTAGCTCTCTTCTGTGGAGTATCGGACACGGTGCATTGCGTCCACAGCTTGCCGACTTCACATTTCTTGCCCGACTGATAAAAGTGGGAAAGGTGTATATGCAGATGGAGAATCTGCAGTACACGAAGGAACTGTTGAAAATGGATCATTGCACTCGTTGGATGTGCAGGAGAAGCACATTGAACAAATGTGTACTCGGCACTAGTGATGGCGCAAACTTCATTTCAAACCCCAAGTTTGAAGATCGAACCACGGAGATATAAAGGTTTGAACTTCTGAACTTGTAGATATTTTTAATCGACGGATTCAATGAATTTCAAACTTTGCAAATATCGAGAGCTCAAAGGATTGGCGTGCTTCGAACAATATCCAAGATTCAGATAGGATCTGAATGTTTTTACAACTTCCAGCAGTGCATTCTATATTCGATGCATCTCAAACAGGGAAATGTCCTAGATGCAGACAATCGTTCCTATAGCCTCCATTGCCTAGATTATTTTTCGAATTTCTTTTCCCTAATACGTGAATATCAATTGCCATGCAATGCTGTTTGTGTGTTATTCTTTGTGTATTTCTTGTACAGCCGCTTGTTATCATAGAAACCCATGAGCCAAACTGCATGCTGTTTTGTTTTTTTCCTCAGATTCCCCCACTGTAAGCTGTAGAATTGCAGGTATATCTTTGTTCGATTGCAAAATCTCTCTTTTGGCAAGCACCTTGCACTGCTCTTGTCGAGTACAGCCGAACTTCCCCGCTATCCAGCTCGAGTACTTACCATTTCTCTGTCCTAGATGCAGACAATCGTTCCTATAGCCTCCATTGCCTAGATTATTTTTCGAATTTCTTTTCCCTAATACGTGAATATCAATTGCCATGCAATGCTGTTTGTGTGTTATTCTTTGTGTATTTCTTGTACAGCCGCTTGTTATCATAGAAACCCATGAGCCAAACTGCATGCTGTTTTGTTTTTTTCCTCAGATTCCCCCATTGTAAGCTGTAGAATTGCAGGTATATCTTTGTTCGATTGCAAAATCTCTCTTTTGGCAAGCACCTTGCACTGCTCTTGTCGAGTACAGCCGAACTTCCCCGCTATCCAGCTCGAGTACTTACCATTTCTCTGATTGTCCAAAGAAGAATCTGTTTGGGAACTCTCAGAGTTGGTAGCAGATGAATTTCAACGCAGTAAAGCTTGTCTCTCGTTTTGCGTGTGCCAGTCAATAGTTCGCAAAAATTCTCAGACGATGTCATGACCGAATGCGATCAAAGTTGAGGAGCATGATTAAGAGGAACTTCCTTCCCCTTCGTGCAGGAAGCGGAAGAGCTGGAAGAGCAGTACAAGAGGGCGATGGCCGACCTGAGTGGGAAGTCTGCCGCCAGCGGGGACATGAAGGACCGGGCCGAGAAGCTGCGCGAACGCGCTCGCAAGCTGGCCGAAGGTGTCAACTCCAAGACAACAATGCTCCAAGGTGAGGCCCTTTCGAAATTCCGCGCCATCTGGCAGTGTTAGTATCAAACTGTTGACATGCAGCGGGTGGTAAAAACATGGCTCTAATGCAGTGAAATCCGTGTCACTGCACTAAAGTCTGTCCAAAATCGATTGGCTCGTTTTGTTATATCGAAGTATCGCTGCTTCGTTACTGTCTCATCATTAAAAATTGGCTTACTCTTACTACCGGGTGCTCCTTTCCGCGGACCAATTTCCCACCGTCCAAGCTTCCACACAATTGTTGCGAATCATATTAAAATATGAATCGCAACAATTGGTAAACTGTCTACATCAACCCCCAATCATGCAGCGAATAATTGGGGGTTGTCGCAGACAGTTTACCGATTTACAGTTTACAAATTTACAGTTTGCTTACTGAAAATATGTCTTTTACCAAATTGAGCGGCGAGCTCGATTTGGAGCAGCAGCCACGGCAGCACCATAGCAGAATCGGCCACACTTTCGGCATGCAACAACTACAGCATGCGGCGCCGCGAGGATGGGGAGAGGGGTACTATTATGCCGACAGAGCCCTTTTTCACATCGGTCTGGCACAAAGAGGGGGGAAGCACATTTTTTCTGTTGTGCGGCCCTGCCGATTTCGCTTAGATACTGGCGTCACAAGTAGAGTCGCAAATCGTGTTTTCTCAACCGTATATTGTCGCTCCAAGGCGGAACAATTTGGGACTTGGATTGAGCGAGATTAGGAACCTTGGATCTCGACAAGATCGGCACGTCGGCGAAACGAATGCCAAGACAGCATAAAAAAAGTTCAAGACTGCCCACGAAAATACTTCCTTTTATATAATCTCGTTCGGTGGGTCCTTTCAAATGCACCGACATAGGGCACATGCAAAATAAGAAAATGAGCGCGCCCATCGCCCGAACGGAGCAATGAAAAAAAACTTGCATTGGAGCGGAGCAAGTAAAACGAAAGCAAACGAAAGTGTTCGCCCAGCACGCGGCAGAGACGGCGCCGCATCTGCTGCGCCCATTGCCCGAACGGAGCAATGAAAAAAAACTTGCATTGGAGCGGAGCAAGTAAAACGAAAGTGTTCGCCCAGCACGCGGCAGAGACGGCGCCGCATCTGCTGCGCCCATTGCCCGAACGGAGCAATGAAAAAAAACTTGCATTGGAGCGGAGCAAGTAAAACGAAAGCAAACGAAAGTGTTCGCCCAGCACGCGGCAGAGACGGCGCCGCATCTGCTGCGCCGTGCGTTCTCGGTTTTTGGGTTTAAATGATTTATTAGTGTACAACCTTGTCTACGTGATGCTACACGACCACGTTGCTGCGTACAGGCATTCTATGCAGCAACATAGTCACGTAGCGCCATCTAGAAGCCAGGTTGCATATTAAAAAATTATTTGGACTCAAGAACGTGCGGCGTGGCGACGGCGGAGGCAGCGTGGCGGTAGTGGCGACCGTCGCCGCTGCCGCAGTACTTCTGTTCTCTACGCGTGTCACTCGAGAGCAAGTTTACGTAAAATCGATTTGTTTTCACCTAGAAAATTAGTAATACCGGCCATTTCTGCTTTGTGTGGCCACACAAATGCTTTGGTAAACAGAATTATTTGTTAAATAGGAATTCGTTGTAGTAGTCGGAGAAACACATTGAACACGTAGGAGATTGGCTGGGACATTATTTTACTTTGTTGAATGAGCATTTTCATAGTAGAGGCGTTCGTTATAAAGGCAATCGACTATTCAATAAATTAATAAAATAAAGTGTTACATCAGGCACCGTCACTTTCGTACGCAAAGAGCAGACATACGAGTGTGTGTTGTCGTACAGTTCACGTTATGCTCAGATTAATCGCAGTGTCGTGCAACGTCACTGTAACAACGTGGCGTCACGTGACACACGATATTGTCCGACATTGCGACGTCACGTGATTACCGTATACTCAATTCAGTGCGAAAACATTGCGCATTGTCCCTTAAGGGGGCACACCTCCTGAGAGGGTCAACTTTTGAACCCTTGGCTTAAAATTAATGAGTTTTACGGGGTAGGCTCCTGGTCATGCTGGAGGATGCATAGCAAAATTTCAGGTCTGTCCCCTGCCTCTTGTGCACTACAGTTACGGAGACGTCACGCATGCGTGGAACACTTGTCACGCTTGACTCGCCAGAGCAGACGCCATCACACACGACACATGTTGGCTTGCATGCAACACTCCTTTATTCTCTACCGCGCCGTGTCCTACTGTCCCCCCGTCTCCCTGCTGCCTTTTGCGACCCCAAGAGCGGGGACAAGCGCTGTCCCTGGGAAACCCCCTAGGGAAGGCGTGTCCCTGCAAGGTTCCGGTCGTCGCCGATTGCACACACTTAAGCCTCTATTCTGCTCCGACATCGAGCATGGCGTAGCACTGAACGTGGGCCTTTCGTTGGTCGGCGAGCAGGAACTTGATATCTGCGACCAATCAGTATCCGTGTGCGCTGCGCTACGCCGCAGTTGCTACACTCGAAGTCGTATAATGGAGCCTTTCGCGAGATTGGTCCATCGTTGGGCCTCAAGTTTCCCCACGTTGACATAAGCGAGTCTTTGCAAAAGAAATAAACTCGCAGGGACCCAACGTAGACTGAGCTCACGCTTCCGCCGCAGGCATGGAGGACGAGTTTGACGACAACGAGCGGAGGCTGAAGGACTACTCGCAGATCTTGGAACAGCTGAACCGGGAGATGACGGGCTACCTGGACCTGATTGAGCGGCGGTCCACCCACTACCGCGAGTGCCAGAACTAACCGCATCGCGCTCTCTCCGCGGGGGAAGTCCGAGACGCCCTTCGTCCTCGCGTTTCTCGTGCACGGCGAGGCAGCGTACTTGGCTTCTAACCGGCTCCCGGGCCGGCTGCCATGGGGAGCCGTAGCCGACGGCCGTCTGCCATTCGGAACGTACGCCACGGCTTCGAGGCGAGGGCGGTGACACCGCCACGCCGGTTAACGGCTGTTAGATTGCAGCTAATCTGCGAACACCGTGCCAAATTGTTTCGCTCGTTCAGATTTGTAACCTCAGTTACGGTGTGGAAGATGCCGCTTTCATAATGTGTTTCGAACTTCTGCAGAGTCTGTTCTCTAGGGTGAAGGCTGAACACGACAGTAGTTTCCACAAACGACAAGACCACCCTGTTATTTCTTTACGTTAGTGAGAATGAAGCCTTGTTAGGGTACGCTAGAAACCTCTTCTAAAAGTCAGTTTAGCTCTTTGTTCCTGCTCAACAAACCCACGTCTCTAATAACCGAGTAGCATCTGCTAGCTTTCGGTCAAATAGAACGTTTCGTTCCACAAATTGGAGACATTGACTCGATGCAAACAGTTTTTCTGGTGTATCATTTGAGCAAGTACCCACCAGAATACGTTTGTCTAACGGAACCGGACCACAAGTTCCAGCTTGTGGCAGATCGGCCAAATTCATTCACAAACGCAAAACTTGGATGCTCGATTTTCGCGTTTTTTTTGCTTCTTGCCGTTGTACGGAAAAGTCGAAGTTCCTGGGACAGCCACTAGATCGACAGTTCATTCTAGAGAAGGGACCAATTGTGTTGTTTTGTCTCAAAAATTCCTTCGCTTCCTCGGGCAGGATGCAATACAGGGTGTCGCGTCTCAAAATGCATGTTTGAAAAAAAAAAAAAAAAATGTTAACATTAACAAGTTACGGTTGTCCACTATGACAGCTCCATGGCAGCGGGCAATTGCGGAGTCGTTCATGCCTGCTTACTAACAGTTCGTTGGCTGTGAAACACAGGCACAAATAAAATAAGCATTGATTATCGAGTGGGAGTGCGACCGTGCTAAAACGGTCGTTCGTGGTATATTGCGCGTGGGTTTTATTTTGGGGGGGCCTTTAGTCATGTCTGTGCCACTGCCATTCATAACTGCGGACCAGATTTCTTAATTTTTTTTTTGTTATGCACGTCCCCCTCCCTCGTCCTATTTAATGCCAGCTTTAGTGTGCACATGTTATGTCGTATACGTGTTTCGTCACTTTGCCCCCCTCATTCTGTCGTAGACGTTTGCTCAGCTCGGGAACATTTATGGTCGTGCCACCGACGCATTGGCGCGATTACGCGGGCAGACGGCACAAACCTTCTGTCCGTGCTCTCGCCAAGTCCTCGACAAAGTGCGTGCACGGCGTTGGTCGAAACTTGCGACAACAGTCTCCCGATGTCTCATCTTCGGACCACCAAATGTGCCTTAGTTTGTTGCTCTGTGTTGGAGAGTAAAATCGTGTATGGAAATGTAAAAGGTGTGTGTGTGCTTCTTTGATTTCATTCGAAGACCTTGTTGTTTTTTCTTGCATCTTTTTATTGGTTGTAGTGTGATCTTCCTTCAAAATGCATTCAGGAGGAACAGGGGGGCTCACACCATAAATTGAAGGGTTCCGAGATTCTTGTAATCTGCAGCATTTGCCCTAACGACTGAACTGTAGTATGCTTTCTAGTTGCAGCCGACAAAGTTGCTACACCCTTGTCGGCGCCACTAAGTGTTATTCTAACATCCACTAGATGAGATGCGTGCATCTTTATTTTTTGAAACACCGACGCTACTGCATAGATGAAGGATGCCACTTTCTGCAGGCACCCCTTAATGAGCTCAACTTGTGCGTGCGAAAAAAAAACAAAAACGAATGGTCGCATGTTCAGCTGTAAATGCTTCCTTCTAAAGTTAGGCCCATTGAATGGTTTTAGAAAACTGGGCCATCCCCAAGGCATTGCTTCCAGAGTGGCCTAGAAGGTTGCATGATTGCCTCGAAGGAATACGTTGCAAACGGGCGTTAACTTTGAGTTGCACCATCACACTTGGCATCGTGCTGAATTCGGAGAGGAAGGCACAACCGTCAAAAAACCAGCAAAAAGCGTCGCCACGGGCGATTCTAGCAAACAAACGGGGAGATCCTCCGCCGAGCGCATTCCTTGTCCTCCGCAACCCTGCATGTTGAAGAAGCAACATGGCCTCTTCAAAACCGAGAAAAAAAAAATATGAAAAAAGCCTCACGTGTGCGTCAAAACGTAGCGCGGGGGAGTCGCTTTGCCTCGACCGGTGTGGAAAGTGTAAAAAGCTTCACGGACATCCAGCGGACTGAGTTGGGGTGCTCCTGACACGTAGCAGCCAACTCTTCCGAGTTCAGCTGGGTCGTCTACGTCAGCACTAGCCGGCACCTAGGGTCCAATTCGGTCACCGCAAGAGCGAGATCTAGTTTGACCCTCGCAGAGCGAGCCAAGATATCGTTGGCAGACAACTTGTCTGCGAGTGGAGAATGGGGGTTTGTTTGCTATGAGGTGCCATTTGCAGGCAAAAATAACTCCAGAACATACCTACGCACAGTCTGCTAACATGACAAAAAAAAAGTCTGCCATTTGCTACAAACTGTGTCGTAATGAAGCGACGACAAACGCTTGCTGAAATATTAACCGTCCGCTATTTCATAAAGGAAGTAATTGAGAACCGTGCTTCCTTTGGAAATTTCGTGTCAGTTTGCAGGCGTACACAAGCCGACATCCACCGGTAGATAAGGGAGCACTCAGGACCGGCACATTAATTGTGTACTAGTTATCAAATCAAACTTTTCTCATTGGCAGACAAAGTTCGCCCAGCCGAAACCAGTCGATTGATGTCTAACCTGAAGCTCTCACCAGAACCAAGAATCGGACCCCTGCCACCTCCACGCATCTCTGCCCGACTTTGTAATGGTATCCGCCGCCTGTGGCACGCAGGCTTTCATTTGGACCGTCGCACCTATCTCTGCAGTGCAAAGCTCGCGAACAAAATGGCGAGAGAGGACGAGCTCTCGTACTTTGAAGCGTTTCCGCGGGGGACAACTGGCGAGGCGAGTTGGCGCGCGTGCGTCTGGTTCAGCAGACTGTGAAGTCCCAGAGCTTGACCGTCTGGTCGTAGGAGCCCGAGACGATGAGGCAGTCGCTGAACTGGAGACAGGTGACTCCGTCCGTGTGGTTTCTGAGGGTCACCAGCCGCTGACCGGTGTCCAGGCCCCAGACCTTGAGCGCCCGGTCGTCGCCGGCGCTGACGATGCGCCAGCGGTCTGCCTGCAGGCAGCGGACCACTCCGGTGTGGCCCTCGGACTTGATCCAGTCGAGCGTGCGTAGGCAGTGGCCGCTCGCCAGGCTCCACAGCTTGATGGTGCGGTCCAGCGATCCGCTCACCACCTGGAGCCGAGGACGACCAGTTAGCGGATGTGTCGATCCGTCGCAACAAGCTTTGCCTGCCGCCAAAATGGAGGAGGTGCATTTTGTCCGTAAAGCGGCGGGACAAGCGCACCACTTCTTAATGCAGCTTGCTCTTTAATGTGGCATAACTCTAGCTTGGGTTGGCTTATGTTGGAATAGAGGTGGTGACAAATGAGGTGTTTTCGGCCCTTTCATGTTTTCAGGGGTCCTTAGAACCTGAGTTGTGTCGAAAAGCCACCTGTGAACCATAGACTCATAGACTATTGGAAAAAGTTGAACTACTTATGTGCTTATAACCAGTGTGACTGACAAAAAAGAAATATTTTGACCCAATACTTGGCATACTATTTCAGCCATGTTCGTTAGCGAGTTTAGCAAATTTTCAGGCAACTCGGACCCCATGAAGAAATTGCTACCCCAGCAATTTCTTCATGGTCCCCGAGTTGCCTGAAAATTTGCTAAACTCGCTAACGAACATGGCTGAAATAGTATGCCAAGTATTGGGTCAAAATATTTCTTTTTTGCGAAGTTACTGAACTTACAGTTTTGGTCCTCACGGCGTTTTTCAAACTGAAAGTCTTTACTGGCAGCAACGAAAAAGTGACGTCAGTGGAAGGTTCACTCTTTGGACTGTCGAATTTGTTCCCGACTGATTCCAAGCAGTTTAACCCTTTGGAAGCTCGCTCCAGTACTTGCGCTCCAGCACGGAACAAATGATTGGCATATTGTATTTTTAGACTGCTTGCTCGACTGGCAAGCCTGCCTGCCACTGACGTCGCAGCACTGAAAAGTGTGGGTATATTTGAATGTTGGTTCTTGGAACATTTTCATTTGCCGATTTCACAATAACTATTATGAATTTGGCGATACTAAATAATGTACCGGAAAAGGTAAACGTCGGGGATTCAGAAAGTATAGTTAGTTGGGGTAGCTAAAAAAAATCGTTGAAGTACCCTTCTAATGGGGCAGATGGGGTAAAAACTCAATTTCGAGCTGGTTCAGCCGATATATTGAGGGGGCCCAAAAAGTGAAAACTGGGTCAAACTGGTTCACCCCAAATGTTGAGACAGCCCAAAAAGTGAACATCTGGCCAAACGGATCAGCCCATACACAGGTGAGCCAAAAAGTGAACACCAGGTCAAACCGGTTCAGTCGAGCATTAAAGAACCCCTGAAAAGAAAAAAAAAAGTTTTTTTTTAAACAGTCGGGTGGGAACACGCGTGTCAAAACAAAAAAATGTTATGCAAATTTTTTTTTTTTTTTTATAGCAAAAGTGACAGCGAGAGATTTACTTGAAATTCTGCGTGCAAAGTCCGTGACATCACGGAAGGGTCATTTGCTCAACGAGATGGTCATACACTCTCTCCACCTTAACATGATGGCAAAGCCGATTCACCTCTCCTCCACGCGCCCGAAATGCCTAGAGAGAAAACAAGTGGAAAGGAGGTGACTACCGACTAAATCGCGTCTCGCGCCGTCAATATTGCTCTAAAACTTTTTTTTTGTCATTTTCGCATAGAATTAATTTTTTTGACACGCATTTCCCAACCAGACTGTTTAAAAAACCAAATTTTTTCTTTTCGGGGGCTTTTTTTAAGGTAGCCCAAAAAGTCATCTGCGGGTCAAACCGGCTTGGCCCTACATCGGAGCTCCAAAAAAGTGAACACCGGGTCAAGCCGGTTCAGCCCATGCACAATGTGGCCCAAAAAGTCAAGATTGGGCCTAACCACTTCAGCCCGTACATTGAGAAGATCTAAGAAGTGAACACCAGGTCTAACCGGTGCTGGAATCTGCTGGTCTGTCATTTGGCGTGTGTGCTTTTTCTTAGTTGGCCGTCGAATAGTATAAGGTTGCGCCTTGACAATTGACTTCAGTTCTAAGTTGAGCCATTGTGTGTCCCACTCTGTCCTGCCTTTGTGCACTGTGCGTTTTAATCACCGTAAGTCGAGGCAGCCATAAAGTGAACACTGGGTCAAACTGGTTCGGCCTATACATTGAGGGAGCCCAAAAAGTGAAAGCTGGGTCAAGCCAGTTCAGCCCATACACTGAGGCACCCCAAAGAGGAAACATCACGTCAACTAGTTGAGCACGTAAATTGAGGTGACCCATAAAGTCAACATCGGTCCACTATTATTTCTCATATATATTATTGAACTACCTACGCGTATCTCTTCCTCTATTAACTTGTATGCTGATGACTGCTATTTATAAAAAAAAAATTAATGATTCCGACATCTCTGCCCTTCAAACTGATACTATTAATAATGTAACTCGCTGGTGCACAGTTAACTTAACATTTCTAAATGTAGGTGTATGAGAGTGTCGTGTCAAAGTAACGCTTGTTCCCCTACTAAATTAACCATTCCACCTCTCCTTTCTGTTTCCTCCTATAAATACCTCGGTGTTCATACTATCAATGACCTTTCCTGGAATGCCCATGTTGAATATGCCGCTAACAACGCAAATCGCTTACTAGGTTATCTTAAAAAATTTTTCACTCACTTTTGTTTCTTTAAAGCTAATTTTATATCAAACCATAATACGTGGTAAATTTGAATATGCAGCTTCTATCTGGGACCCGGACTCGCCCTTGCATCTGCACTTGAGTCAATTCAAGATCGTTCTGCTTGTTTTATTCTTTCAAGCTATCACCACACAGCCAGCGTCACCTCTTGAAAGCATCTCTCATTGTCTGGCCTCTCTTCTCGCAGAGAAATATCTCGTTTATGTTTATTTCGCAAGATTTATCGCTATAACTCGGAACTTCGTAGAACATTATGTTTAGAAGCACCTTGCATATCATCGCGCACAGATCACAAACTAAAATTAGGCATCACCCATTGTAGCACCTCTGTTTTCAATTCTTCTTTCCTTCCCCAGACATCCATTGATTGGAATCGCCTTCCCATATGAATAGTCCGAATATCTGACGGCGCTAATTTTAGAACTGCAATTACATTTTTTTTAAATGTTCCTTGGCTATGTTTGTATTGACATATTTGTTGCCTTGTTCATTGATATTAATGTATTTTTGCCTCGTTAGCGTTGTATTCTTGTATTTTTGAATAACGAACACACTCCTCTCTGTGATGCCTTCGGGCCCTGAAAGTAAATAAATGAAATGAAAAAAATGAAATCGGGTAAGTTCAGCCCATAAATCGAGGTGATCTACAAGGTCACTATCGGGTCCAACAATTCAGCCCATACGAGGCAGCCAAAGAGGTCAACATCAAAACTGTTTATCTTGTACATCGAGGTGGATCAAAAAATCCACAGACCACAGACACTGAGGTAGCCTAGAAACTTTCAGCCTTTCCACTCTGGTGAAGAAGGAAGACCGGCAAAGCTGCACTATCGTAGGACGACCTCAAGGACGACTTCTTGGGCTACCTCAAGGACGACGCCTTAAAAACGCCTAGGACGACCTAGAGGACAACGCCTAGGACGACCTGAAGGATGACTTCTAGGACAACCTCTCGTACGACCTCAAGGATGACTTCTACGACGACCCTGAGGACGACTTCTAGGACGACGTCTGGAGAAATTCAGCCTTTCCACTGAAAAGGCCTGGCGGCAACCAGACAACTGGCAAGCCGGTTGTCTGGTTGCCGGCGTCGCTTATAGTATCGGTAGCTGTCCAGAGATTTGTGTCGACATTTATTTGGTGACGGACACGAAACTGGGGAAACTAGCCCTTAACAGCTCCGCTGTAAAAAATTAATGTCGGCTCAAAGCGGTTTGGCCCATACACCGAGGCAGCCCAAAAGGTGAACATTGTGTCAAACCGTCCCAGGCCGAACGTCAAGGTGGCACACATTGCACGCCTCCTAACCACTTGCCTGGGAGGCGTCAAACTGGAGGCAGGTGACTGCGTCCTGGTGACCTTGGAGGGTGGACAGGTGGCGTCCGGTGGCCAGCTGCCAGACGCGGATGGTGCGGTCGCACGAGCCGGAGACCAGCCGGTCGCCCCGAAACTGGAGGCAGAGCACGGCACCCGAATGGCCGACCAGCGTGCGCAGGCACTCGCCCGTCTGCATGTCCCACACCTGCGCAGAAGCAGAGGGCAAAGCTTTTGGCAGCGACCTGACCAGGAAGCCTGGAAAGAGAGCCGTTTCTCTGCTTTTCTTCTGTAGGGAACTTTCCCTACACAGGGGATGCAAAAATGAGGGAAAGTCCTGGAATGGGGGAAGTAGGGAAATTTCATCCTTTTCCTGTGGAGGATGATTTCTCTAGTTTCCTTGTGCAGAGAGTGCAAAAAGAAAGAAATCCATGTACTGTGAAGGTCTTTTGTTTCCTGAGTAGGAAGATTTCTCTGCTTTGTCCTACATGGGATGCAAAAGAATGTAGGGAAGTGCAAGTATTGAGAAATGTTTGTCCTTTATTTGTGTAAAAAGATCTGTCTACTTTTTCTACACAAAAGATGCAAAAAGAATATTGATCTGTAGGGAATTAAGAAAATTTATCCTCTTTCCCTGTGTGGGAAGATTTTTCTATTGACCTAAAAGAGGACACAAAAAGGAAGTAGGAGAATCCACATGTGATGAAAGTAGAAGTAGTTCCCTATGTTCTCTGTGTAAGATTTCTCTACCTGCCCTACAGAGGCAATACAAAAGGGAAGTAGGAAAATCCATGTGTAAGGAAAGTAAAGATATTTGACTACTTTCTCTAGACAGGCGATGCAAAAAGAAAGTGGGAAAATCTCTGTATGAAGAAAGCAGAAAACTTTTCTTCTCCCTGAGTAAGGAAATTCTTTTTATAAAGAGGGACTGTAGAGAAAGCATAAAACATTAACCCACTTCCTCGAAGGACAAGTGGGAACCTCCCTTCCATTTTGCCTTGCGTTCTCAATCCTCTCCCTAACAGCACCTCTTTTTTTTTTTGTTTTTTTTACCAGCACTGGTTACTTTAGTTGTGGATGAGGTCACCTCTCCAATAGCCCAGAACAGCCTCCTAACACAGTAGGCAATATAAACAAGTAAATACTAAATAAGTAGGCCTAAATAAGCATCTAAATACAAAAATTGAAACTAGAGCAAAAATTCAAAAAGAAATGTAAGGTGGACAAATACATATAGCTTATTTTTAGGTGCAACATTTTACTGTTTATGACTTTATAAAATAATGGCGACCCAAGAACTCACCGGACATAAATCAAAGCGCAAAGGAACTTTGGCATATTCACACAGGGCAGAAGACAAATGAAAATGATAGATCTGATCACTATGCTCGATCATAGCCTCCTTTATACTGATAATGCCTGCCCAATGGTTGGCTTCACCATGCTTCGTCGTCGTCGCGCCTGCTTCGCATGTTTTCTGCTAGAGGCGCCAAAGCCCCATACAAAAATGCAGACGACTCTTCTTCGCTGCCGTTTGCTAGTCCACTGTGATGCCGTTTGTGAATTAAATTAATTCGTAACCCATGCTACATACCAGGCGCAGGGCACCGTCGGAATAGATTTTATTTATAAACAAGTCTTATACCTTTCTTTTAGCTTTCACGTCTTGGTTTTGTTTGTATGCTGAAATGTTACCAGACCTCTGGTGCTTGTCATATCGACAACAGAAATAGTCAATGCCAATTAAAAAGGACACAGACAGGCTGACGGACTTTCACGACGTTGAAGCAGCGACCACTTTAGAGTTTTTATTGCTACTGGAGCACAGCCGCAAAACATACGGCCCGCGGACTACATGCGGCAGTCATGCGGTTTTTCTCAGGACCGCGAACGCGTCCCCGCTGACCGAAAGCCTGCGCACCCGTCGGCAACACACTGACCGGGGGTCTTGATATACAATTCCAACTTGTTTTTTTAAGTGCACAGCCTCTTGATGGTTTTGACCGGTCTCTTGTGGTCCGCACTGTTTTTCACGTATGTAGTTCTAGAGTTTTTTAACGGCTTCGTAGATTGTGGCTTGTTGGTGAAGATCTTCTTGGAGTCATGCTTGTCAGTCACGGATGCCGAGTAGTTTGTGAAAATTGGCCTGTACACACAAGTACACACAAGTTGCAGAAAATCTTTGTGAGGGTTGACATCTTTCTCTACCTTTGCGTATTTCAGAGCACCATGGTGTATAAAGCCTGGTTCAGACAGTTGCGTTTGACTGCGTTTCGGCTACGAGAAACCAGGACATCCCTGCTGCTTATATCGCGTGCCAAAATTGGATTTCACGCTTCATACGAAGCACAGATATGTCGGTGACTCGCTTTCGGTTCTCGACACAACGCAGTCAAACGCACTCAAACGCAAGTGTCTGAACCGGCCTTAAGAGTATCCACCGCAGTATCACCAGCTGCATGCTAAGGCTTTTTCATTTTCAGCATATTTTGTTGTCTTTTTTTTTTGGTAAAATCTCTACAAAGTTCTTCAGCGCATGCAACACCCTCACTAGCTTCACTGATGGATAGTATATTCCTCCCCTGTCCTGGTGCCTGAGAAGGGAATTACCAGGAGCCATAGAAGCCTGTTTAATGACCACTAGGAAGTGCAACTCGCGAGTCCCAGTTGCACATTGGCACACACCAGTAAGGTATCATGCGACTTAGAATGCAGCACAAAGAGTTGGGGTTAAGTACAAGGTGCTGATGTGCCCATGATCAATAAATGGAATGAAATGACCGCGCCTGTACGTGTGGTGTCACAGTGCGCGTGCCACGAGCAGCAGACGACTTCGTGCTATTGAGCTATGCCGGCAATTGCTAAGCGCTCCATCTGCGGGTCGAACGACGACCGAAAAAAGTTACTCGCGTTACAAACAAATTACGTGATCAAGTGACCTATTTGATCACGTAAGGTCACGTTACCGCGTAACTTAACATAGAAAACTTACGTTATCACGTAGCTTAACGGATAACACAGCTTTCGCTAGCTACAGTGAACTGTAGCAGTAGGCAGCGGACAAGCGTCGTCTGCATTTCTGTATGGGGTTTTGGCGCCCCTAGTAGCAAATCTGTGAAGTAAGCGCGACGACGACAAAGAAACCATTGGGCAGGCATTTTTAGTATAAAGGAGGCTATGGCTCGATATATACGAGAATGCAAAGAAATATTTTCATAGTTACACAGACATGAAACGGGGAACTACGAATAGTAATTCTGGTAATGACAATGTACAATAAATAATATGCCCAGAGGACCTGCGTTTTGATGGTTTTCTAGATATGCGCGAATAGGGGATTTTGAGTTGGAAGCGAATTCGAAGCGAACAGTGGTTTTGGCCGAATATTTTCGAATCGAATGTTGAATAGTTTCTTCAAGGTTTTCACAACTGCACCATGCCTAAACGAAAACCCACGCGAACTCGTAAAGGTTGTTTCCAAGCTTCCACTTGTCCTACCTAAGGCAATTTTAATCTAGCTATATTTATGGACTGCGACCTAAGGAAGTCCACTACGTACGTGGGAATGGCAAGGAAACAATGCATTTGACATTAACTATACAAAATCAAGGAGGTTTATAAATATTCTTACTATATGCAAATATTCTTTATTAAATCAAGAATTAAAAAAAGAAAAATTCTTATACATTGCAATTTGGTATATGAAAATTTGGTCACTACATAGAAATACAGCTGCCAATTATTAACTCTCAGACATTCATCTTGTAATACAAAGAAGAAAAGAAAAAAATACCGTGAATTGTTTTGAACTGGTTACCGTTTTTTTTTTTGTTTTTTTTTTCATGTTCAGTTCGAGTTCAGTTCCAAGATGGCAGCGAAGATTTCAATTGTGTTCAGTTCTGGTTCGGCTAAAATATTTCCGAGGACACCTAAGCACTTCTTATGAGTTGTGAATGCGAAAGCATGATCGTCGCTCTTCCGCTCCCTTAGTTCGTCTGTGGTGTACTGGCGTGGATGGCCATGTTTCGCGACTGCCGGGGTTGCGGCCGCCAACGATGTAGATGCCTCAGGCGTTGCCATGTTCCCCGACGCCGAGAGGAGCAGAAGCGCCTAAAGTGGCCTTAAAGCGTTAGAGTACAGGCTGCATGTCACAAAGAGTCTGTTACAGGTGGTGAGGCCAAGGACAACCTTACACACAGGAAAATGCAAGCAGTTTGAGCTGCTACTATCTGGTAGCAAGAGGAGCTACAAAATATAGAGGCAAGAAATACTGGATGCACCAAGGGCCAAAAAGAAGAGAGTTCCCGCTCTCACAACCGAGCTCCAACAAGCACAATGGTTCAACGAGGCGTAATCCAAAACTTCTTGCCTCGAAAAAAAAAAAAAAAAATCACCTCGATTCCACGTATAAAGTTGGAATTACGCAGAATGCGAACTTGAGGGGCTGCTATAGTGCAACATGTGATGTTTTCTCGCTGAACCTAACGAACAGTAATCACGTGACATCAACCTCTCGATCCTGTCGTGTGACATTGCTCGAGTAACTTGACGGTTCTCAAGTCAACACTGTGTTGTCGAGTCATGTGGTCGTGTGATGCGGTGACTCGCAGTGTCACATGCAGCGTTAGAGGTCCGAACCAAATGCCAAAGTTTTCAACACTACTAATCGTCATCTTATTCAAAAGTTATAAGTGATTTTGTGAAATTTTCAATGGGAAAAAGGCGGCCCATTTTTGCCCGTTTCGATTAACTGGCGCTATCCATGCATTTGAGAGCTCTGTCGGCCGCCATTTCCCCTTTGAAAATTTTACAAAATAACTTATAACTTTTGAATAAGACGACGATTAGTGCTGAAAATTTGCAATCTGGTTCGGACCTCCAGGTCTACATTTGGGAAGAGAATAAGTGTTTCATGATGCATAATTTATTCTTCCGGTAACAAAAACCCCTGTAAATTTTGTTGGGAGACACTCGGCACTTTTAATGCCTCCTTCCCCAAACCTAAATTGATTGGAACCGCCTTCCCACAGTCATAGTACTGATACCACTGATTTTAGAATTGAAATTACTAATTTGTTAAATGATGTTTCATACTAATTTTGTATTTTTTCTTTTTTCTTTTTATGTTTATGTTAAATGAAAGTGCCCACTCCTCTCTGTAAGCCTTCGAGCCCTAAAATAAAATAAAGAAAATAAAAAGAAAACCATGATTTAAGCAGATCTAAGCCATCCATCAATGCGTAATTACGAGCCAAACATTCCTTAGTATGGGCATTACTGTTTACAGGGTTTGTAGGCTTCTGCGCTGCTTCTTGATTACATCTATTATGTCTCATCGTTCGGTCGACCTTCCAAGTCCTTGAGCAAAAAGACGTCAGTGACACAAAAAATATCAAAAACACGTCGGTGACACGAAAGGCACCAAAATGAAACGTACCAAAGAAACGGCACCAAAAGTGCGTCGTCAGAGAGCGCGCTGTCTTCGGAGATTCGCTACCACGTTTACATCGGTGCTTGGGCTTTTGCCTTCGTCTTAGGGACAAGATAAGAGATCCTGTGAATTTTCGCTTTCATGCCGTCACAGGAAACGTTTCCTGTCTGTTAGTCAAGGCAGCTCAGGGTTTCTCGAGACTGCAAAAACTGAGGACCCCTGCACCAGACGACGCCACTACAGAGACCCAACAACTCCGCCAAGGAGTACTCGCCTTGAGGGTGCGGTCGTACGAGCCGCTCACCACCTGGCGCTGGTCGGCCTGCAGGCAGCGCACCGTGTCCGTGTGCCCCACCATGTTCCCCTTGCAGGCAATGCTGGACCACGACTGATCCGTGCTCAGGTCCCACACCTGCGGTTCGACAACCGTTGCGGAGCAACACCCAACGAGGTTAGAACGGGCGGGAGGTGCCGTCCCTATTCTCCACGCATGGAGCGAAGTATAGCGGAAGTAGGCGTGGCCACGAAATGTCCCCTCTGTGTCTCGGCCAATACGAAAACTCAGTTAATGGGCGTTGCCATTTAAATAGGGGAAGACCGACCGCGTTGCCGTGGCATTGCTGCGGCAACGCAGGAATTTCCTCCACATTTCCGTGGCGACAACTACCAAATCGGTGTCGAACAGGAGAGATTTGGAGCCCGAGACTTGCTTGGCCGGCAGGAAGTCGGCGTGTGGCGGGCGCTCCACATACTGCGCCGGGAGCAGGAGCAAGTCGTCATGGTGCGGCTTTGGAAAGCGGGCATGCTAGGCGCCGTACACACGAATGCTAAGAACAGCACTGGGTTGAGAATGCGACAAAATCTCCGCTTCCACCACACGTTCGTTGCATTCCCTTGTGTTGTTGACTGCCTGTGCACACTGAAACCTTTCTGGGTGCACCGATCGTATTGAAACCGAGCTGCGACTGTGGGCAGACAAAGCAGACTGCAGGCACGAAGCAGGCATAGCCAAAGCTTAACGTAACCGATCATGTCGAGAGCAGACAAGAACGGCGTCGGAGTGCAAGGCAGTCTATGATTGAGTTCTTAATCCGGCGTCGCTGAGCGTGACGTGCTACTGGGTCCTGGGGTATTTAGACGTCCCTTATCGAAACCCCACATCCTCCAAAAGGGTTAACATAATCGTACGAGACCCGACCGCTAATCGAGTTTGCGTTTCAGTGGGACCGACTGCGTAACGACAGTTTCTGACCGCTTACGATGAGAGCAACACTAACATACATAATGGCGCCATCTCTCAGGTAGTTCTGCGTTTTAGCTGGTGACAGTCTAAGAATACAGTAGATGCTTTGCCTCCAGCTCTAGATAACACTTCTTCGAATGCACAGCCAAAGAGAAGTGATTTTGTTTCATTGCTCATAGGCAGTGCTGAGTTCCGGGTTGCATTGGTATGGAATGGTATGGAACGGTATGGAACGTAGTTACCGTATATATGCATTTGAGCATTTGACCACAGCGCCCTCTCGTCTATAAACGTTGAGCCAATGCATGCAAAGTTTAACGCGATTATACACGCATTTGACCGCAGCACCCTCTCCTGTATAGACGTTGAGCGGCTACATGCAACGTTTCATCCATGACATCCCCAGCTCTTGAGTTACTACCACATCTCAGAGCCCCCTACTCGTCCTGCAGTCGTGGCCGAGTGGTTAAGGCGATGGACTAGAAATCCATTGGGGTCTCCCCGCACAGGTTCGAATCCTGTCGATTGCGGAAACATTTTTTCTTTTTTTTAAGAAGACAGATGGGATGGCAATCGATGTGAACACGGACGCCAGACAAAGCTAGACCCTGAGAAGCTTCACTCCTAATAAAAAAGAAAATTCCGCAGCCACTGAACTGCGACTCAGTTCTCTTCCGCATTCCAAACGACCGTGATTTGACCCCATATCAACGATGTACAAACATTTTTTTGGGAGGGAGGTGGGTGAGGGACTTGGAAAAAGCTGACAGAAAAAAGAAACTGCTTTAAATAACATTTAAGCGTTGGATCACCCAGTCCAACTTTGTTATCTCAGAGCTTAACGACCCTCCAAAAAACACTCGGAGCAAAAAAGACAGCAAACAGTTTGCTTCTGTACACTGTTGTTCCTTCTTCCGATGGACCACAGATGGCACTATGAGCCATCCAAGTCAACGCAATGCCGTGGAAGTGTTGTCCCGTGGCCTTCAAGAGGGACACAGCACCAGCTATGTTCGGATGTAGTGACGTGATAAATTCACTGCGCCGGATTGGTTAGCATGCCTCGTAGCATCTGCTGCGATCCATCGCGAGGTGAAACAGAGTACACCACACCACAGCTTGGCAACGTACAATCACGACCCATACAAAGGTGAAAGCACAATCATCTACTGTTCTGTAGCGTCGTAAAGCAAAGGCCGTGGCGGAGTGTGTGCTTCGCGAACCGAGCCTCGCAAGGTGCGAGAGAAGGCGCACAAACTGCCAAGGCAGACACTTCGTGACAACTCCAGAATGGAGCGGTGAACGATCGCAAGGTGACGTTCATATGAATTGCAACTGTACAGAGCGCACGAGAAAGCCATTGCTGGTATTTCAAGGCTTCCTGTCATACCGGGAAACCTGTCATTAAAACTTCTAGCACGACGGAATAAGTTTGCTTTGGTTACGACACTTAGAATGCGCGTGTGTTTAGCGTCTTGTTCCGCCAACGCAACACAAGCGGTCCCAAAGTGGCAACAAAGTACGCCATGGGCGCACGATCGCCGTCAGATGTTGAAATCTTATCTGTCACTCACAGAAACTCTGGCAAACAAAAACAAGTGTACGCGAGGGTCCTCGTCGTCGCGGCGTCCGAAGTCGTGGCCACTCGAGTTTCCGTATAGTGTCGAGCCGGAGTACTACCTACGGCAGAACAGGCATCCGTTGCAACCACCTCCGCCGCGCAACTGCCAAGGTCGCGGCAGGTAGTGACGCGACACTTCTACGATGTCATCGAGAGGGAATTGACGGTTCACGTATGGGGATACGGTACTGCGCCCGGAATGCACGTCCGACTGGTCCGTTTAGCCATAGCCTCCTTTATACTGAAAATGCCTGCCCAATGGTTTCTTTGTCGTCGTCGCGCTTACTTCACAAATTTGCTACTAGGGGCGCCAAAACCCCATACAGAAATGCAGACGACGCTTGTCCGCTGCCTGCTGCTACAGTTCACTGTAGCTAGCGTAAGCTACGTTATCCGTTAAGCTACGTGATAACGTAAGTTTTCTATGCTAAGTTACGCGGTAACGTGACCTTACGTGATCAAATAGGTCATTTGATCACGTAATTTGTTTGTGACTCGAGTAACTTTTCTCGGTCGTCGTTCGACCCGCAGATAGAGCGCTTAGCAATTGCCGGCATAGCTCAATAGCACGAAGCCGTCTGCTGCTCGTGGCACGCGCACCGCAACGCCACACGTACAGGTGCGGTCATTTCATTCCATTTATTGATCATGGGCACATCAGCACCTTGTACTTAGCCCCAACTCTTTGTGCTGCATTCTAAGTCGCATGATACCTTACTGGTGTGTGCCAATGTGCAACTCGGACTCGCGAGTTGCACTTCCTAGTGGTCATTAAACAGGCTTCTATGGCTCCTGGTAATTCCCTCCTCAAGCACCAGGACAGAGGAGGACTATACTATCCATCAGTGAAGCTAGTGAGGGTGTTGCATGCGCTGAAGAACCTTGTAGAGATTTTACAAAAAAAAAAAAACACAAAAAAACAACGAAATATGCTGAAAATGAAAAAGCCTTAGCATGCAGCTGGTGATACTGCGGTGGATACTCTTAAGGCCGGTTCAGACACTTGCGTTTGACTGCGTCCAATAGCAATAAAAATCTAAAGTGGTCGCTGCTTCAACGCCGTGAAAGTCCGTCAGCCTGTCTGTCTCCTTTTTAATTGGCATTGACTATTTCTGTTGTCGATATGACAAGCACCAGAGGTCTGGTAACATTTCAGCATACAAACAAAACCAAGACGTGAAAGCTAAAAGAAAGGTATAAGACTTATTTATATATAAAATCTATTCTGACGGTGCCCTGCACCTGGTATGTAGCATGGGTTACGAATGAATTCAATTCACAAACGCCATCACAGTGGACTAGCAACGGGCAGCGAAGAAGAGTCGTCTGCATTTTTGTATGGGGTTTTGGCGCCTCTAGCAGCAAACATGCGAAACAGGCGCGACGACGACGAAGCATGGTGAAGCCAACCATTGGGCAGGCATTATCAGTATAAAGGAGGCTATGGTTTAGCGCATCTTAGAAAGCGGTCCCTCGATTTCTGATCGACGCCGTAAGTGTTGTGTCGTTGCCTGCTGCAATCTGGGTGGTGTGAAGGACGTGGCATAGGATGTGGCAGAGATGCCTGTTCTGCTGGCAGTCGCTGTCCAGCTCCGTTCCCTCTTACTTATTTTTCCCCCCACCCCCTAGAACTTTCACACCCAACCACTAGGTTTGCTACATCCGACAGCGCGACGCACCAACATCAGTGACATTGTTTGTTGCCGCACTGAAAGCATTTACGACGCTTGGGAACGTCGCTTCTTGCCCTGTGGCCCACCTTGATGGTGCAGTCGCTGGAGCCAGAGACCAGCCGGTTTCCCGTGAGGTGGAGGCAGCGCACGGTGCCCGAGTGCCCCACCAGGGTCATGACGGACCAGGGGCTGTTGGTGCGCATGTTCCACACCTTGATGGTCTTGTCCGAGGAGCCGCTCACAATGCGCGTGTCGTCAAACTGGACGCAGAACACCGCCTGCGGCGAGGAAAACGCAGACGGTCGGGTGATCGTCGCCTCGTGCCGGGACAAAGTGAGTGGTGCTACTTGGAGCCTCTGTAACGTCCAGAACAAATGAAAGCTGGAAGAGGAGGATTAAAGGGAAGCTGAATTACCCCTCACCAGGGCAGAGAATAAAAAACCTTAAATTATGATTTAGATCACGATTCAAATTGTACGAGTTTTACTACTATAATTTAAGTCAATCAATTTTTTCCCAAGATATTCCAGAAATATTTTTTTATTGTCAGTTTGTCTATCTTTTCATGCTTTCCTTATACATTTATTTAGTTTTTAAAGCAAAAAATTGTCAAGCAAGAAAGATTCATATCAGGCAGCTATTTTTACACCTAGTGGCAAAAATTTTTTTTTAGCTAGTGATTTAGATTACGTAAATCAAATTTCTTCTACGTAAAAAAAATCGATTTTTTCATCCAGTTTATAACTATTTGTTATAAATACCAGGACCAGAAAAGCAAAAAAAAAAACCTTCCTAGAAAAAAAAGATTTGGGCACAATATTTATTTAGCGAGGCTCATTGCCCATCTGGAGCGATTCCAAAATATGCTGCCACATCGGGATGTCAACCCCGAAATAGAAACATAATTTGGAACCGCTCCCAACTCTAAATTTGCCTTGCAACGTAATCATTGCACTAAAATTGTTTTTTTTTCTTTGTTTTTTTTTTTGTTTTTTTGCGATGAAAGTTTATCTTATGACACGGGTGTCTTATGCAGACATTTAAGAACATATTTTCGGGAGAATTTAGTAAGAGTTTAATGCCCCAAAAGTATAGAGGTCATACTTTGTCAAGCTAACATTGTTTTTAAAACTTAAGTGAAAAAAAAAAAGAAGAAAAAACTAGAAGATTTTGGAACAAGTTTCAATGACTCTTGGGCCTGCTCTATCAAAATCAAAGAAAACCGAAAAACCCCCGAGTCGGAGCCGTCCCGAACCAGAACTGCAGCCTCATGGGAAACAAAACGGTTTTGAGCCAAAACACGGCCCACACCGAACTGTCTGCGAGGCCGCTCCTTCCATGGGAACCACGACCCTTACCTCGCTTCTTTCTTTTATCGGTACCAGGATGTTTTTTGATTGTTTGGGTCGCGCGCACTTCCCCTGGAGGTTGGGGAGTCTTATGACAATGTCTAATTTTCCTTGACACGACTCCCGACAAAAGTTTTTCGCCCAACACCAAAATTCGACTCTGACGAACCTCGAATCTGTGGGGGAAAATTATACCCCTAAGAAATGCCCCCGAATTTGAGAAAAATAACCCCTGGAAACAAGGAACCCTAGTTATAACTGGTGTAAATCTTAAACGCGAGTTACAATCGCCATCAATCTAAAACAAGAGTGGAACAAAGTTTATTGCGGATCAAATACTATATATATATATAGGGCGGCTATGGTGCCTTTTCCGTGGTATATTACCAGTTGACTTCCAGCTGGGACCAGTTGACTCACAGCTGAGACCAGTTGACTTCCAACTGGGACCAGTTGACTCCCAACTGGAACCAGTTGAAACCAGTTGACTTCCAGCTGAAACCAGTTAGATTTTCAATTGGTCCCAGTTAGACATTTTCACCGCATGAGCCGGAAAAATCAATGCCTGCACATGGAAAGCTCAAACCTTCACCGAATGTGCATCAAGGTGGTGTCTTTTTGGCCGATGAAATTTTAAGCCGTAGCTCCCTTTCCGAGAGAAATGGGACTAAAAAACTTTCAGCCTTTCCACTCTGGTGAAGAAGGAAGACCAACAAAGCTGTACTATGGTCAGACGACCTCAAGGACGACTTCTTGGACGACCTCAAGGATGACTTCTTGGACGACCTCAAGGACAATGTCTAGGACCATGTCTAGGACGACCTCAAGGATGATGTCTAGGACGATCTCAAGGACGACTTCTAAGACAACCTCAGGGACGACACCTAGAGGACGACGCCTAGGGCGACCTCAGGGACGACATCTAGACGACTTCAAGGACGACGCCTAAGACGACCTCAGGGATGACCTCAAGGATGACGTCTAAAAGACCTTAAGGACGACTTCTAGGACGATTTCGAAGACAATTATGTCTAAAACGACCTCAAGGATGACTTCTAAGACGACCTCAAGGACGATGTTTAGGACGGCCTCAAAGATGACTTCTAGGACGACCTCGAGGATAAGCTCTCGAACGACCTCAAGGACAACGTCTAGGACAACCTCAAGGACAATTTCGAGGACAACCCCAATGACGACCTCAAGGACGTCTAGGACGACCTTAAGGACGACTTCTAAGACAATATCTAGGACGACGCCTAGAGAAATTCAGGCTTTCCACTCTGGTGAAAACCAGAGTGGAAAGGCTGGAAACGTTGCCTCCAGATGGCGGTAGCTGTCCAGAGTTTTGTGTCGACATTTCTTTGTGGGGGACACGATCCTGGGGAAACTAGCCCTTAACAGCTCCGCTGTAAAACTTGCCAGAGTTGACGGCGGATGGGTTCGCAGACGATTGAGGTAGCGACGTTTGTAACGCATGGCGCCATCTTCCATTAGGAGCAACAAGCGAGTGACGCACTCCGCTCACTGTGTCTATTCAGTCTCTTCCCTCGTCTGCTCGTGCCTAAATGGGCTACCCTAGACTACGCCACGAATGTTGTACTATGTGAAACACGCATGAAGTACTACCCTATTTATTCGAATGCCTTCTCAATTGTGAAAGGGAGAGATGCTACTACAGTAGAAACCTTTTATAGCATACCTGTCGGGACCGGGCAGTAATTTTACTATATCGGGAGTTTAAGTACATCAGGAGCACCTTACAATCTGTTATTAAAGCTGTGAAAAAGGATTGGAAATGACTAAAATGTTAATTAGACTAACTAAAAATAAACACCAAAAATATAAAAATATCACTCACATTGGAGTAGAAAAAACTCAGTTATATCAGTTTGTTTTGTAGTAGGTGCTTTGCACTTCACAAGGAAGTTTTCGAGGCTTGTCATGTGGGCATAGTGTTAGCCACTGTAGCATTCAGAGCCCTCCTGACTGCATCCAAAGCCAACACGAGTTCATGTCTTGTAGGGGCAGGTCCTCCTCCACGTTTGTAAGCTCTTTGTTGAGATCAGAACGATGTGCAGAGCAGCAGTCCAATAGCAAGAGTACTTTTCCGTTCTTTGCACGCAGCAAGGCATCCCCTGTCGAAGGTATGTTGCAAAAATGGTGGTCGTCATCGATGCCCCTGCAGACTCCTTGTATGTGCAAAGAAGAGACTCTATGTTCTTGACACATCTTGGATTCTTGAACTGGCCAATAATGAAAGGCGTCCTTTTTTCACTCCCATCGGCATTGCAGCAAAGCAACGCAGTGACCAATTGCTTGCCTGTGTTTTTACCCTCCCACCTTTTTCCCTTGAAATTGTAAGTGCGGCTGGGTAGCATCTTGTAAAACACAACGGTTTCGTCGCAGTTGAAGGTGTCTTTTGGTTGGTAACCCGCTAAAAGAAGGGCAGCACTTGCCCAATCTATCCTTCAACGGTCGCATCCAAAATGGCGCCTTAGTCGCCGGATTTCCGATGAAAAGCAATACCGTCCCTTGCCATGAAACGTTTGATCCATCCGTTTGATGCCTTGAAGTCTCCACTGCTAAGCGTAACAGTAAGCTCAAGTGCTTTCTCTCTGATAATAGGTGCACTGAGTGGCACGTTTGCAGCGCGTGCATGTCAAAGCCACTCAAGCAACGCTGCCTCAACGTCGGCGTTTTGGGGTCTTCGGAGCTTTTTGTGCTTTCCACTGTTTCCATCGGCAATGGCGTCTTCAATGCGCTTCCCGTTTTTCACCAAGAAAGACGACACACACCGTTTCCACAGAAACTCCGAATTCATCCGCGATTTGCTTTCGAGCCCGGTCGTTTTCGTTCACCATTCCTCGCAAACTTGCTTTTTGTGCGAGCGTTAAAGCGGTTCGCTTACGATGCGGATTCGTCATGATGCACAGTTCAGACCATAAAAAAGCGGCACTTTTTCGATTCAGTTTGCATGCAACGCAGAGTAGCAGAGGGGGGCGAGCTTGCACGACGAAACAGCACAAGAAACAGCTGAACGGCAACTTCTTTGTTTGACGAACGATGCAGGCGCAGGCCCGGGGATTTGGTGGCAACAAGCAACCTGATCAGAATGCTGCCGTGGTGCGACGTACTGCGCACTTTCAGCGTTTTTAGGCACCGATTTCACTTTTGCGGGAGAATAATATTCCACCAGTACCGCTGAGTTTTACCACAAACAGTATCCCGAGTTTTGGGAGTGTACTACATCAAAATGCTGAGTCATAGAGGAAGTAGGAGTTCAATGGGGAGCTTTTACTACAATTGGGGTTTTACTACGTGCGGAGTTACTATACTGGAGTTCTACATATTTGTCAAGCCTCCTTTTGGCTATCCCATTACACAAGCTGCCTGAAACCGAGATAATGCTATTTCCAGGGGAAGCCATCCCCCCTTTGGGTGTTTTCTCAAGAAAGAAAAATCGGACAAAAAACAGAGGGTGGTCTGGCTCTCCAGGATGGCCACCTTAAGAGAATGAGGTGCAAATTTTCTTCTCTGGATAGGTGCTAAACATAATGGTATGGCGATATCATCGTCGGTGGTACACGGATCGTAGGGCATGCCTTGCATCAGGCGGCATTTAGCTCACTGGTACAACAAGAACCAGCTGATTTCTCATTGGGCGAACCCCTTAAAAATACATCATCTTCCCGAGGGGAACCATGGGGTGATGCGGAGCATCGCGGATCGTTATTAACGGTGTTATTAACGGTATTGATAACATTGTTAGTAACGTTGTTAACTTGCGTGTTATTACGTTAGTTTGTGGAGTGGTGCTGATGCTTGCTTGCGCCAACCCACTAACTGACGGGACTGTTGCTTCCATCACACTTCATCGGAAGAACGGAGTGGAGTCAACAGCGGTGAACTGAACGCGCGCAGCGCGCTACCGCTGCTTATATTCACACTTGAAGGAGAGGAGACTAAAGGAGGAGAGTTGCGCATGCGCGCGCGGTGTGAGTAGAAGCGAACGCACGCGAAGTGCACGCAGCTGGTAGAGAGAGAGAGCAGAGAGAGTAACGCGCAGCTGTTGGAGAGAGGGAAGGAGGAGAGTTGCGCATGCGTAGTGTGAGTGCGGACTACGACGCCGCGGGACACAGACCCAAGCAAGAGATGCTCCGCATCTAAAATGTTTCCCCTCTCGAGTCTTCTTTGCAATTCAGTTCAATTCAGATAGTTTGCAACAATACATTCATGGTACAGGCATCAGAAATACAAACAGAAAGCTGCCTTACAAGACAAAATCAAAACGTTCAGAGACTTGTCCTATGTACAGCAAAGTACTTAGCGTATTTTCCAGAGCATAGTCCGCAGACTATACATCTTTAAAAGTTGAAATTTTACCCAGTGCAGACTATCTACAGGAGCAGACTATACAAGCATTTGTTTTTTTACAGATTGTTCACTGCGACAAGACATGAAAAATTTTATGAATAACGGAGGACCGTATTTATTCGAATATAAATCTACTTTTTTTTCCCGTAAATGTCAAAAATAAAAGATTGACCTACAATCGTGACCAGAATTTCAACCTACATTCGTGACCAAATTTTGCGACCCCACTGAGAATATGGAGCTATCGAGTCACTGAGCCACTCCTTGTTTCAGAAAGCGTTTGATACTAAAAAACAACCGAAAACAACCTCGTGACGCAAGGGGGGAAGGGGAGGTAAGAGGACACCACGCGCCACGCACCTTTCTCCCTCCCATCCCTTCCACCCCTCTCGCCCCCCGAACGTGCAGCAAAACAAGATACCGACGAGGTTACTTTCACTTCTTGTTGCTCGCAGCAGCTCGCATCTCACGTCTTTGTATTTGATCTTTTGCCACTTCGCCCGTCTCCACCTTCTTTCGCTTCTTGTTGTCGCCGCTTTGCAACGGTGTCTGTGAGGCCCAGTGAGGTATTGTTGCAAATTTGTGAGGATGTCAATGAAACTGACGAAGCTTCCGACGACGATGACATGTCCGGAAGTTCTGATGATGACTAAGTTTATGGCATTGCGCTGTGATTTAGTTGAGAGCGCTGCAAATAAAAGTTTCTTTCTTTCTTCTGTCCAAACTTTCCTCTGTTCTTTTAAAAAAAGAAAAAAGGTCGACCAATATTCAAATTACTTTTTTATTCTTGGCGAGTTTAATAGAAAGGCATCGACCTATATTCGTGGTTGACTTATATTCGAGTAAATACGGTATATTGATGTTGATTTATATGGGATACAAGCTTTTTTGTGAGCTAATACAGCAGACATTTGTCAAGATCTGCTCTGAAGGAGAATTTTTTCTCTTTGGACTAGGCACTAAGTTTGGACTATGCATGGCGTGCGGACTATGCACCGGGTGCGGACTCTCTATGCAAAAACTTTTATTTTTTACACCAAATTTGTTTTTGCGGGCTATAGCCCAGAAAATAACTACCATAAAGATTCGAGAGAACGCCCGCCCCTGAGAGATCAGGCATCCTGTTTTTCTGGCGAAATATCTGTAACATAAAAATTCCAAAACATCGCCCACCCCCCGATTCCCGTCAGACGTCACGCGATGTCCATAGGGAACCGCGCAATTTGCTGTACCGGCACGTCTGACAAGCGAGTTCATAGTGGGTTCTCGAGTTTTTGTCCACGAACTATGCGCGCGATTTTGGATCTCGTAACACGCAAGTTGTTCCAGCGTGTACGTTGCACCGTGAAATGCAAATCCGCTGCGTCCACAATCTGCAATATCCGTTTTTGTGACGTAAAGTTTATAGCGGATTCCCACGTTTTTGTCCGCAATCTGCGTGCATTATTTCGATTCCATGCAAGTTGATCCCACGTGTATTTTGCATCGTCAAATACGATTCCGCTGCATTTGCAATCTGCTGTATTTGTTCCCATAACATACGAGTTTGTAGCTGATTCCCATGTTTTTGTCCGCGATCTGCATGCGCAATGTCGATTCCCGTGATTGGCAAGTTTGTACCAGGTCCCCACATGTTTATTGCATCATAGAACTTGAATCTACTGCGTCCGCGATTTGCAGCATTCGTACACGTGAAACGCGTACGAATGCTGGAAATCGCGGCATTCGTACGCGTTTTTCGGCAGGTTTCCGCGAGTCCTTCGCACCGTGAAACGCGAATCTGCTGCGTCCGCAACCTGCGTTATCCTTTTGTGAGGAGTTTGAAGCAAATTCCCGCATGGTTATCATATTGTGAAATGCAAATTTGCCATGTCCACGATCTGCAGTATCAGCTCCTGCATCACGTGGCTTGTGGCAGGTGCCAGGATGTTTATCATTAATTTTTGATAAATTTTTGCTGTGGCCTCCCCAAAAATAGCCCACCCCATGTTTTTCACCATTTATCTCTTCATTTTGCGTGGGCATTCTTTCACAACTTTACGGTAGGTATTTTAACTATGCTCAACCCCTATTTCTCTCAAAGTAACCTCCCCCTTGTGCAGCGATGCAACATTCCTAGTACTTGCCATTTTCGGAATGCTCCTTAAGAGTCCTGACAAGGTTCAGCATGGTGCGCCTCCTGTCCGGAGACCAGAAGCCTCGGCACAAACTTTACAGCAATGAGGTGCATATTGTCAAAGATGGAAAATGATAGATGAATGGGAAACTAAAAATAAATGTTCAATGAGGCAAACTTGTGCTTACAAACTTCAACAAAATGGAACCGTACATTGTGCAACACTGCCTTGATGTTCCCATTCTCAGCTTGTATTAGAGACTACATAGTCTAGAACCTTTTGCACTGAAACAAGCAATATGCTACAATATTCTACTAGAACATTCTAGAAGAGTCGCGAGAGATAAAATGAAGAACTAGGTTGGTGGGGTTGAAATCCCCTTTCTTCACGTAGGAGCCACGCGCGATGCCAACTCGGCCATGCACGTAGCGAACCAAAACAGCCATGAAAATTGCCTGCGCTTTTTCGTACGAGACACTGCCAATGTTAGCGATGTCCTGAATGGTTTTCAGACGATCCTCGTGCACAAGTTCCCTAATTATGTTGACATTTTCGGGGGTTTTGCTCGTGAAGGGTTGCGCTGACCTCTCTTCATCTTCCGGTAATGTTCTGCCATTCTTGAAGTGCAAGCATCACTCAAAACAACTCACATGAATCATTGTTTCTTCTTTGTTATAATCCTACTGAACCATTTCAAAGTTTCCCGTTCCAGATATGCAGAGTTTGATACAGAACTGGACGTTCGATCTTTGCTCTGGTTTCCAGTTCATGCTGAAAATGGCAATGTGCTCTTTCGGGCAGTCACAAAAACTCGTCTAGCGCAGCTTTCAATGTTTACAGAACGATGTCCCTTGGCGCAATGACGTATGAAGGTCACTGCCTTCAACAGCTGCGCGCATCACCGTGCTACCCTCTCTTTTTACGCTATGAAACTGGTCTCGGAACTTTTTGATGGCACCTGGTATGTAGGCTCGACGAAGTGCATTCCCCAAGTTCTTGACAGAACAAACGAAGGCTGCCATAGCAAGCCGGCGTGCCCAACCTGGGTGTGCCCGTGGAAGGTGCGCACGTGGCAGCTGCCCCTGAGCCAGTTGCGGCGCAGCCTGAAGCGCTGGCGGAAGACGGCGTGCCAGTCCACCCGGCCGTCCAGCCGTCGCAGCAACTGGAGCTGCTTGCGCTCCGTGGCCGCCCCGACCCTCCACTGGGGCAGGGCACACAGGCGCTGCCACAGGTACGGGTCCCGGGTGAGGTCGCGCCAGGAGCGGCAGACCGACGCGCAGCGCACCAGGGACACCGGGTCCAGGTACGAGAAGATGAGGAGGAGGGGGCCCTCGGGGAGGGCGCTCAGCCAGTCCTGGCAGTTGGCCGGGCAGTGCTCGTGCAGCACAGGCTGCAGCAGCACCGACAGCAGGTGGTTCTGGGACTGGCCACACTGGGCCTGCAGGGGTGGGTTGCTCGTTTAGCCGTCGCCATCCAGTCCAAAAGCCATAGCTATCCTATCTAATACAGTCCAAAACCATCGCTATCCAATCCAAAAATCATCACCTGGATGGCAATAGCTGTTTAGCCATCGTCATCCAGTCCAAAAGCCATCACAATCCTATCCAACCCAGTCCAAAGCCATCGCTATCCAATCCAAAATTCATCACCTGAATGGCGATGGCTTGTTTAGCCATCGCCATCCAGTCCAAAAGCCATCGCTATCTTATCCAATCAAAAGTTATCGCTATCCAATCCAAAAACCATCGCTAACCAATCCAGTCAAAAAGCCATATACCATGCTACCTGGAGCACGCCTCCAACCGGCGTGCTTGCCGCATCCGAACATGCTTTCCACACATTTCTACGACCAACTGCCAAGATTGCGACAACCAACAGCATGAGACTCCGTCTTTTGTGACGTCATTTGTTGTCAGTTTGGGACACTTTCCATACACAAGCAGAGTAGGACGCTAGACAGAGCAGCCAGAAACACATTTCAGGCACCGTGCCATTACTATATGATCCAATAGTCGTCACTATTCAATACAGTCCAAAAGCCATCACCATCCAATACAAAAGCCATTGTCATTCAACACAGTCCAAAAGCCATAAGTATCCTATCCAATTCAAAGCCTACTATTGACCAATAATCACCCTGAAAGTCATCAATTTCTAATCCAAAGACCAAAAGCTATCACTCTCCAATCCAGCTCAAAAGCCCAGACAGATGTGTTTGCCGCTGTGTGGCGGCTCTTTCCAAGCTTCAGCGTGTTTGCCGCTTGGGGCGGGTCGGGAATCCACTAAGTACAACGTCATGCGCAGGCCACTGTAAGTGGTATACATGCCTTGCGCCAGGCATGTATCTAGGGGGGGGGGGGGGCATGGGGCCTCGGCCCCGCCCCTTACAATCTTCCATTTTGCTGGGGCCTCCTCTCCCCCTCCCCCTGATACAGCATTTTGTCATGGGGGTGCTGTGACCTACTCAAACTTACCAGCAGTCCATATCCACAATGCCCCTAGAATTGGCCCTTCTCCGTTCCCAATTCAGGGTCAGTATTCTTTTCAATATAATTTGCCAGATTTGTTACGGGAAAAGCACAAAACTGAGAGCACTCTGTAACATCGAAGCATCCAAATTCAAACGTGGCCTCTTGTAAATAAATGCGCCGAGTCATTTAAATGAAAAGTTACAAAAAGTTGTGCGTCTCGCTTCATGACTGTTTGTGCTTGCATCTGCCAGACCTAAGCTTTAACGGAGCTTTGTCCAGAAATCAGCTCCCGTCCCTTCGAGTTTGGTGTCTGAAAAGCCAAGGACAAGGGGCTGAACGTTCGCGGCACTTCCCCGAGATGAGAAACATGTAAGAAGAACAATGGAAAATATAATGAGTCTCAGAATATCATGGAGTTTTGGGATTAGCCACGTGTCCTTTCTATATGCCTCCCTCTTCAGTTACCGAGGCAAAGCATGAAAACCCAATCTATCCCGAGAGCAGCGAGTGACCGGACTTACGAGGAGTGCTTTGAGTACGGCATTCTTCTGTTCGTCGGTGAAGTCGCTAAACCACTCCTTCATGACCTGTTGGAGAGAGAAAGTATAATAGTAAGGAAACATCGCTAGTGTCAGGCAGCTTACAGAGCGTCCATTTACGGGCAGCACTCAGAAGTTAAAAACTGAAGAGAACAAGTTTGGGTTGCAGAATGGTATAACAATTGTCATTCGCCACATTCTCACAGAAGAGAAAGAATCAACTTACGTAAATACTCTAGATCGTGCTTTCTGCATTGTCATGTTTGACATTTCGGTTATACCGTCGCCGCTACAAAGGAAGTTTTGCTTGGTGGTCGTCCTACTGAGAAGAAAATTTCCTGGAAGTATTCCTTCTACAAAAGTCAGCTGTAGTGGAATAAATTAACTAATGCAATAACGAACGAGTCCCACATCTAGAAAAGTCAATGTCTGAAAGAAGTGGTCATAAAATGAACAGGTTAGTTGAGAGTTAGCCATTATTTGCCAGTATTTTACAACCAAAAGCAATCAAGGGAAGACATTAAGCCTTACAATGGCCAAAACAAAAAATATATCTATCTTATAAATATTTGGGGTGTGCCAATATTGAAATTTCCTAATGTGAATCAAATATGAAAATTTGAAAACAAAGAAAGCTTTGAATATCAAATATGTTTCGAATATGTGTGTACCACAAAGAAATAACAAAACAAATATGCAAATACTTTCTCTATGACATTTCAAACCGAAAATGATAACAAGTTCAAGTAAACAAAACTATGCGACTAGGTAGCACATAAACAATACAATTGGTAACACATCTGTTATACCTTGACTAGTAATCACCTGCCAACTGTACATGAAAGCAGGCAAAAGGTGCAACTAATAAGTTATAAAAATTGACAAAATTAAGAGCGTACCAAACTGCACATGTCTAGATAGCACGTAAAAATTCAACCTCTAATGTTGTCACAAAAACAACTGGTAATGACCTTTCTTAAATAACCGAAATTGCCCTTGACTAGCCAGCAAGTTAGATATCAGCTGAAAATGCAATTATTGCAAATTATCATACAAGAAAATGAATTGTAACGCACATTCACTACATAAGTGCTCCCTTCTCACCGTGACAATTGCTCTTGCAACAGAAAATACCCTTGCTCCTGCAGCAGAAATTATAAGGTTGCTGGAAAAATGATTCACAATGCAGGCTTGGCAAAACGAAAACCAAAACTACTCCTTGGTCATGAGCTATTACATATGTGTTTGCACACTTAAAGCAACTTTTTTTTTTTTCCCAAATCGGTACCCGAAAATGCATGTGTGTTACAATTGAAACCAAAAAACGAAACTAAAAAGAAAAACGGAATACTCGGTGCAAGGTGCCTAGACCCATCACCATCGTGACCATTTGTTTACATTACATTCAACGTTACTAAAACACTCAATTGGGAAACTCGCACTCGAAACCTGGGCCGCTGGCGTCTACCGAGACCGAGCTAAATATGACAACAGCGCCACTCTTTATCATTTGTCTGTACTGAGGTCACATTGAGCTTTTAGAAAGCATGTTTTTGTGTAAAAACAAACGGAAAAGACTCTTTTTGAATGAAATTTTTTGGAGATTAGTACAAAATGAAGGGCGCGTGATGTTTTTATAATCTTTAGTTTGCAAGGTTTAGCGGAACAATTAATATTGTTTTTATACAACCATGCCTCAGCGGTGCTTTCAGGTAGCGCGTCCCGACCTAGGTGCATTTTAACTTCGGTAGTAAGTCGCGGTGCGTCCGCTGGGGAGAGGGGGTGGCACCCCTGTTACCTCTTCCCCTGTATCTGTTTCAGCGCCAAAATGGCCGATTAAAGGTGGCCGCTGCGGGAGAAATGGCGGCGTTGTGTTCGCCATTAGCTCGGTTCTGAAGGACAGATCGGGACCCCTTTTTCAGAACAGTCTCTATGGCAGTTTGCCAACTGAGTGGTTCTAGTAACGTTGATTACATTATAGAAGACTGGAAGATAACTTATTCGTCACCACACAATGTATAGAAATAGCAATGAAGAGCCGAACTTCTTTATGGTTAGCTTTTTTTTTTTTTGGACATCAAGGTACGACAATGTTAGGCAGGAAAAACTCTGGGGACAGCTTTTTCCAAAAAAAACTTTTGAAAAAACAGAAAGCAATGCAACTGGTCTGTATTTGTGTGCTGGCACAACAAAAGCAGTTTTCCAGGCTTACAGAAATGTACTTGTTATTGAGGGCAAGCTCAAATGTGATGCAGTACAGGAGCCAAGATATCAGAGCACCCTTTAACAATAGATATGAAGTGGTCAGGGATATATGAAAAGGAGTGATGGAACCTGGACTGTCTTTTGGCAATGGGTGCTCTGCATGAAATCAGAGGATTCAATCAGGACTAGAAATTCGACAAAGAAGTGTAGGCAGATTAGCACTGGGAGCACATGGAAATACACCAAATGAGCATGTACAGGGGGACATGGGCTGGTCATCTTTTGAGAGCAGGGAGGCAATTAGTAAGCTGAAATTTTAACAAAGGTTGACTGAAATGGATGATACGCGGTGGGCACGGAAGGTATTCAAGTATTTATACTAGAGGCGTGCGAACATTGAAATCTTTCGAAGCGAATCGAATCGAATCGAATAATAAATGTTATGTATCGAATCGAACCGAATATTTTCGAATACGAATAGTAGTTTCGAATAAGAACATTTTTAAGAACAAATATTTTCTATTTGATGTGAATTAAGGCGAAACACTGCTCCTTGAGGCAAAAAATATACTAAGAACAGTGTTCTAAAACATTTAAAAAGCATCCTAAGGCTTTCATTTATGCCTAACTGTATTCCACATACCTTTTAGTTCACTGATATATGTTTATTTTCTTAATTCAGCATTTCAATTTGTCTTAATCCTTCCCGTAAGCTGTGCAAATTAAATTTTCAATACTAACAAAACTAATTAGGTGACGTCAGAACCAAGTACATACTTGTAGTCAGATTGTAATGGCAGATAAGCTATGTAAATTTAATTTCAATTGAATCACAAGTTGTATAAAAAAAAGCTCTAGAAGCGGTGTTGCCTCTTAAACAAGAATGCTCAATCGAAAGACAACTGGAATTTTTTTTTTCACGAAACATTTATGAAAAGGTTAATTTCACCGCAATAAGAAGAATGTCACACTGTGACCGATAAAATAAAGATCAAATAAAATATCAGTCAGTAAAGCACCATTGAAGGAGTGAAGTTACAGAACGTAAATGAAAGTACACAAGTGGAGGCGGGTCGGCAAGCCACAACGCAGTTGGAGATCGAGTCGCGGACGAACGCAACTATGTGAACGTATACAAAAGTACACAAGCGGTGGCGGGTCGGCAAGCCACAATACAAAGTAGAAGACCACGTCGCACAGCTGGACCGACTTTGTGCAAACTTTGTTTACGCGGGTGAACGCAACCACGTGAACGTAAACCGAAGTACACAAGCGGAGGCGGGTCGGCAGCCCACAGCAGAGTTGGATATCGTGCTGGGGGGATCGGTGGCCGAGTGGGCAAGCGCACACCAGCTGAGAGCACCTCGAGCGAGAGCTCGCGCTGCAGAACCCAGGATCCTGGGTTCAATCCCCACTACTGCCCGTTTTGATCTGGAGGAGCATCGTACCGGAGTGCGGTCGTGTATCACTACTGCGTGGTGCACGTTAAAGACCCCAGGTTGGCGGTTGTACTGCACTGGCTAAATTGCTCATCTACAGCTGGGAGACTCGTCGCCCCTGGAGGCAGACCAAGTTCTAGGCTGTATAAACATACAAACAACCTATTTTTCTTTTGGAGATCGTGCTAATCGTAGGATTGAGCCGCGCAGCCGCCCTGACTTTGCGCCATCTCTTTCCGTGTGCAATAGTTCTGCCGATAGAGGGCGACTCAAAAAAACAATAAATTAAAAATTCATATTTTTTTTTTTCATTTTTTTTGGAGGGAACAAGTTATTTTTATCAGTGAAAATGGATAGAAAGAAATAAAAGGAATCCCGGCAAACCGATGAACCGGAAAATCAAGCGGAAAATAACACGAGCCAGATATCGCCGATAACCGAAGTCAGCCGTAAATCCATATCCGAATCCGTAGTAGTGAGAGTGGCCCATCGCGTTTGTGCTGACGACGATGCACGTGCCGTTGCAAACTTCATCAAATCTATTGCAGCGTTTGCGTCACGACCACTTCGCTAACTCCGGAATCCAGACGTCATGGCAAGCAGAGGACAGATCGTGCTACCGCAAATAACTTTCCATTGCATCGTATAAAAAACGTTCGTCCAAAAACAAAACAGGGAACTCGACCGCGAGTTGACACTAATCGGCGAGTTCCGCGTTATTTGTAGTTTCCGAAGTATTCGAAGAACTCGAATACTTCGAACAGCGAAAGTGTGAAGCGAATCAGATCGAATAGCAAGCATTATTCACGAAGTATTTGAAGTTTCGAATATTCGCACACCCCTAATTTATACATAAAAAGTTTAAACACAAAATGGACAAACCGAACCCAAAACCTTACATTTAAATACCTACTCACTAGTGATTGGGCTGAGCAGACTACTTCAGTGGAAAAGGGAGTGAAAGAGGCAGAAAGGAAAATGTGGGAGGGAACCATGCAGGACAAATCAGCTCTAACAGCGTACAGGTCACAAAAAACTTTCAGCCTTTCCACTCTGGTGAAGGAAATCAGCGAAGCTGTACTACGATGGGACGACCTCAAGGACGACGCCTAGAGGACGACGTCTAGGACGACCTCAAAAATGACGTCTAGGACGACTTTTAGGACGACCTCGAGGATGACCTTAGGGACGTCTAGGACGACCTCAAGGATGACGCCCAAAACGACCTCAGGGACAAAGTCTAGGACGACCTCAAGGACGACTTTAAGGACGACCTCAAGGACAACGTCTACGACGACCTCAAGGACAACTTATAGGACGACCTCTAGGACGACCTCAAGGACAACTTCTAGGACAACCTCAAGGACGACATCTAGGACGATGCCTAGAGAAATTCATCCTTTCCACTCTGGTGAAAACCAGAGTAAAAAGGCTGGAAAGGTTGCCACCATCTATGAGCGAGGCCGGCAAGCCAGTTGTCTGGTTGCCGCCGCCGCTCATAGATGGCAGTAGCTGTCCAGAGTTTTGTGTCGACATTTCTTTGCGGGGGACACGATCCTTGGGAAACTAGCCCTTCACAGCTCCGCTATAAAATTAGGACATAAGAAAGGAAAAGGTGTTTGACAATTCACTGGGAAGTTCTTTACTGTTTGAGGCGAGAACGGGAGTTTTGAGGACAAGGACGTATAGGGCTAAATTTCAGGAGACAGACACATTCTGTGCCGCCTGCCATAATGAGAGCGAGACACTAGAGCACTTGGTTTTGAGGTGCACGGGGCTTCACCCTGCCCTCCCTGAAGGAGTAACAGATTTGGCCGGGGCCCTGGGTTTTACCGGCGACGATGGAAGGACGGAGGAGAAAGGACTACAGTCACAAAGAGGACATTAGAAGATTAGTGGAAATTATCTAGGGAAAATTGAATGATGGGCAACTAACTAGCACAGCTGGGGACAGGCGGTACAGAGGAAGACTGGGACTCCCTCTCGCGTGGCTCCGGCCCAAAGTTTCAACCCTGTCCCCCAGTGGGTCAGGTGCTGGGGTAAGGCCAACAAAATTTGACCAGGGGGGAAGAGGCGGGGGGTGATGTGGGATATTATGGTGATATCCCACACTGCCTGGTGATAGAGGGAGAAAATTGGCTCAGAAGGGCAGGCAGAATCATACGTTTGTCTTTTTATACTTAGGATAGGTCAGGGGTGGCCAGGCTGACCCGGCCTAAGAGCCGCAAACAAAACCACGAAACTTCCAAGAGCCGCAGGAGGAAGGGGGCAGGGGGGGGGGGGGAAGCAAACTTTTGTTTAGAGCAATAAACACTCGAACTACTTTTAATCTATCCGGGTCAAAAGCAGTTCAACTGTACATAAGGAAGTAGTAGCACAAGACTACCAAACCACAACTTGTCTTTCAATTTAAGACGTGTTCCATTTCTTCTTTTGGGGAAGTGCTTGTGCAACCGGGAGGGAGGCGGGGAAGTGGGGTTGGTGGGGGGGGGGGAAGGGTGGGGGGAGGGGAGGAAGCCGCGAGCCGCACTTTAACATGCAAAGAGCTGCAGCTTGGCCACCCCTGGGATAGGTGGTGCAAGCTATCGCCCGTTACAAAGGGTATAGCCATTAAAATCCATCCATTTGCCAATTTGGTAACGGCAGACACGCGTCTACGGACTCGTATCTGCCGTTAAGATGGAGGAAGCAAAACAAAAATTCCACTAGGAGGTTTTATTTAAACGAAAGACCAACATGCTGGCGGGAAAAGATAACAAAGGAGTAGCACGCGTGGCCTCACAATCCCAGCAACCTGACAAGCTCACAAATTTGTTTTGGAAGACGACCCTCCCAGAGGCGATGGTTGCACACTCGTACAAGTGTGGGAAGTGCAGCACCTAAAACGTTTTAGACAAAAGCAAGGACTACCTCTGTGGACAGCGAAGAACCGTCGTTGAACTTCGACAACGGCGACTCGCGTACGGTATTTATTTTTGTGTTGGCGTGCATTTCATAAGGTCTGTTTTATGAGGTATAAGTTCAACCTTGATTACTTTCTTTACCTGTGCAGTAAAATATCAACAGCAATTTACTTTTCGAATACCTGGGAGCTAAATCTGTTTGAACATTAGATTGTGCAAACACAGTATCTGTATGTATAATGTAAACGGCAAGGGTTTATAAAAAAAAAATGCCCACAATATTCACAGTTTTAGGCGACTAAACACGGCTTTTAAGGAAGCTCTGAATGTTCGGGGTATGTCCCGCAAGCGGATTACTCGCTATTTTCCCGAATATTCGGCCATAACCGAATATTTGGAAATTTCCGAATATGCAATTCTCGAATTGAATATGAATCGAGTAAGAAAAATATTCTATTCGTATTCGAAATCTCGAATATTTGCACACCCCTCATAAATATACTTTTGAAATGTTCAACGGAAAAGCACTCCTCCACAATGTTTCAATGTCAAATTCAATAAAAATATATCAATGAGCCTCCGTACAGCACTGCTAAAGTCAAATTTGGGGGTTTCACATGCAAAACCAACGAAGGCCATCTTGCTCGCCCCAGTGGAGGACTGGGGATTCATTTCGATCCCCCAGGGTTCTTATGGCGCGCAACTGAAATCTCGGTTGCACGGCACCTTCTCCACAATAAGCCCCCGTCAGAATGCGGGCACCTCACCCAGGGTTCAAACCTGCCACCTGGGCAGGTTCGAATCCCGACACCTTGCCTCAAATCCGCCGAGGTGGCTGCACTGATGGAAGCAGCATTTGACCTTCTGTTGCATGTTCTGTGGCAGGCAAAATATTGGTTGGGAGCAGCCATAACATCTGCTAGCACATTACTTCAACATTAAGTTGAAGTAATGTGTTTACATTACTTCGATATAAACTACATGAGTTTATATTTGATAATGATTGAGGGTTCCCCTTTGGTACTGGAGCATGTCACTTATTACCTTTTCTAATAAGAATAAATAAGGCATAAAAGAAACGGAGAGTTTTTTTTTTAGAAATAAGGCTCTGGGGAGTGTAAGTTTCATTTACAATTGTTACCAAACAAATGAATGAAAAATGAATCATAGTGCAATATTTCAGTTAAGCCACCCCCTCCCTCCCTTCCCCCCTCCCTCCCTCCCCCCCCCCCTCTCTCTCTCTCTCCCTCTCTCTCTCTCTCGCTCTCTCCCTCCCCTAAGAAAAAAAGGAAACTTTTATGCTTGGTAGTTCATTCAGCATCTGAATATAATTCCTGTAAAATGCCCTCAGAAAACCAGCATATCCACTAACGTGTCTATCAATAAAAATGATTCACCCCATTTTACAAACCTATCAAACTAAAGACTCTAATACGAGTATTATAAATTGCAGAAAAAAACATCCACAAATATCATGAAAACATAGACTTGTGCTTTAAGACCACTCTTTTAGCGGCGTTGGAACCAGATTGCAGTCAAAGTTCACTGCTCTTTCGGTAGACAGCTGCACAAGAACTATTTTGACCGCATTTACTATTCGCATATAGACCCGCGTTTCTCTTTCTCAGCACAGCTTTTCATGATAAGAGATGGACCTCCAACGAAAACAAAAGGAAGTAGGCTCGTAATAGTACCGAGCATAATTTCCGAGCCTATCACGTTAACCCAGGCGCACCTCCGTGGCAGCCGCTGCTCGGACGTGACGAGAGGCGGCACGGAGGCACGCGGCAGATACAATCAACGAGTGATCTCACCGGGAGTACAAGACCCTGGTTATACGGTGTACCGCCTGCATGCGAGACGCCTAAAGCCCTGGTAGCACTACCGCTATTAAATGATAACAACCACTTCAGATACTAATTTAATTCGAGGTGAGCTTTTCTCCGGTTCCGTCAAAAGACTGCTGAGCTTTTCTCCGGACCCGCACAAAACTGGGTGAGCTTTTCTCCGGTGAGCTTTCTTCCGGGATTCAACACTGCTACCCACTGTAGATGAGAAATGTAGCCAGTGCAGTACAACCGCTAGCCTGGGGTCTTCAACCTTCATCACGCAGCAGTGATACACAACCTCATGCCGATACGATGCTCATACAGATCAAAACGGGCAGGGGTGGGGATCGAACCCAGGATCCCCAGGTTCTGACTAATAGGAAACTCATCTTGAAACAGCGCGACTAGACACGGACGAAGACAAAGGCTGGACAACACGAGCGCTGTGTTGTCCAGTATTTCTCTTCACCCGTATCTAGTTGCGCTGTTTCAAGATGAATATATGGCACCTTGTCCAATCATCTATTCTGTTAATATGAAACACGGTAAGACCTTAAAAGCCAAATTGCAAGTTTACACTTCAAGTTGCTTTCAAAATTATTGTTTTAACATAAAACCGAGTTATTTTTCCATTTTAACGATCCAGTGGTGGCCTTATTACTCAGAGTTAAAAGAAAAGAAGTCTCTGTTGTTATTCACATTTCTCTCAATGTTTTATAATTTCTTGATAAAAACTTTTTTAAAATATGTTTTGAATATGCTGGTACTATCATGTTCCATAAACTCTGAATCGTGCAGGGCTACCTCGAGCTAACCAGCACAGGACAATCCCCTCACACTGTAAGCTGCATTGAAGCTAGACCAATAAGAATGTTTCAATGCCTACAGTCTTCCCTGTCAAATACAACATGGAATTATAGGAGGTGACTTGATTATAGCGCTTTTAATCAGAGCGGTCAGTGCACAGCTTGAGCAAAGTGGTAACGCTATCGAGAGATTAAAGGCCCGAATAAAACAAAAATAAACAGGAAAATCTACCACCCAAGCTAAAGAAAAAAGAAAAAATATTCAGCCATCAGGAATTTAAAAAAAAACTATGTGCCTTTGTACTTTTGTAATCTCCTATTTCACTTGGAGAAGTATATTCCACACACAAAAACATTTGGTCAGGCATTAAAGAAATTGACCTGACTTAGTGTGTAACTGTGCTAACTTGCCTAAACTTTTCAGTTTTCTTGGCAAAGCTCAACTGACTCCGTGGCTGACCTGCTGCGTGCCATGCAGCAGGACAGACAATCTGTACCCCCATAAGCCTTATTGGCTTATCTGGGTACAGATTGTGGTATTTAAAAAAATGGCAATAAAAATGTATGTATGTATGTACACTTTCGGTAAATTTCCAGCTTCTACGCACATCCAAGCGGGACTTGGCAATAAAAATGTATGTATGTATAATTTCGGTAAATTTCCAGCTTCTACGCACATCCAAGCGGGACTTGAAGTCCGCCGGTCCCACGACGTCAGACGACTGCCTCCGCAGGACTGGCGCCGTCGTCTGCTTCACCGACCCCTTGCGCTGGTATGGCCGGTGCTTGAAGTTGCGCGGCAGGCTGTGGCACTTACGGGGTGCCTCCACTTTCCGAAATGCTGGCAGCACCTGCACAACACAACACACGTATCTCAATTTGTTAGGGAGGAAGGAAGGGAAGGCTGGTATGAAGCAAACCAGCAACCTCCCTCATTCGTTTTTCGGGTCTACGCCCGTTCCTGCATTTCTTCGCGAGACCCCAGGTTTGACAAGAGCCGTTTCCAACTGTCAACAAAACTATGAGTGCTCTAATTTGTTCTCGCTGCACGTCTCTTTTTTTTTTTTGCAAGTTACAAGGTTTATTACTGCAATGAGGCTAAGGACCTGGTTTTCGAAGACGCTAACAGTCTCGCAAACCAGGAAAACAAAGTTTTGCCATAGAGCAATTGGATTCCAGCCACTTGGCTAACGTAATTGGCTAAACATGGTATGGGTGTGTCAGCAAGTAAGTGTTTACAAAAACCATGACAAGTGGACTATTCTCAACGGTAATGGGGGATGGATTCCTTTTATACAGATTTGAGACAACCTGCCTACCACTTTGTGTTGGTGACATGGGACAAAACAAGAGCATCCAAAGCCTTAGCATCCGTCAGTGGAGTAACCTCAAACAACAAATGACATTGGTTGGGTAGATCTAGCGCAGCACAAGCCCTCACAAACGTAAAGCAACAAAGATTCATTCTCTCATAGCTCCGAACATTACTATAGCATTTGTATTCATGCTCAGAGTGTTACAATCCACATTTATTCCTGTGGTGAGACTTGTTCTGCAAGCAAACACTGTGCTTTCAAATTTTCTACAAGCAAAAGTTGGCCCTTTTGTACATTATAGACCCTTTTCACAAGGGCACCTCCATCTTGAATTGTCGTCACTTCCAGTATGGGTGAAAACATTGTTTTGCCGTCGCCACGCCAATGGAAGACATTTAGGATATAAGCATATCCGTCATCCATTCTTGTTTTGCCTCCCCTCTAATTTTTTTACTATTTGCAGGTTGAAGTGTTTTATTGTTTTTTCATCGCCCATACCGGATACGCCGGTTAGGTGGCTGGGGACCAGAGTAAAGGAAAAGGTCAGTTAGTGCTGAGCAACAAATCAATCAGCCCAAGTTGTATAGCTTAAAGGGATATTCACAAGGGTATTTATGCTCGCTGAGGATTTTATTTGAACGTGACCAACAAGAGCCCAACTACCAAGAACAGAATCTGCAGCTCGAAATTTGTATTCTTTCCACCCGAAAACCGCCGGTCGAGAGTTGGCCGGTTTTAGGCGCACTCACTCTCTTTTCCACGACTACGTGCCAATCAAACTGATGCATAACAAATATCTTCAAAGCCGTGGGTCATCTATGGCACACATTCAATATTAAAAATAGAAAAGAATATGAACTCCATTTTTTTGAGGCTTTAAAATGTTGATGAAAAACAATTGTTGCACAGATCTCGCGAAGTAGATGTACACGTCATTCTCAATATGGCGACGTATCGTAGGCTGGACAACGCCATGACGGCGCACGACGGCCCAACTTTGCAACGGACGTGGGACTGCCACTTCGGAACTGTGATTCGTGGTACCGGTCAATTGATCTTCAAGCACAGAATAGCGAGGGGAAAGGATATAAGTGCGAAACAATCGCACGACGAACGGATCAAGCAATGTCCTCATTGTCGTCGTCTGCTTCACGCGCCCAAGAAGCGGAGGAACGAAAAAAACGGGGTAGAGAGCGATAGCCACGTGACTTCCGGCAACTGTCTCCTCAGAGCCCCGTCCACATGTTTCGGTATCGGTTTCAAGTAGTTTTGTTTTTTGACTTAATTAAAAATATATATGACTCTGGAGCAAAATAATGATTAGGTAGTCTTCTCACGCCATACTAAGTCGCCTGGCAAAAAATAACAAAAAAATATTTGGGGGGAGGGGGGGGGTCAGTGTCCCTTTAAATGCTGAGAAACATATCTCATTGCTTAAACTGATGCCCGAGGTTAGTATATAGTGAATTTTACCTTTACGCTCGCTGAACAATTTGCTGTAAAAATCTGTGTCTGCACATAGCAAGCTGAAATTTTTATTAAAGCTGTATTTCAGTGGTCCCTGAGAAATTTCAAGGTACAGTGCCTTTTCCCATGAAAAAAAAACAAAAAAAAAACATCCTTGAGAATTTCAACAATGCGATGCAATGCAGACGACCGTGTCACACTCAGAGTACCTAGTGTCCGGAGCTTCTATTAAAGGGTGGTGCAGCGTGTCCCAATTGAAAAAGGCCATCACAATGATGGCTGATCAGACTGAAGATAACCTTCATGTGCTCTAATTTTCCCCTAAAATTAATCATGTGCAGCAAAGTCAACATCGAAACTAACAGAAACAAATGTGAACTTGCAAACCCGCCAAAGACAAATTGATTAGTACTTGTAGTGCCACACAACATATGCAATGCAGTGTTGCACACAATTTTTTTTTTTTTTATTCGGATACAAGATTTTAGCAACTAAAAACTCAACAGATTAAAAACGTAACTTGCAGAATGAATGGCAGGAATGAAAACGGTGAAGACACGATGGAAGTTAAACATATAAAATAGGGCAAAAAAGACAAGGACAAGAAGTATAGGACTAGTTGAAAGTTAGCGCTTGTCCTGTATACTTCTTGTCCTTGTCTTTTTTGCGCTATTTTATATTTGTTCAACTAAGATGAACCAACTAGCCCAACAACGTACTCTACTACACGATGGAAGACATGCAGCCTCCCGTGTTCATTACTTCCGATGCTTTCCATTATTTATTCTTGTAACACACTCCTTCATCGAGCAACTTGCAGACAGTAGCGGGCCATATCTTGTGCTCTGTTACTTTCACATGGCAAAATGCCGACCAGTGAAAAAGAAAAAACAAAAAAACCTGCCACTACGTCTATCTTAAGTATATCGTGCTTTTTGTTTTTTAACCACGAGTTTGGCATCAGGATTCAGTGCTCCCACGACGTCTCCCTTCCACTGTTTTAGTCCCAAGTCATCAGCGTTTAGACGGGAACAGGCCTGGTATTCGGCATGGCTGAAAGGCAATTGACAATTGGGGCTCGGTGTAAAAAATTTCGTGAGCATTCCATTGACAATTATTTAAAGGAAAAAAAAAACGCAAAACGACGAGCCTGCCGCATTGCCCAGAATAGTTTGCTTTGCGTATCATCTGAGTGCTTGCAGCGTGCAAGCGCAGCGAATGCCATCTGACGTGCCGCTGTTCCGTTTACGCCAAGTACGCCAATTGCGCCGCACACCTGTTCAACAGTTGTCCGCTTGGCCGATGCGTGCGACGAACAGATGATGTGCGGGTAGCCGTTGGACACCAGGTCGGCCACGCTCTTGTGGTGTCCGTTGGCCAGGAGCCTGCAAGGCTTCCATCCGACGGTCCGCGACCCGCCGGAGTCGTCGGTGTCTTCCGGCGCACCTTTGACGACACCTTCGGCGGAGACGGTCTCGCACAGCGGACAGTCTAGCCGCTTCCCGCTGGACCGGTAGTCCGCGCTGGGGGGGTACGACCGCAGTTCCATGGCCCCGAGCTCAGGGTGAGGATGCACCGCCGGCTGACCACAACGCAGGATGTGCCGCCGATGTTTGCCTCTGCGGTCTCCCCGGAAGGTACGCACGCAGCGCTCGTCGTCTCCAATGCATCGGCAATCGGAGCGCTCCGGACAAGCCGCATCCAGCCCGTCACTTGTATCTGATCGGATTCGTGATGTCCGGGCTATCCGGTATGATTTCTCCAGGCGCTCACGCTTTTCCCGTCACAGAAAGTCTCCGAAAACTACGCGTGACAAGCCACAAGTCATGCTGGTTGGCTGGCTGTCTGCGGCCGTCGGCCGTGTCACGCTTAAAAAATGCCACAGGTACCGCTGGCGCTCTAGGCGCTCTCGAAGTTAGTATCGACAGCCTCAGAAAGATGGCACTGCTAGCACTAGGTGTTTTTAATTGTTTTTATGGTTTTGTTTGTTTCGTTGGCTTCTAGATATGTAACGTAGGAAAATCCCAGGCCTAAAGTTCTTCTAATGGTGTAATTTCACTGCATCTTGCCGTATTTTAGGCTTTTGTAAAGGCAAGACGACCTACTTGCTGCAAGGCACGTCTACACACTCCAACTAGGGGAGAAGTGAACCACCACAGATCACGTCTACGAGTTCGTGACGTCACGACGTGATGCTGGCCGCCATCTTGTTTGCTTTGACTCCCAGCTGCCGGTGGTGCGCGTGTTCTTATTTAAAATAGAACGTAAATAAACGCCCAGAAGCAGATTGAGCACGTGAAATGAACTTGAACAAGGACGCCCTTTTGGACGAGTTAACGGGTAAGTGGACGGGAAATGCGCGTACAGTTAATTGAGTCCGCAAATCCGCTGCTGTCATTTCCATGTTGACCGACCCACAAAACAGCAGCGATGCATGACCTGAGTTTGCTCCTGTGAGGTCCTCCTCTGAACAGCTCGATGACTGGCGTCACCCTTCGGTGATGCGAGAGCTTTTTGGTTCCATTCTGCTCACAATTTGCGCTTCACTGAGTCCCTCCCTCCCAAAAATGGCACTTATCTTCCCACACTTTTTTTTAAATTTTTATTGACAAGACTTCGCAAGTCAGAAACCCGCGGAGATTCCAACTTCGCTGGACGAGTACTTGGGCAATGTGGCGAAGACTGGGGACACGTTGTAAGTCACTATTTCTAATCGACTGTATAAGAGACTGGAAGCTTTCTTTCTCTTACAAATTGAGTAAATGAAAATAAACCCGGAAGGAAAGGATAGAAAAAAGGGAGCTTGAGCGTTTTCTTCCCTGCGTAGGTTTCCATGGCAGAACCTCAAACCTCTGCTCTGTCGAAAGTTGGAGCTTGTGATGAACGAGTTCTACAAGCAGTACCCTACGGACGACCTTCCCGCCCTACCCAACGTGGAGCCGTTCAAATACGAAGACATGAAGGCCAAGATCCTAGAGTCCATCAACTGCTTCACCAGGTTTGTGTCTTCTTGCACTGGGCGAGCCTTATTTTTTTTTTTTTTCTGGACTTTTGAGGATGCTTGAAGGTCTTTGACTGTGTTAGAGATCGATAACGAGGCAGCAGCTTTGGCATTGATGAATTATATGGTATTACAGCAAAAGAAAGTTCACTTAAGATAGGTTGAAAGTTGTCCAGAAACAGCAAGGCGGTGGATGTAATGCTGTTGACCACATGGGTACAAACAGGGCTTTGACAGACAATCTGGGTGCAAGGGCTGCCGTACTGAACAACCCTATTCACTTTTCGTTTGCAACCAGTTCATGTGGCGGGGAAAGTGTTGCCTACCTTTTGGCTTTGTTTCTGAAAGCTCTGCATCCACAAGTTTCCTGGGATTTCAAGCTCATGCGTTTGAAAAGCTGGTTAAAAAAAAAAAAATTATGTTTTGTTTTTTGGGTAAAATTATTCCTCGCTTTATACGTGAGAGGGAGGGCTGCTGGAAAGTGAGTGACAAGATGCAATGCAAACCGCATATGAATGATTGAGGAGGTTATGAAAAGAAGGTGTATCTGCCTGATCTTAATTTTCTTACATTCATTACACCTCAGAGATGTTGTATCCTAAGTGTTACAGCGAAACATTGGGCCCGACACAGTATTCCAGGAGGAGAGGAAAGAATGGGACGGACACTAGAAAGTTCCAAGCTTTGTGTTGTCCGTCCCATTTTTTCCCCCACTCCTGGGTTACCATGTTAGCATTAAGCCAGATCACTTGCATTCTTGCTTTCAATTGTGCCTGCATTTTATAGACCGACACGCTGTTTATGAACAAGCCCGCGTTTGCCCCCACCAGGTGTGGACAATGCGCGTGCGCAGAAACCAGGTTCGCGTGAAGTGAAACTTATGCGCCATGCCGTCGACAGCGCCACCGCAGCTGCGCGACGTCGGGGCCGCAGGAGTCAAAGTCCACAAAGCCGACAATTCGCCGGTCTCTATTAAAATGTTTGTTTTAAAAATATTGCTTTGTACTTCTGACACCAGATGGTACTTCACATTCTATATTTTTAATTGCATTTAGGAGTAAACAAAAAAAAATTGTAATTTGTGTTTTTAAAGACGAGTCTTTACACCGGCGCCGACGTCAAAAGGCGACCCTTGTGCAGCAGTCCGGGGTCTTTCTTACATCGCCTCTTCCAGGTGCATGTGTGGGGGCGCAGATATGTTGCGCGTTTTTGCCAGGGGGAGCAGAATTGCTAGTGCACAGATGCGCTCCGATAAGAAACCAAAACCTAAAAATGCATCCAAATCGAGAATCTTTTTGGAACGGCGTCGATCCTCCCTTTTTCTGGAGAGTGCTTGAGTGCTTAGAAATTTGCTGCAAAAATGGAGGGACTGATTTCCCTCTTTCTGGAGAGTGCTTGAGTGCTTAGAAATTTGGTGCAGAACTAATCCTCCCTTTTCTCGACAGTGCTTGAGCGCTTAGAAATTCGCTGTAGGACTAACCCTTCCTGTTTCAGGACAATGCTTCTGTGCTTAGAAATTTGCTGCAAAACTGATCCTCCCTGTTTCAGGGCATTGCTTGAGTGTTTAGAAATTTTGCAGCAGGACTGATCCTCCTTGTTTGTGGGCAGCGCACCATTCACGATCCAGCGGCTGTGTGAGCTTGTGGTGGATCCCAGGAAGCACTACAGACGCACGGACAAGTTCATGCGAGGACTGGAGAAGAATGTGCTGGTGGTGAGCACCGTGGAGCCCAAGTCAGCCGTGTGAGTGGCCATCCACTACCGCTTTTGGACAGCCCAAGTCGGGGCCAACAGTTAAAGAGGGATGGCAGGTTTCCTAGTGGTTTTCTTTCGAACATGGGTCTAAAGGCCCGTTCACACTCTTGCGACCAAGCTAGACCGAGAAACCAAACCGGTTTTTAAGCCTCTTGCGACTTCTTAGGACCAGCTCCGCTGCATCGCATCCGGTCCTAAGAAGTCGCAAAAGGCTTAAATACCGGACTGGTCTTTCTCGGTTGAAGACGGTCGCAAGAGTGTGAATGGGCCTTTAGGGTTCTCAGGAGCTCCAGTGGTCCCTGAAGCTTTATGAATCGTCCATCGGACGCCCTTGAGGTGAATAAAATGAAATGAATACATCCAGGGACCCTAAAAACTCCAGGAGTGTCACCAGGGGTACCTGAAACCTTAGGGACCAATGAAATCAAGGAGTACCTCCAGGCATCTGTCGAACTCTGGTTGAAGCACTGCTGAACCAGGGACTGGTGCATCAATATTGTGTCAAGGAACTGAAGAGCTGAGAAAACTAAAGGTTTCACGAGGAAGACTTTCGACCACAAATCAAACAGTGCTTCAGTTATAGTACCCTGGGTTCAATGTTTACAGATAAAACTGGAAAAATTCAAAAGATACTCGCCAGTGAAGTTTTCGTCAAAACACATTTATCCCCAAAACACATATTTTCAACAAAAAAAAAAGTACCAAGGCTAAAAAATGGAATAAAAAAGATGGCCGTATATTTTTGTTGCTTTGCTCGGTAAGAATGCAGGGTCAGAGGTCCTGAGCAGAGGTCACTTGAGGTTCCTTTGAAATCTCGGACGATTGACAGAAGGAAGGTTTATCTCGTCAACTTTGATTAGGGACTACAGTTCACTGTATTTCCGGGACAGAACAAGAGCCAGTTTCTATGTGTGATAGTGCTTGCCATTGTTAGGGTTCTTGAGTTCACACCTTACCATTTCTGCTTTTTGCAGAGAGGACGGGTAGTGCTTTCATAACGGTGGAATATAATTTCATTAGGGGAAGCCGTCAATTTTCTTCTTTTCTTAGTTTATTTGGCATACTTAGGCACTTCAAAAGCATTGCTTTTTGTTGTTCAGCATGGAAATAGTGCTATCTGCTGAAAAAAAAACAAAAAAACAATAAAAGCAATTTATCTTTGTTGTATGGATAAAGTCAGTGTACACAAAATGTGCTTCTATGGCATTCCTTTGAGCTTGTGGCAAACTTCCCGGTTGTTTATTTATTTGATTTGCTTATACGGATAGGAATTGGGGAAGAGGATGGGATGAGAGTGTATGGGGACATGGAAGCACAGAACACTGGTTAAAATGATTAGTGGGTAGATGTAAAGCTGCTTTGGGCTCTACTCACCGTTGGGACACGACAGAACGCCGGCGTTCGACTGGGGAATCAACGGGTTCTTTCCTCTTCTCAAGTCTCACCTCTGGCGCAGCGGTAAAGCGTCGGCCTCCTAATCTTGGGCCCGTTTTCTCGAACGCGAACCGTGGTTTAAAGTTAACTATTGTCCCTAGAAGGGGGAATTCTAGGTCACGTGACTGGGAGAGCAGGGGCGCCGAGGGAGGAGCAGTACCTACAAGCAAAATGGCCGCGACGTCGCTTAATGTGGGCTAATAGTTCTGCTTGGTTCTGCTGAACATTCATTTCAATCTGGCTGTTATATAATGACTCACCATCAACCTATTAGCGCGTCAAGCAAAGCGATAGTTCAGAGGGACTACTAAACTAACTGACGGCAGCATTCCGCGAACGCATCACCCTTCAGCAGTCCGAGATCCAAGACATATGACGGTACATAAGCTTTGCAAGTGTTTTTATGGTGAGTAAAAAAATGTTTTGCAAACGAGTGTTGGTACATATTTATACTAAGACGTTTAATTTGTTACACTATGCACGCCAACTCGTGAGCAGCGATTACTTTGAAGACAAAGGGGGTTATCCTCAATAAAGTCTTCGTTCCGGGTGAACAGCTGAGACATTGTACTGTTTTTTTTTTTGTTCACAGTGCGCCGACAGTATGCCGACAGCATTGAGGTTTCTACATATCCCCGGTGGCCAGCAATTCAACGGTGACGAGAAGCTTAGCTTCTCGTCACCGGTGAATCGGTTGGGCTAACGGAAGAGTGGGCAAACAGTTGAGATCAGCAGGAATCGCAGAAACGTGCGTCGCAAGGAACGAAAACGAGACTACAGCACCGGCGTTGCCAGACGGGAAGAAACACGGGAAAGTTATGCGTTGTTTATGGCGAAAGCATATTGAAAGAAATGTTTCTTACATTTTTGAATATTCGTCGACAAACTCTAGCATAGTAGCTAAAATTTCTTCGTACAGTATAGACCATTTACAACGTAACCACTTATTGTGCAGGATCGGGTATAACGCGGTTTTTTTAAACCACCGGTTCGCCTCCCATAGAACTCCATGTAATTACATACCGCTTAAAATGCAGGCGCGCGAAGGGAAATACTGGTTATAGTGCGGTTTCTGGAACTGCGCGCCGACCGACCAGCGCAGCGAGCACGCTTCCCTGTGCGACACTAGATAACGGCGCTAGCCTGGCTAGCCCGCAAGCGGCACTCGCGGGGCAAGGAGGTTGCTCGAAGAAGCGGGGAGAAACGAAAAGAGAGGCTTCAGTTGCCATAGCGACGGAAGGACGCACGCACGTGTCGTTCACGTGCGTGCGTCGCCCCACAACCGCAACGACAGGCCAATCGCAGGTCAAGGAGAAGTGTTCGCGCGCGTTGCATGCCGGTCGCGGGCCGGCTACTTCTATCCGCAAACATGGCGTCGGTTGTGATCGTCGACGTAGATGGCGTGGTTCGTTCCGCGTAAATCGTTTCGCGTAAAAGCGCTATCCTTGACTGAATTTTCGCTGTGTGTCGCTATGATAACCCAGCACGTACTAGAAGGGAAGATCCACCTACTCGTGCGGCAATGTCGTGGCGGCACTCTCAAGACGGCAGAAACGCCCGTTCCGTCGTGTTTGTTTACTTCGACTACAGTGGTGATTTCTAGGCATTTGTGTTTTCGAACATCGCCCGGATTTCTTATGTGGAGCATTTCATGCCTGTGCTCAAGTTGAATGTATTACTGGCGCGTACCATATAAAGAATCAAATTTTCAAGCGTTTTCATCACCGGAGAAAAGTGATTAGGGTTAGCAATCCTGAACGCTAGCAACGTCCGTCCGCAACCCGCCACGCCGTTAAAAGGCTGCGCCAGGCAAAAGTCGCTAATTTCTTTCAAAATGTGTGACACACTTGAGAGAGAAGTGTACTAGTCTGGTGAAATAAAGACTTTCCTAAAACTAAGCTTTATTTTTCATCTAATATAAAATAAATTTGTTTTACAAAGGTAAGTTCTCTCATGGCATGTATTTTGGCCTGAAAAATTTATGTTTTGGTTATAACGCGGTACCGCTTATAGTGCGGATTTTCGCAACTCCCGCGACATACGTTATATGCGGTCTACACTGTACCATCGGAAGCAAATAAATTGGTCTTCAAGTACAACATTAGTATATTTTGACTTAAAATACCATACTAGATCGATGACAACCAGCGGAAAAAGAGGATAAACAAAATGACTGGCTTGTTTCACCGATAGATGGCGCATCTTATTGCCCAATCAAAAATAATTATTGTTGTTCTATATCGTCATTTATTACAGTACCTAGGTACTTTTCCCTTCCTAGGCACCGTGGTTTACCAAAATGGGTTTACCATCGCTTCGAGAAAACCGGTCGTGGGTTCGATCCCCGTCAGGTCAGATTTAGAAGTTTGTTCTTTCTTCTCAGTCATGCATTCTTTTGTACAGATTGTCCTTCGAAGTATGCGATACACATTTCGTAACGGTCTTTGTCGCGTTCCGTCGCATTTCTCGCTGGGGCCCCATCCCTAAACAGATTCTGCGTTAAGGGGGGACACTGGCTAGAGGTCAAACTTTTGAACTACTCAAGTGATTGGAATGAAATTTGCAGGGCAGGTTTAGCTTCAGATGTAGGTGTACTGTGCAAACTTTCAGCTCTCTAGGACAAATTTACATACCTGCATAAGATGATGTGTCACTTTTCATTAAGAAATCTATGATATGCAAATGAAGCTATTAAGCATCCTTTTGACTGCTTCAATATAAAGTGGGGAATATGGGACTTCGGGCTATCTAGTTTTAATAACTTAAATGTAAATATTTCAGGAAGAGTTATTACCTCAAACTATGAGATGCATATCTGTCCTCTGTCAATTTTTGAAAACTTAGTTTTTTATCACTGAGGACTTCAACCTATAACAAAATAAAGTAGATAGCCCGATTCCTGAGTAAATTTCAGTTTAGAAACATCTTGATTGTGGTATCAGAATACTTTCACCTTCGAACAAAAGATTCCTTCGTATGAAATTTGCAGCAAAAAGTGGAACTGAGAAAAATGCATTCAAACATTGAACTCCTTTACTTTGTTACTGCCTCACAATGTGTTGAAAATATTTGATATCAATGTAACTATTTGGCATATGGTTATCAAATTTGGTGTAAGGGTGTATAATTAGTTTCTAAAACTGAAAACCTCAAAATTAAAAAATGCATTTTTTCAAAAAAATTTAAAATTTAGGCCCATGTCCCCCCTTAAAAGATTGAGGCTGATTCAATTTGGTCGGTTCCAGCGCCGCTCAGGACACGTCCGCAGGAGCGGTCCCGATGGTAAACGGCCTACCCGGCGTCGAAGACAACGGGATCAACGGCCACCTTGCCGACTCGACGGACGACATTGCGGGCCCTCACTCGGAGCCAGAGGTCGGCGACCCTGTCCCGGATGGAAAGGCGGAGCCAGAGTCCAGCACGGCCTCCGTCGTGGAGGTCCAGGCTCCAAACGACGAGGCGTCTGCAGGTCAGAAGATGCCGCCTTTTCATGGTCGAAGCGCACAGCCCCGCTTGCAGCGTGCTACGGTTTCTTTAGTAATTTATTTAGAATATACTGCGGGCCTTTCGAAAGGCCCCTGCAGGTGCGGAGTACGACGGAAACCAGAGGGAACTAAGAAGAATATATTACAACAAGAAATGTATTTCGTTTAGCATTCCAAGCTCCGATGAACAGGCGCATTAGAAAGAAACGCAAAGTAACAATGTGATTACCGTAAAATCCCGTAAGGACGCCCTCCCCCGAGATATCGCCCGTCATATTTTTCTGGCTAAATATCCGTAACATAAAAATTACGAAGCATCGCCCACCCCCCGACTCCCATCGGACTCGCCGCGTGATGTCCGACAGGAATTGCATCGATCCGTGGTACCGTTCCGTGGTTCGCGTAGACACACCGTAGAGGTACCGTCTTACAAGCTTGTTTGTAGTGGGTTCCTGCATATTTGTCCGCGATTCTAGCACGCAATATCATTTCCCCTAACGCGCCAGTTCTTCCCGAGTTTCTTACCGAGGAATCCTCGAAGTTGTTTTCGACAGGAGGATGGTTTAGCAAGATTGCCAGAGTAAGGAGGGGAGTAGCTTATACAGTATAGACCACTTACAACGTAACCGCTTATAGTGCAGGACCGGGTATAACGCGGCTTTTTTAAACCACCGGTTCGCCTCCCATAGAACTCCATGTAATTACATACCGCTTAAAATGCAGGCGCGCGAAGGGAAATACCGGTTATAGTGCGGTTTTTGGAACAACCCGGCGACCGCGCCGACTGACCGACGCAGAGAGCACGCTTCCCTGTGTGACACTAGATAACGGCGCGAGCCGCAAGCGGCACTCGCGGGGCAAGGAGGTTGCTTGAAGAAGCGGGGAGAAGCGGAGAGAGGCTTCAGTTGCCATAGCGACGGAGGGATGCACGCACGTGTCGTTCACGTGCGTGCGTCCCTTCGCTGCGTTGGAAACAACCGCAACGACAGACCAATCGCAGGTCGAGGAGAAGTGTTCGCGCGCGTTGCATGCCGGTCGCGGGCCGGCCGGCTGCTTCTATCCGCAAACATGGCGTCGGTTTTGATAGTCGATGTAGACGGCGTGGTAGAAGCTCATCGTTCCGCGTAAAAGCGCTATCCTTGACTGTGAATTTTCGTTGTGTGTACTAGAAGGGAAGATCCACCTACTTGTGCGGCGATGTTGTGGCGGCACTCTCAAGACTGCAGAAACGCCCGTGTCGTCGTGTTTGTTTACTTCGACTGCAGTGGTGCTTTCTAAGCATTTGTGTTTTCGAACATCGCTTGGATTTCTTATTTGGAACATTTCACGCCTGTGCTAAAGTTGAAGGTATTACTGGCGCATACCGTATAAAGGATGTGAATTTTCACGCGTTTTCATCGCCGGAGAAAAGTGATTAGGGTTAGCAATCCTCAACGCTCGCAACGTCCGTCCGCAACCCGCGACGCTGTTAAAAGGCTGCGCCAGGCAAAAGTCGCTAATTTCTTTCAAAATGTGTGACACACTTGAGAGAGAAGTGTACTAGTCTGGTGAAATAAAGACTTTCCTCAAACTAAGCTTTATTTTTCATCTAACATAAAATAAATTCTTTTCCAAATGTAAGTTGTCTCATGGCATGCATTTTGGCCTGAAAAATTGATGTTTTGGTTATAGCGCGGTACCGCTTACAGTGCGGATTTTCGCGACTCCCGCGACAAACGTTATATGCGGTCTACACTGTAGTTATTCTAATCCAATAAGGGGACAGTAGCAAAAACCCGTTTTCCTGCAGGCAGAAAACATTTCTTGTTTCGATAATCTGATGTAATCGGAAAAGCAATGGTCACCTTTTCAAATGACGGCCAATTACCTGTTTACTCGAGTAATCCAGCATCTAATAAATAAGAATATTGTTTTACAAAAAAGTGAAAGCCGTTTACAAATCCCTGTAACGCCGAATTGGAGCGCAGCTCTTGAGGAGGAGTAGGGAAGGGTACTGAGGGGGGTCACGTCACCTGCGGGTAGTCACGTGACCCCGGGGGGGTCACGTGATCTCGGGGGAGGGGAGGTCACGTGACCTCAGGGGGGGGGGGGTCACGTGACCCCCCCCCCCGGTTACGTTGACGCCGACGCCGCTCAGGCTGGAAACGGGCCCCTAAGAGCTGTGCTCTAAAATAAAAAACAGGTGTCCAAACATGTTTATCAACTATGCTCACGGACTTACCCAAGCTGGGCTCTCTTTTATCAATAAAGAAGTAAAGATTTAAAAAAAATTGAAAAGTTTATTTGGTTCTGAAATGAGTGTACCCGGTTAGGTGACGAACGATTCAATTTATTTGGCTCATTCAATTTGATTGATTTGATTTGTCATTTATTGTTTATTTTCTTTTATTGGTTAGATTTGACTTACACGATTTTATTAATTTAATTGGGTTAATTTTTTGGGGTTTTTTTTTGTTTGCAGGAGACCGGCCGCCAGGCGCCGACGAGAGTGGGGAAGTATCGGAAAAAATGGAAGTCGCGGAAGAGGAGAAGCCGTCGTCTTCCACAGAGGCAAACACGAGCAAGGTCGTGGAAGAGCCAGAAGCTCCAGCAAAACTCGCGGAAGTTGTGGCTCCAGCCGAAGACGTAATCGTCGAAAAACCCATGTCTCCAACAGCCGAAGAGCCCGCTGCGCAAGCGCCGTCTCCGGAAGTTGCTGTCCACGCGGCACACACGGACGCAGAACCAAAGCCCGTCGAAGAGGAAGTCGCTCCCACGAAAGCGAGCGACGAAAAAGAGGCGAGCGTCGAGTCGGAGGAAGCGGAGGCAACTCTGGCGGAACCCGAGATCGCGGCGGAGGACGCCCAGGTTGCGTCGGAGTCGACTTTGAGTTCCGCGACGGTGGACTCGAGCGACGGGGAGTCGAGCGCTTCCCTCGACGGCCCGTCGGAGGAGACGGCCGAACCCCCCCTCAAGAAGTTCCACCCAGAGCCGGAGAGCGAACCCACGGAGGAACTGCCGCTGTCGTCTGCCGCCGCGACGGAGGACTGCATCACGGAAAAAGAAGTCTCGGTGAGGTCTAGAGACGTTTAAAGTGGTTGCTTTATACGAGAACACTGGCTTTGCTCGCTCATATTGGTTGTACTCTAGCAGGGCCTTGGGAAAGAGTGTCAGCAACTCAAATGGAGCCGAAGCGGGAGTGTGCAAGTTGAATGAGACACTGGGAGACGTCTGGAACAGTAATGGACATAAAACAGAACGGTGCAATCCACCGATAACGATAATGAGAAAACTGAAAATAGGATCGATTGCTGTCTCATTTTGAAAGATAGCCCACCCGACATTTTTCACCATTTATCTTTTTAAGATGGGTTCCCACCCATACTGGATTTTATGGTACGTAGTTCATAACTAAGAAATTGCTCGAGATCGGCGTTGGAAATAACATCCAAAGTGCTGTGCAGATGGAAATCATTGCCCTTGTGGGCTGTATACACCTCAGCGTTTTGTTTGCCCGCAATGGGAAATGCATGTTATTACTGCGCCATTATTCTTTTCTAGTGCCAATTCAGGCATCTTATTGCTAGTTCAAGTTTGCCTGCTTTTAGTTGTTTTTTCTGGGGAGGGGGGGGAGGCAGTTTGTTTCTTCAAGTAACAATTTTGGCAATGCCCAATGAAACAAAATGATTGAGGGACGGATAGGTGCTACTAAACCTCTCGAATTGAGCGGCGACTCGCACCACGCAGCCAGTGTGTATAATTTAGACTTTTATGGCAAAATGGAAATCAGACCATTTAATACTGTTGTCTGATATCAGACGCATGTTTCCTCTCGACTCATAAGTAGGGTGTGTACTTTCCGGTGTGTATTTCTGACAAAATTGGCAAATGTTTATTGGTGTTTTTTTTTTTTCACACTCAACCACATTCTACGTTCTTTCTATTCAACTCTCGCGATTCACCGGTGACTCGCGACTGCCGATTATGTTGGATGGATGGATGCAATCGACACAATTTGCAATTCACCGGCGATTCACCGAGACCTCTGAATTGCCAGCTTTGGTAATCTGGTCTCTGCCAAAGTGGGCAGCAAATCTCCGTCATTGTTTGCTTTGGTGATATGCCCTCCTTTTACAATGCCACGGAGTTGCCAGCGAATGAACCTTTCGTTCAGTAAGCCTGTGCGCATCTGTACACCCTCTCGGTTGACCCTTGCTTCCTGCTGTGGCCATTTTTTGAGGGCACTGTACCGCACGATCACCATAGTCAGCGCCTTTCTTTGTGCGTGTTTCGTCTTTTTCTGCGGTTCTTTTTGAGCATCGGTGGTGTGGAGCATAAAAAGCAACAAAAATCGAGACAATGGCACGGTTCCACTGCATTCTGACATGTGGGTGAAAAGTAACATAAAATATGGTGGAAGTGCCCACTATTAACATTTCCCAAACTTGGGACTTCTGCAAATTTTAGGTTAGGCACCCGATTTGAGTGGAAAGCACCCATGTCTAGATTAACTCAGTTTTCAACGAAAGTAGGGTGGCCGCTCCCCCGGTATTTTACGGCAGGCTGCCCTTTGTTTTGTAGTTTGCAGACAACCCCTCAAACGGCGCTTGTTACTCGAAGAAGGTCCATTGCCGTCTCTAACTTGTTGCCTTTTTATAGTGGCCATTGGGTTGCCGGCCAATGGCCAGCATCTGCGATTCGGCCTCTTTTCTAGCAGGTTGCCGACTTTTGAAGTGAGTGGATAAATCTCGTGTATCGCTATCCTTGACAGACGCCCGAACCTTCGGAGAAGACTGCCGAGTTGCCCGAACAGCTGCCAGAGGAGGGGCCTCAGATCGACAGCTCGGCTGGCTGTGGAGCCGAAACTCCGGTGGCCAAGGACCTCGAAGAAGAGGCCATGGACCAAAACTGAAGCCAAGCCAAGCTCCCTTCCATGGCACAGCTCTTATTCTTGCCAAGATTTCGTTTTCATTTTTTTCTTATGTTTTATACGTTTCACGTTTCCTAAGAAGAGATGCAGATGCTCAGCCTTCGGGATAGAAAATATTTCCAAACGATGGCTTTGAGTCCTAACGGTTGTGTTAATGGCAGCCCACTCTCTCTTACTATTTATTGCCCTCCCTCACAAGAGTTGCCATGGCAGAACACAAGTTTCGTGTCCATTCACAGTGAGGTGCCGCAGCTGCTGAGAGCTCCGTCAAACCTCTCCTACGTGAGGACCGACCGACAGAAAAAGATTATACGATCTCTGTCCACGTCATTTGGCGAGAGCTGGTGGTTTGTTTCATTCAAGGTGGCTGTGAAAGCAAAACAGCGGTGAAGAGGAGATTACGTGTTTCCATTGTCCGTGTGTGCATTGAACACCTCATTTTCATTTGGCAGTAAAATATTAATGGTACTGTACGTCCTTTGTCTCTTGTAGCTCATTCCTTTTTCGTAATTGAAGGTTGAGAGGAACATGGCCATGCCTCTGAAAATCACCGGAAGTTGGATAAATTGCTACTTAAAAATATTCAACAGACAGGTTGCTCTACCAATAATGTCAGGTAGATTTAACAACACGGCCTTGTCTCGAAGCAAATTAGCTGCGAGTGTTGAGACGGCACAGTCGGTTTTCCCTTGTTTGGCGACACTAGATGAGATATTTAGCTAGTGCAATACAGTTCTTGCACGAGACCGTGATGCAACACTACTTCCTGTTGGAAAATCTCGCCGGAACCCACCGACATCCATGTTGCAGGCATTCATCGCTGTCATGCTGTTTTGTGTGCTTTGGGGCCATGCTCGCACCGCTGTTTGTCCGCTTGCTTGAGGCTTAAAATGGTCAGTTGTGCCATAATGAATTGTTCCAGCCATAAAAGTCGGCGACAAAAAGAAGCTATGGCCAGAAGTATTAGTTTTTAATTCTGGCAATCATTAGGAACCAAGACAAAGCAACACTCGAGCAGTCGGTTCACCGGTGTCATGAATGGCTCCGAGGGATACGCCGGCACAATCTCGAGAGAAAAGCTTTGTTCCGACTAAGGGTTTGTGAACTGCAGTTTGTGTTAGGTGAGGAACCTCTGCGATTCACTAGGACAATTAAAGCGGACAAAATTCCTTGCGCGAGAGCTCCAGTCTTCTCACGTGTAGCCAGTCAAAAAGTTGGGGGACCGGCTACAGTCTGACCAGTTTTGCACAATATCCCCCAATGATTTCACGTATAGCTAGTGGCGCCAATTTTCCTGCCAATCGCCACAAATGATTAGCAGACGACGCATTTCTCGCTGTCCTGAGCTGTGTTTCATCGGCTGCTCGCCACCAAGGCACTGATGGTAGACGACTAAGTGACGTCGGGTGCAAGAAGTTTACATGCCTACTAGCCTGTCATCTTTAACGTGCGTCCTGCGGACGTGATACATGAGCACACACTGGTACATTGCACATCCGAGTCGAAACGAACAGGAGCGAGGGCAGCACATTACGCAGTTTCTGCAGCGCGAGTTGCTGCCTCACGAGCTGCTGTGTTGACACTCTTGATCACTGGACCTCCCCCTGTTGCTGTTGCCCTTTAACCTTTGCTATGCATACAGTCAATTGCAGCTTAAGAATAGCAGGACAAGCTCTGCCCGCTATGCCCTCCATTCTTTCCACTTGAGCAGAGTGAATGCTGGAGAGGAGGAAACCACCAGTGAGATTGGAGCTTTGTGGGAGGAGCTTGTCTGGCTATTGTTAACCTGCAACAGACCATAGAAGCAAATTATTCGCATAATTTTTGTACGAACTGATTCTTTGTGTTAAAAATGTTTTATTGGCAGTCAGTGTCCTGTTGCAAATGGTGGAACAGTTCAATATGGTCAGAGTTTTGATGGGGAGGGAATTTCTAAATTGCTACGAGGTGACTTGCAACTGGCCTTCTTGTAATTAACATGACTTTGTCTAGCAGGCCTTACTGAACCGCAAACAGCAGAGCATGTGGCTTTTGATGGGTGCTTCACCACCTGGAGGGCACCTCCACTGCTCAGGAACCCCTCCGGGTGGAGTAGCATGTATTGAAAGCCACACACTTCGTTGTTGGCATTTTATTAAAGCCCGACAGTACATAAGATGTGGGCTCGATCCGACACCTGGAAATAAAATGTGCCAATGTCATCTTCTGCCACGGCACCATATTGCTGGGTGTCAGGGGCACCACCTGTTGGTGACTCCGGCAAAACCGACGGCACCTAGCGGCAGAACAGAAAGCTGTGGAAGCAGGTTCACTTTCCAGCCTTCTCGAGCAAATCGGATATTCACAGCTCCTGGCAGTAAAAAGACGAAGCCGTTGAAATAGGTTAAAAAAATGGGATGAAAATTGCTTTTATAGTTACAGCGCAAGAAGCCTGGTTATAATAAATGGGTATGTGAGGGGAACCGATGCCTGAAATGTTAAATGGTGCTCTGCCACAGATATCGATTTAAACCTGCACAAAATTCTGGAGTTTTCTAAAGATGGGTTTGGCTGTACGTGCCATCATGTAAGCACTTTTTCAACTTGTAGCAGATGCTATGACACTTTGTCTTGTTGTTAGGTAAATGCTAAAGCATACAAGGTGCATTGAATTAGTCGTGCACAGTTTTGGACAACATAGAACGTGGATATATACCAGTGCCTGGTCCCAACCCCAGACATTCACCCTTTCTAATTCTAGTTCAACTTTGTGAAGGCGCAGGGTACTGGTATTTCTTCCTCATTTCAACAGACTGAGCTTACTTTATCCAAGACCAGTGTTACATGTAGCTGCCTTTGCACTATGCCAACGCCACCAGTAAGTACCATGGAGAATTGTGGGAAGCACGAGTGCTACCAGTCAACGTTGCTCGAGAATAAAAGTTGAGGTCAGCACGTGAGTGTCCTGTTATTCCTGCCACTCTTCCAAAAATCTCTGCATGCAACACTGTGCGCGTTGCATTATTGGACCTATTTGGCCATTGAGAGGATTGGCATGGTTAGGGTGGCATGGTCTTGATTGCCCCGTTGACGAAGTAGTGCATCTCGACACTGCATAAACAAAGTCAGCATTCGCTTGCATTGCACCGATTCAGCTTCGTGAGTGTTCGATGAAACACGGACTTTCAGTGGCCATAAGGACCTGCTTAGACTTACCGAGAAGTAGGGGTACGTCCGGCCTCGTTTCATGGCTAGCACTCCAGAGTGCAGCATGACGGTCATGCTGCACTCTAGAGTACTAGCCATGGTCCAACGTTACGCATGACCCTCCCGGCTCACGCGGATTATTTAAACCTACAACCAGTGACGTCAAAACAAAAAAAAAAAAAACATAATAATAATAAGGGAGAAATGGAAGAGGGGGGGGGGGGGGCAATCGACCCCCCCCCCCCCCCTTTTTTTTCCCCATTCCCGAATAGCTCCAACAGCTCTGCCTAGGAGGTGGAAAAGACGACGGAGCGGCCGGATGATCGGCCCGGCACCTGTGCACAGCCTCTGTGACGTCGGGAGTCCCCAAGAAACGTGCCCCAGCATTCGATCCGCATTGATAGGCAACACCTACAGTATTATAAATTTAAGAAGTCACATACTTATTCGAAAATGTTCGTGACGGGATGTTGTGAGGTGAGGTTGGCAAATCGAAACCGAAACTTTGTGCCGAAGAGTTCCCGAGAATTTGCGCGGCTATCGACGTCACTTTCGGTTAGACTCGAAATCGAAACCAACGTTATTGAAACCGACGTCTGCTATCAGAGCCTTGGCACCATGCCGTACAGTCATAGAGTCGTCTTTGTATAACCACATTTCAGAATACTTTCTTGTCCTAGCGTCGATGAGCAGTTCCGTACTGAGGTAATCTAATCCAAGCCCATTGCACGTTTCATGTCATTGTGACAAAAAATAGGTCCTTTGCTTTAGCGCTGTACATTTTTCTCGAAAAAATAGTTGCAGCCACTAACGCAATACAAAATATAACAATGGCAGTAGTTCACAAACATTTTTTACTTATAGAAGGCAAGCTTAAAAACGCCAGCTTTAACAGGTAACAATTTTTTTTTTTCAAGCTCTCTATTTTATTTAAGTGATCTAATCCAAGTCAAGTCGCAGCCGCAACCATGGACGCGCGCAACATTAGTTTGACTTTGCTTTGTCGCAACGTTACCGACGTTACTGCAAAGCCAAAACTAATCTAGTAACTTTGGTAAAAGTGAAGGACGCGTAAACATTGTTCCTTGACGCCTCCCTGCATCCATGCCTGCACCTCACTGTTGATGTAGCCCGGTACCTCTGCACGTGATTAGCATCCAAGTTTCGGCGGGACTCTCCAAAAAGGTGTTCTCCTGCGGTTGTCATGGCTACAGAGCGAAACAGTTTAACTTCCCAATGTTTGTTAGAGCGCATTCGCGCTTTTAATTTGCTACTACCTGCGGTACCTGCCGACACTCTTTGCCATGACGCCGAAAACCTTCACGATCCTCTTCGATGCATCAAAAAACGAGCTGTTTACCCTGCAGGACGGATACAAGACGCTCCAGAGGCGACTCAAAAGCATGTGGAATGTCCAGAGGTATGACGCTGGCAGTTCCTTGCTTCCTCGTCCGATTTTCGAGTAATTTTTTAGTCGCCTTAACCTTAAGCGTCAAAAGAGCGCCTACCAAAAGCTTTCGAAAAAGTGTCGTAAAATAGGCAACTCCCGCAGAGTTGGCCATGTGCCAAGTTGATTCGCCTCGCTCAGCTGTGTCGTGGCACCTTGTCAAAGCCACGCTTCAGCGTCACTTGTCAACACGCCTGTTGCTGCAGCTGCGTCGCCCGCAGCGCCGCGAACATTTAAGTCGTAGCTTGGTGCACAGCTGTCGTTTAAGGGGCTGTCAGCACAAAACAAGCTTTACATGGCAAACAAACAAATTGGATAAGGATGGCTAGTTGGGCAAGTTGGTTTTGCATCATGGTGTAATACGCCAAAACAACAGGGACAAAAACGAAGATAGAGCCAGACAGGACGCGGCGTAACTTTCAACTGAATTGTTTATTTAGATGACATAATTTAAAAAAAAATTTAAAATATAAAAGCAGGCACACTTGGCAGAACACCAAAGATATGGTCTAAAAACACACCCCCCTCAAATGCCAGCATCATTGGTTCCTCAAATAGTAAAATTCTTTATCACTCAATGACAAAGAGGGAGCGCTTATACAGGTATTGTCGTGGTGGGACCTAATCAGGAAAGCTTCATGAATTTCTCTTGCCGTTTTTGTTTTGCAATGGCCCATGACACAGGTGTCACCAAAGATGGGGCTGCACTTTTCCGAGTTGGGCCCGCAATCGCAACGGTCACAGTGGACCGCTAAGTGGCCAGACGGGGACTGCCTGATCGGCAACGCATGCTCTCTGACCCTACCATTGATGCACCTCCCCGTCTGGCCAACGTACACTTTACCACATGACAAGGGGATTTTGTACGTGACACTGGTGGCGCACTCGCGGAACTTAGTGACATGCCGTTTTTTGCACGACTCTTGTGGCACATCTGATTCCTCTCCTAATCTGCTTATCCTTTTACACAGTGAAGATAGTTTATTCGGTGCTGAAAAAACGACTGGTATATCAAAGCGATGGGCCACCTTCTTCAGATTGTGGGACATCTTGTGAATGTAAGGCAAGACAACAGGCCTACGTACCCTCTTGGGAACCCTTTCGCACACTGCGCTGTTGTCTTTTTTCATCTTTTTTGCTAAAGTCTCTGAAACATCTCGAAGAACATGGGGGGGGGAACCCTGCCTCTTCAAGTCTGCAGAGTTGAGAATGAAAACTGTTTTTCATCCGGTGGGGACACGATTTCTTTAGCGCGGCCCTTAGGCAAGATGAAGCAATGCCCCTCTTCACTAACTTGGAGTGCGCCGAGCTGAATGGCAACATTCCTTTCTTGGAACGGGGCTCATAGGCCCAGCAGGTATGCTCCGCACCGAAATATAACCCAAGATCCAAAAACTGCAGCCGACCAGAGACCGTTCTGGTTCTATCTTCGTTTTTGTCCCTGTTGTTTTGGCGTATTACACCATCAAACAAACAAGCGTGCAGGCTTTGCAAAAAAATGTTATTTCGGCGCGCGCGCGTACTTTTTGAACGAGGACATTAGCCACGGAAACCCACGGCTTTCCTCGTCACCTCCCCGCAGCCATCTCCTCCCCTTTCTTGTTTTCAGGAGATCAGGGACTAACAACAAAACTTGATCAGGGACTAAGAACTAACAACTCGACGGGCTGTGTCGGGGCATTTCATAGAACGCCGTTTCATCGAATACAATTTCATAGAACACCATTTCATCAAATGCCATTTCATCGAATGCCGTTTTATTGAACACCGCCTAGTTGAGCAGTAGAAATTTTTGATCAGGAAAGCCGGCTTTTCTTTTCCCACAGAGAGGGGAACTAATAATAAGAACATTTATTTTCTCTGCTAAACCTTACATTTTTTCCTTTTTTTTTTCTTCATAGTAACTGATGAGTTGTACTGCTAATGTGGCCAATAATAAAACACCAGCTTGGCATTTTATGAAACCTGTGATCATCATGCGCAGTGACAAAAGTATATCCCTTCAAGGGTGTATCCTCTTCCTTGAAAAGACATATTCTTTTTCAAGCACGAAGCCGTCCTTGGAGCAATGACATGTCTCCATGTCGTATGAAACAGAAAAAAAAAAGAGGTGTCTCCCCCATCTCTATTGCAGTGTTGCGGAATGGGCACCCCCATTCCATTCCAATTCCATTCCAGGAATTAGACTTTTCGATAATTAAATTCCTTTCAACTCCTAGGAATGGGGGCACTGGGCCCATTCCCACTCCTGGAATGGCTGGATCGTTCCATTCCATTCCTCTAATTCCTAAACATAAAAATTGGGACTTGACAGCTGCATTTCGCACTGTTTCCGGCATAAGCAGCATAAAGCTGACATTGTCAAACGCATAGGCATTAGACAATTGCAAAAAAAAAAAACGCTAAATGCCTCAAAAAAGCGCTAATTTTACTAAGCTCACGGTGCTGGATTGCCTGGAGCGAAGCGTCCGCAGCAGTCCATCGCAGGTGAAACAAAGTATGCAGAGACTAAAGTCAAAGGAAATGAGCGGGCATCCGCTAGCTTGTTTGTAAAAACATATAACACAAAAAACAGGCGTTGGAACAAACACCATGCAAGTAAAAGGTAGACTTACACGTAAAAATGCAATATAAAAAAAAAACAAGCGTCTGAGCAAAGCGCAAGAGGAGAAGTGAGAAGTGAATCTCGCTTTTTTCGCACTTCAAAGGAGTGCGCGCGAATGAACGTGGAAGGCAGCAAGGTTGGCCACCTGCTAATGGGGTATCCACACAAAGGAGAAATCCGCCCCTTTCCTCCGCGGAGCGTGCATCACGTGAGACATACGTCATTCCTTTTTGACGCCTCGCGGCGCCGTTCTCCTCCGTGGCGGAGGCGCGGAGGCTTCGTGCTATCAGCACGAACGCTCCGCAGGTGCACGCGGCGGAGCCAGGGACGGAGTTTGCCGGGTTGCTGACGTCACGACATCCGTCCGCGGAGTTCTCCTTCGTGTGGATACCCTTTAAACAACGCTCCTCGAACTACAAGAAAACAATAACTGATCATCTTTTTGCGGCTGCGTGCGAGTGAACGAGTTATTGGAGCTCTGCGAGTTATGAGTCGCCCCCCGCTCCCAGATCCCAGTCTGTGCGCGCGCGTGCAATCTCCGTGCCGTCGCAAAAAAAAAAAAAAAGAAAAGTAATACAAGAAGCACGATGAGGAGCCGCGCATGGCGGCTTCTTTCTTTGCCGCTTCCTTCGCTTGGTGCTTGGTTTCTTGTTTCGCTCTCGTGTAACACCAGTAAAGCCCGCCGTCTGCGCGTCCGTGAAAAGCGCCACCGCCACCCCTCCCCCCTTTGGTCTTTGCTCTGGCGCTTGTTTTTTGTATTGCTAGCAGTTTCCCGCACATTTTTTTTCTGAGCAACTGACTCGCTGACTGGCTCCGTTTAGCTGAACGTAACCCCCCCCCCCCCCCCCGCCGCCTAAAAGAAAATTAAAAAAAATTATAATAAAGAACCGGGCCCATTCCATTCCCATTCCATTCCGGGCAAATAACATCTAATTCCATTCCTATTCCATTCCCCTCATCGTTACCGCCATTCCATTCCCCATTCCATTCCGGGGTAGCGAAAATGCGGAATGATTCCGGGGAATCATTCCAACTCCGGAGTGGCAACTCCGGAGTGGCAACTCCGCAACACTGCTTTATTGTAGTAGGCTGGATCGTGGATCAAGGCTTGTTTTGCCGGGGTCAATTGGCACCACTGGTGGCCATTGCTAGACACCAACAAATGCATTGAACCCTATGGGAAAAATGGGAGAAAGAGAGGTTTCTCTCATTCGTTTTGCTATTCCTGCAAAACCTCATAAGAGGTTCCTTACAAGACACTTCGCACAAGCCTCACAAGGTTCATTTTTATTCATTTCTCCCATAGACTTGCACATATTGCCCGGTGTCAAGCAATGGCCACCGGTTGTGCCGCCGTCGGGCTCGCAATCCAGCCTACTACAGTGGAAATGAGTGGTCTCCCCTCTTTGTTTATTTTTTGTCGTCGGCAGAGCTTTGGGCTTGCCAGCTTTTTAAACTACATTCTTAGAAAGGAAGCCATTCTACTAGGATAGAATGAATACTCGAGTAAATAGATAAAAAAATAATAGTTATTTGCCTCATTAAAGTGGAAATTTGTGCCAGTGGGTTCATGATGAAGTAGGTAAGCACCAAAAAAAAACACGGGGACAACGAAGTAGAAAAACAGGGGCGCACTTGCAACTAACTTTTATTTAAAAATACATGTCAAAACAAAGTCATGGCTAAACCCCCATATAAAAAAAGTACTCATTTGCCGATAAGGAGAGTGACATGTCACTTACACATTTGTTGCCTTTTTTTTTTTTTATTTCAAAAGCTTTATGCAGTTCTCTAGAAACCCTACCTCTTTTTTGTTACGGGGGTTACGCCAGATCTAGCCATGACTGCTTTTTTTGCCACGGCTATATATATGAATGTTTATTTTTTAAAATAAAAGTTACTTGTGAGTACACCTGTCCGTCTACTTCGTTATCCCTTTGTTTTTATGATGCTTACCTACTTGAGCTATATTCCTTTCTGGATGTATGTTTCATGCGTGAACAAATAGAGGACAAAGTATGTTGTGGAGTACAGTCGCTTATCTTACCTGAAAACAGTAAGTCGCATACATACTGCAGTAATGTTTGGAGGTGGGCTAGTCGTTTTATTTCTATGTTTACAACGCATACATACTCAAGTTTTTTTTATGTTCTATGATTCAGTAGCCAACCCTTTGGTGAAAAGGTGACCAGGGTAGTAATTCTATTTCTGGTGATTCGACAGCAGCGTAAAAACAACTTGGAAGCGAGAGGAAAACATCTCAAAAGCGTTTGATAAATCGGCGTTCAATGAATTGGTGTTCAGTGAAATGTCCATTCATTTGATGAAACGGCGTTCAATGAAATGTCCAGTACCAGAGCGTGTGAGTGGATTTGTCCAAACCTTTCTCATGAGCATGCTCCAAAGCTTAGTTCAAGGACGCAAGCTGGGGGTGGCTTTCCCCTTGACAAGAATCGTCCCAAAGCAAACCAGGAGCGGAGAAAAAGCTTCCGCTTCTTCCGTGTCCAGTGTGGGCAGCCATTTAGGCACATGTATATACATGGCTGCGACGTCTTTAATGAAAGCATTTCATGAAAGATTCAACCAGACTCAGTGGATGGATGGATGGATGGTAATGGCAATACCCTTTGTAACGGGCGGCAGCTTCCACCGCCTAGCCTAACATTTCATCATCCCTTCTTTTTTCCTTTTTTTTTTAATTTGTATAAATTTTGTTATAACGCAACCTCCCCCCCCCCCCCCCCCCCCCTTTTTAAAGTGATTCCATTGCTTATTTTTATCTGTATTTTTTTTATCCCTCCTCTAGGTATCTTCCACCAATCTTCCAATCTCCTCTTAGTTGCCGTAATTCTTTCCCTATCCATTCGTCCATCCATGTCTGTAAATCCCAGTGCCCCCTCCAAATCCGTAGTCATCTTCCCCAAGAGGGTGGGACGAAGCCCCGTGCACCTTAAAATTACGTGTTCTATCGTTTCCCTTTCGTGGTTGCATATGTTGCATAGAGTGTCAATTTCCTGGAATTTAGCCCTATATGTTTTCTTTCTCAGCACCCCTGTTCTTGCTTCAAACAGCAATGAGCTCAGGGGCGGATGCAGGAATCTTCTGAGGGGGGGGGGTCAGGTGTTGGTCAGTGTACCAAATGTTTAGGAACCCCCTCCCCTCTCCCTCACTTCACGCCCTAAATTTTACGCAGGCAGAAATTAAGAGGGGGGTCAGGACATCCGGACCACCCCTCTAAATCCGCCCCTCCCCAATGAATTATCATACAACTGTTCCTTCTTTATTTCTTGTTTTTATGCCCTCTTTATTGTTAAAGCTGATTTCCCCTGCATTCTCTCTTCCCACAATTTCCTCTCTGTTTCCTTTACTCCTTTTTCTGCTGATATACTCTGATCGGCCCCATCTCGTTGAATGTATATATATCTCAGCTTGCGGGTTCGGTTTGTCCACTTAGTGTTTAGACTTTTCATATATAGATACTTGTACTCTTTCACTGCCCACCGCATATTCTCAATTTCAGTTAGTCTTTGTTCAAATTTTACTGATCGCTTCTCTACTCTCGAAAGATGCCCAACCCATATCCCCCTGTACTCCCTCATTTGATGTATTCCCATGTGCCCCCAATGTCAACCTACCCACACTCCTTTGCTGTATCTCTAAACCTGCCTGAATTTCTGACCTCATACACAATACTGCATTCCCAAATCACAGTCCTGGCACAATTACTCCCTTCCATACACCCCTAACGACTTCATATCTATTATAGTTCCATAGTGTCCTGTGTTTCATGATAGCTGAATCTCGTTTCCCCTTCTTTATTATTACAATATCTTCATGGTCTTTTAGATACCGTCTTCCTTCAATTAATCATACTCCCAGATATTTGTACTTTTCTATGTGTTCTATCAATGTGTCCTGTATCTCCAGGGGCTCCCCCTTCTCGTCGTTGAAAACTATTATACCCAACTTGCTCCTACTGAAGTTTAGTCCTAGACTGTCCCCTTCCTTGCTGCAAATCCTAATCAGTTCCTGCATTGTCTCACAACTTTCTGATACAAGTACAATGTCGTCTGCATACATTAACCCTGGCAATACTTGGTTTACTTTATGTCCTTCCTCCATGTAAGTCAGGTCAAAACCTAGGTTGTACTGCTCTAAGCTTTTTTCCATCTCACTGAGGTATATCATAAAGAGCAGGGGAGACAATGGGCAACCCTGTCTAAGACCTCTTTTTATTGCTGCTGGTCTTGTAGTTTCGGCTTCCCATGTTATAACCACCCTATTCTCCGTATAAGCCCGTTCTAGAAACTTAACCATGGTTCCCTCTAGTCCATATCCCTTCAGTTGGTTCCAGAGTTTTTCCTGATTCACATTGTCATATGCCCCCTCGATGTCTAAAAATGCTACCCATAATGGCCTTTGACTTGTCATTGCCATCTCTATGCACTGAGTGATTACAAATAAATTATCATCTAGTCGTCAATCTTTCCTGTAACTTTTTGAAGCTCCCCCAGAATCTGCTTTCTCTCTGCCCATTCTTCCATTCTTTTTACAATTTGCATAGCTAGTCTGTATATTACTGAAGTTACTGTGATTGGTCGGTATGATTTGATACTGTCTTTGTCTTTGTGTCCGTAAAATGAAGAATTGTTCCAAACTGCTGGCATCCCGTCCTTTCTTTTTTTTAATTCTCAACGATTTAGCATGAACGCGGACATTTCGTCAGAAGTGCTGTCGGGATGCGATGTCTTTGTGCTGGCGGGTCCGAGGCACAAGTTCACCGAGAACGAGGTATGTTCCACCTTGTCACAAAACGTGCCTCGAGTTCCATGTAGAATACACTGATCTCACCAGCCAGTTTAGCTATGCCATCGCTGCCGCAATGCATGAAGCAAACTTTAGTCCTTCTGCATGTGCTACAATCTAACTGGAGCTCTGCGCATGCAAAGTGCAAGACGGCAGAATCCATCTTGTGCACTACCACCTGCTTCCTGTGACTTGAAGTTATGGCAGTGTCGTGCGTGTTTGTGAGATCTATCCATAAATTACATCCCAGTGATGTACATGGGATGATAGCAGAACTAGACTTGCACAACGTTGTCTGATCGATCCATTCAACTCACATTGGAAACCCGTTATCAGTGGAGAGTCGTTAGGTGTGGCCCTTGTACAGCCACTGAGTTTGAAGTGATTGTTTTGAGATTGCTTGCAACCATTAGGTGAATAACAGTGCTTCGCTTTTTGTGTCATGTTGGGCAGTGTAGAGAATGTGATTCACACATGATTGTACGAGCGTCGGCAAAGACGCAGGACTTTTCATGCATTGCAAAATCAAAGACTTCATCTAAGGCCATCATAGGCAATCATGTCACCACATTCAAAGGTTCTTTTTAATGTAAGAACATTTCTAATACAATCCACTTTCTATAAGATGCTAAATTGAATGTTTCGACGAGACTATAGCATTTTTCACCCTAGATTTTGAAAAGAGTGAGAGGGAAGTTAATGCTAAGAATCAACTTGGGGGCCATGTGGCGAGAAATCTTATGCAGTTTCTGTTTGACGTCTTTTCTGACGAAACTCGTTCCAGTTTGGTGCCCTGCGAGAGTTTGTGGGTGGGGGCGGCCGCCTGCTGGTGCTGTTAGGTGAGGGCGGAGAGAGGAGGTTCCAGACCAACATCAACTTCCTCCTGGAAGAGCACGGCATTGTGGTGAACAGCGGTACGTTGCGGCGTCACTCTCTGCTGCTGGAGCGAGGGGATGAAAGAACGTATGTTGCGGACAAAAGCTTCTCTGTCATATAAACAGCAACTCACGAACACACTTCAAAAGGCTGGGTGCTGACACATAGAGTTTGTGTATATGGACATTGGCTAAGCACCTAAGACATCCCTCAAACAAACAGTTTCCTCTTAGCAGGACGTACGTTGGAGACCTAGGTAGATGACAGTATTGCAAACAAAAGTGTATGGGGCTAAAAAGTAAAAAATTGACACAGTGTGCGGAGTGTGCAAAGAGGACAAGGTGGCCGAACATATAATTCACTACTATATTAACATGCGCTAAATGTAGTTTTATTTTTAGGGCATTGTGCACAGGCCGTTGACATGCAATAAAAAAAACAAAGCACCCTAACCTTGTCAGCAACGGTAACGATGCCACTACGGTTGCGGGAGCAGTAAGGTTCAAACTGGGAGTTGGCTCATTGCAGAGCTTGACTTTTGACCTTGATCCATCAATGTTGGTAGGTGCAGCACCATACATGGCTCGCACCAACGTTGCATCAGCTGTCGTTGCGGTGGCCTTGCTGCCGAGCGCATACCTTTTGCAGCTTAGATTTCATAACACCGGTTTTGTTTTTCCCGTCCAGAACAGGCAGGAATGTCCACGAGCACGGTGCGATGACATCATGTGCAAGCCATGTATACAGCTTGCACATTAACGACATCGGAGCTTTTGCGAATTTTGCTTTTACATATCAGTGTCGACCTGCAAATGTTAATCCCGCACGAGCACGTTCCACTACTTCAGTAGTTTTTGGACCCCAGTGATTGCTCGTTCGTGCTAACTGCGTTGCACTCTGTACCTCTCATACACTCCCAGTTCAAGATAGCATTGAGGTACTTAGAGCCACTATATAGGCTATGCTTCATAGTAAGGACACTTCAGTCATCTTGTTGCTTAGGATCATTGTTGCCAATTACCTGAAATGTTATCTGAATTCGCAGGAAACGCTTTTCCATCCTTCAGAAACGTTAATAGTCTGTGACAGAGCGCAACAATATTGCCTGATCTTTTCGACTGTATTGAAAGCCAAGGAGGTCACATTTTTTATTCGTAACTATCACCAGTTACGTTTGACTCTGCACTAGGCAACAAAATGGCAGCGCCCACAAGATAATTCTGGAATGGAGTGCCGATGCTCTGAGCATAGCATAGCTTAGTAGCGCAGACCGCAGGGTGCGCACAGGTCCTTAAAACCCTTGAAAACCCTTGAATTTGAAAGTTGCTTTTTCAAGGCCTTGAAAGTGCTGGAATATCTTTGCCGTCCTTGAAAACCCTTGAATTCTTAGCGTTTCGCGGGGCTCGGTTGCGCGACCGCGTTTTATAGCGGTTGAGCGTGCTCCCGGGAAAATTCGTTGCTTGCTTTCCGCGACACCAGGATCGCGAAGTCAAACCAATCAAACTTCCTGCGCAAGAAAAAGAAAAACGCGCGGCCGTTGCGCTTTTTTATTTTATTTTTTTTCATCTGGCTTGCTTCGACTTCAGGGTTGGCCAAAAGCCATAAGTGGCCACAATGAGGCAGGAGAGCCTGGAGAGTCTCGACCTCTTCGTAAAAAAGGCATGTTGCGCCAGCGTGCTTATTTGCAACAGAAATGCAGTTATATGAATCAAGAGTTAAATTTAGTAGTATTTAATTCTTTCTTTTACCTTCGTCTTTAGCTGGATTTATTGGCAACCCACTAAAAAGAGGCACAGCCCCATAGGCCGAGAATTGTCTGTTGGCCACATTGTGCTTTGTTTATATCTGGTCTGTGCCTACTTGTTCGCTGTTTGTTCCCACATGTCGCTTATGGTGCGTGTAGTGACCCAGTGATTCGTGCATTCAGATGGCATAGAATAATGCCCGGGAAATGTAAGTTCTAAAGTGCTTGGCTCAGCAACGACGACTATAAGCTTTGGGTTGCGCCAGATACAGCAAACCCTCAGTGTGCAAAATGCACACGCTGCAGAAAGACGTTCGACATCTCTTCGATGGGCGAATCTGCCCTCAAAAGCCATGCAAAAAGTGCAAAGCACTGTGGAATCATGCAAATGGCAGCTGGAAACTCGATAGAGAACTATCTGGCAGCAAACGTAAGCGGGCGGTCCACTGGCTTGGCTCCGTCGCAGGCGACCGATCTAAACAGCGCCTGCAAGTCACACGAGGTGGTTACGGATGCGGAAATTCTGTGGACAATAAAAGTGATTACCTCCCACTACTCGTACAGATCGTCGGCACAAACCGGCGACTTGTTCAAGCGGATGTTTCCGGACAGCGACGTGGCCAAACCGTTTTCCTGTGGGGAGAAAAAATGCGCTTATGTAGCATGTCATGGGCTGAGGCCATTTTCCTTGTCGCGCTTGCAACAAGAGGTACAGAAGTCTGACTATTACGTCGTGCTTTTTGAGGAGTCGGGGTAATGACTTCCTGCAAGAGAAGCAAATGGACGTGCATGTGCGCTATTGGGACTCGTCACACAAGGTGGCCACCAGATATTACACATCCGCTTTTATGGGGCATTCCACGGCAGAGGATATTCAGGAAGTGCTTCTCAGGGCTTTGGAGCCTTTGCCACTTGGCAAGATTATTCAGATCTCGATGGATGGGCCAAACGTTAACCCTAAGTTCTTCAGGAATATGCAAGTGCACTTGCAGGAACACCATCAGGTCCAGTGTGTTGACTTAGGGACGTGTGGCCTACATACCATCCACAATGCCTTCAGAGCAGGTGTTGTAGCCAGTAAGTGGGGCATTGACATTTTGTTGACAAGCCTGAGCGCACTCTTTCGATACTCACCAGCACGAAGGGAAGATTTTTCCACCGTGACCAACCAGGACACATTTCCACTGCACTTTGTGGCTCATCGATGGGTGGAAAATACACTTGTCATTGAAAGAGCTTTGCTTCTTTGGAATGATGTGAAGAAATATGTGGAGTCTGCAAGGAGTAAGCAGGTGAGCTTACCAAAGTGTGCATCCTTTGAAAATGTGTACAGCTCAGAAGCGAAGCCAGATCAGTGCCTGGTGGGCATAAGGAAGGTGTTGGACGTCTTGACCATGGCAGGAAGACTGAGTGACTGCCAACGAGTATGTGTATTGGCAGAATACACTGAACTGCTGCAAGAGTTTAAGCATGAGCTCCGCATGTTTGAGAGGAGCATTAGCAGGCTCGATGAGTTTTTTCGTGACATCTTGTGCTCCAATCCCTCGTACAAAGAGCTTTGGAACGCAGTCAGGCTGCTGCTTGTTTTAAGCCATGGGCAGGCCACCGTTGAACGGGGGTTTAGCGTAAACCGTCAGATCTCTGTAGAGAATCTGAAAGGTTTGTCATACATTTCACAGCGTATCATATGTGACGCAGTGGAGAGGGCAGGTGGGATTTTGAACGTTCCTATCTCAAAAGAGCTCAGAATAGCTGTGTCCGCAGCGAGGCAGCATTACAGTGCACACCTGGAATCGCAAAAGAAACAGTGCCAGGAAAACTCACAGCAAAAAAAAAGGCAAAAAATCATGGAAGAGGTTGAAGGCCTGCAGATGAAGAAAAAGAAGCTTGAGGCAGTTGTTGCCGATTTAACGGCCTCTGCAGATGAATATGCAGAAAAGGCTGAAGCAAGTGCTGACATCAAGAAGGTGGTAAAATCGAACAGCCTAAGAAAGACCGCAAGAGCCAAGGCTGAGGAACTCAGCAGCGTTAAGACTCAACTAGCTAATAAACTAAAAGACCTGACGTGAGCTTTCGCCCTTCATGTAGTCGAATGAGACTATGTACAATCTCCAGAACTAACTTCACCTAGTCGAATGAAACTGTACGCGCAATAACTTCAAGTGAAGTCAGTTTTCTTTGTTCTGTGCAATAAAAATAATGTGTGTGATCTACTGTAGTGTTCTTTATTTTTTTAAAGGTCCTTGAAAAGTCCTTGAATTTTTTTCTTGAAAACCTGTGCGAATCCTGGCAAAGGTACCTTTACAAGAGAACAAGCATAGCCCTGTGATGACCAAACGCTGTACGGAAGATGTTAAAAGGTGAGAGGTGTTTGCCCTCCATTTCAGATGCGGTAGTCCGCACAGTCTACCACAAGTACCCTCACCCCAAGGAAGCGCTCGTCTCCGACGGTATCCTCAACCGAGCCGTGGGCCTGGCGGCGGGCAAGGCCAACCTCGGTTCAGATCCCCCGAACGACGCCCGGTAAGCTCTCGACCCCAGACGTGTGTCCCGCAATTCAAAGAAGTTTTGTGCCGATTTCGAGGGTATTCTCCTCCTTCACACTTGGTTTGTTTGTTTAGAAATTCTGCACCTGTATTTCTGTCTATTATTCTGACCGTCATGCAGAATTGCATTTCACGAGAAAAGCAGCCGACGCTCAACTTCCAGTTTCCGTCTTCCTGGAATGTGCCATCGTCTCTCTTTGAAGCGTCAAACTGGTCATTCTCTCGAACTTCTTCTTTCTTGCGATAACATGAAGAGTGCATAGACTGAGGCAAGAGAGCATCGTCTGAGGTGACATGTCATCAAAACATGACGTGTGTTAACAGGCACAGTTGGTTGGCGGTGCAAGTGTTTAGCAGGCGGCCAGCTCTGCCACCACCTTGTGACATGCATATACTTTAGACGATCACAAAGTCTGAGTTAACTTGCGTGAGCGCGCAAGTCTCCGTTAAATTACCTCCAGCACCTGGATGGATGGATGGTAATGGTCATACCCTTTGTAACGGGCGGCAGCTTGTGCCACCTAGCCTAACATTTCGTCATTTTTTCTTTTTTAAAATTTGTATAAATTTTGTGAACACAACCCTCCCCCCCTTTAAAGTGTTTCCATTGCATATTTTTATCTGTATTTTTACCCCTCCCTAGATCTTTTCCACCGATCTTCCGATCCCCTCTTAGTTACCGCAATTCTTTCCCTATCGTGGACAGATGCCCAAGGTTTCCAGGAGTCACATTTCTTTAATCTGCTTTCTTTAATCGTGATTTGTCGGTTGTAGGAGCTGTGTGAGCATTCGCCTCTCATTATTTCCCGAGAGCATACACTGCAAATCAAGTTTTGCAGTGTGTGCAATGCCGGGACCTTCAGTCGAGATCTCTGCAGATTGTTTGTGGTGGGCTTGTGATATAATACCGTATCTACTTGCATATTGAACACACTTTTTTTCCCGAAAAATTTACATATATTTGGAAGGGGGGGGGGGGGGGAGGGGGCATTCATTTCACGGGGTAAGATTTTTGCATTTACACACTTCATGCAAATGTCATATTAGGTGCCAATGTGACACGGCAAGGTACTGTGGCACGTCTCCAGTGATGGAGGCGCACCCACGGCTGGTCGGGGACGCGCCACAATAACCATGCTTTATAAATTGCAAATCTTTTTTGGGCGCTTTCGGGGTGCCTTTTGTTGAAGGAAAAGCGCCCTGTGAAGCTCATTCAACACGGAAAGCAACACGACCATTCTTAGGCGATATATATTGCTAGTATCCGGCGGGCACGCTCAGGTATAATCCACGACTACACGTATGAGAACTCGTACGAAGTCCAACCCCCGACTTCCGAAGCCCGCTTGCATGGATCAAGTTTCGTTCATGGAGACAAGAGCTCCTGTGGAGTCCAACCACCAACCCCCGAAGCCCGCTCGCACGGATCAAGTTTCGGTCACGAACTTGGCTACCCTACACTCTCAGCCTACAGTGCAGCGTGCACCTCGCTGTGCCGTTCTGTTACGGATTAAATAAATGCATTTACCCAGAGTATGTGAAGTTAGGCCTAACCACTTTCACGATTTTACTGTTCGAACGTGGACCACAGACGACGGCTTGTTTGTCGACATCATTGCATCCAATACGCGAAGAATGTCCGGGGCTCGGGAATTCCTCGATCCAAGCTTCGTCAAGTGTGTGCGACACTCGGTTTCACGGTTGGTTGATCACTTCCGTAACTACTGCAACTACCCACTTGCGGCCATTACGAGAGTAGCCTGGCTTGACTTGGCCTGACCGCTTGGCGGCAAAAGAAAACTAGCTTGGTGGCTTGGTAAATTGGACGCAATTCGAGACTCGCTGATCCGAAAATTGGAGGTGCGTTGATTACGGGAGGGAAAAAAAAAGTCAAATTATCGATGCCTGTTGTGCGGGGCGCGTTTATTATGTGAGTAAATACGGTATAGGTGGTATTCACTGGACACCCTATTTGAGTGCTCTCTTCAGAGCGCATGCTCAGAGCGAGCTAACATTAATAGGCTGCTGTGACCGGCGATCTCAATAATGGGAAACGCACGTTGCAAAAGGACTGTGGAAGCTCGCCGTCAGCACGCACTCAGCAGTAGCGCACTCAGCTATGGCCGCCAGTGACTTGATGCGGCATCAGTGAGAACAAAGTCATCTAGCACATTGATGCAAATTTGTATACAATAAATTAACTGATTTTTAGGTTTTCTTTTAAATGCGATAGCATTTTTAGGGCCACTAAACCGGTAAATCGTGTGCATCCGTCCATTGTGGCTCGATGGCTAAATTTAGCGGGAAAACGTGAATTACCATATGTGATCTCGTCACATGATGTGACATCACACTGTGGTGTCGTGTAAAGTCAGTGTTAGTGAGCTTTACCGAGTGCTCACAGGAGAATACACATGATGAACCCATGACCTCCACCAAAGTTGGAATGAGGAGCTATGAACAAAACAGTACAGACAACAATTTACTCTTCAGGCAAACAGTCAGTAACCGAGCAGGCAACGGATTCAAGATGCAGTCACATCACATCCTTTGGCAGCAGCCAGAGATATTTCATAGTTTTTTGTTTTAAAGGGAAGATGGGGCACTTCTACATTTGAGAAAAAACGCTTGAATTGCGTTCATTTGGCCTTTAGAATAACAGATATCAAAATTATATTTCAATGCGACGCGCCGGAGAGCCACAAGAGCAATTTCAAAATAGGGCTGAAGCCCCGCCCCCCTAGCCTTGGGCAGCCAAAAGAGCCGTCGATGACGTCATGGACAGCGACTGTCTTTCGCGTTTTTCTCGCGTTTAACAATACTTACGCAGCAAATGGTTTGGGTATTCGGGTTCACGGGGTAGAAATGCACTAGAATTCACTTCTAACTCATTTTTTCCAAGAAGCTCCGTAGCTTCCCTTTAATGTTTAGTAGTTTAGAAGACGTGATATAGTTTCTAATGGGTTCAATTAGTTATGTACAGGGGGAACAGCACACCCGCAAAACAGTTACTCAAGTCCACTCACACAAAGAAAAGACACTTACGCGGCGCTGACTAACAACTCTTTAGTATATTTACACTTTCGTCTTCGTCTTCTTTTGGTATTATGGACTAGGGCCATGGAGAACAATTTGGTCTTTTTCTTCAATAGAAAGCTAAACCGTAAACCAAAAACTAAAATTAAAATTAATGTAAGGCTACAGTCGGTTACAGGTTAAGAAGGTAGCGGCAAATGCCCCTCAAAGGGAATCATATATCCTTCGGCCACCTCCGCATCCAATAGCGTCCTATCGTTTCCGTGACGTCGCGGCCAACACGCAAGGAGGGTCTTGCCTTTCTGTACATATTTGACTTAGCGTTGTGGAAGCTACGAGTGGGAGATTAGAGTTTTCGCCCTCCGATGGAAACAAATACGACTTTCGGGGATTAGCTTCCTTCTCCGATGGATACAAAGGCTGCTTTCAGGGGCTCCGATTCCATTTTTTAAGAAAGCGACCTTTGTATTCATTGGAGGGGGTCCAATGAATACAAAGGTCGCTTTCTTAAAAAGTGGGATTGGAGACAAGTTGGAATCCATTGAAGCAGAACAAGGAGCCTTTCCAGTGAACTCTTCTCTCGACTGCGGAGAGATTTGAAACGGGCGTATCACGCTTGTGGGAGGAGCTTCTCCTACCCTCTTGACTTGTAACCGACTATAGATAGTCTAGTTCTTTTTGTGATAAGGCTAAAGACGGGGTATTAACACCTCTATTTAGCGATATTGTCTGCCTCAATAATTTCTCTTGTCAGCTGGTTGTGATGCTTGGCGAGCACGGCACAGTTGCTTAGCAGCACTGAGCAGCCACAGACTCAACTGTGGATTCCTAAATGACCGGAGTTTTTGTTGGTGAAGGTGTTGTTATGTCGATCGTTGAGACATCTTTCGGTCTGATCAATGTATATTTTTCCAAAAGAGAGGGGAAATGAATACACTACTTTTTCTGTACAAGGAACAAAGGTGCCCGTCAAAGCTTGTTGACGGGCAAGTCTCGTTGCCGCTCAAATTAGAAACGGGTGCCTAAGAGCTACGCTCTAGAAACACCCAATACATAATTTAGCAGAGGACGGGAGAGTGGGGACGATGCTGTGAAAGAAAAAATGGGACATTGAGGCTTGTGACACCACAGAACGCTTCTTGGGAACCAACCTATGTCACCAAGCATTTTGCAGATGCTTAAAGCGACCATAATTTCAGTTCAGTGGCAGGCAGCACCAACGTTACTAGATCAAGATCAGTTGACAAGCTTCTTAAAGTGCCTGGCGTCTTTTCGTCCATTCGCGGAGTCATGCAGGGCCACATGACTCCCACTTCTCTCACCCACCCCCCCGTCGAGCTTTGGGTGGCGAAGTAAAACCAGTAAACGTTCCGTTACAAGACGAAAGCCTGTGCTGTCTGTTTGTCTTCCATGTCCCTCTTTCGTTATGGTAAGAAAGAACAAAACTTTGGAAGTTTGAAACCGGAATTGCCGCTCTACTTTGCAACACAGTATCTACACAAACCTTTAGAAAGCCCAATTACGTGCCACGAACCATTATTTGACCCTAGTTTTAACTGGCAACCAAAACAGTGCGAGCTCGTATGAAGAACGTTAGAAGCACATGAGCAGGAGCAGATGCCACGGATGCCACGACGATGACGGCAACTCCAATGCGGCGACGCACAAGAGTCCTTTACACGGCTGCCACCGCAGCCCATAAACGGCTCTGCTGCAGCCACGACCGCAGTGCCACATGCAGCCTCTCAGTGCGTTGCGGTGGATGTGTGCATTCGCTCCTGAAAAGATCCAAGCTGAATTGCTCGCCAGGGGAGAAATTCAATGCCGTCGGCCTCTAACCACATTTGTTTGAACTGCCAAGCTGCATCCTCCTGGCAGAGCTTTGGGGGGGGGGGGGGGGGGGGGTGGGGTTGTCCCATGTGTAGAGGGACTAAAGTTCCCTCGATGCATTGCGACAGCGGTGGCATAGACAAACTGGGTAGTGAAATTGGTCTATCTACAATTATGTTGTTAGACATCATTCAGGCCTTTATATTTTAAGCAGGGAGCTCGAGTCTTGTGCAGTGTTCTATCACATTGTCTAGATGGGAAATTTCTGGTTCTGAATTAATGCTTGTTTTTAAATGCACTGGCCCTTTTATGACCGAATACAATGTCTGCTTTTTGGGGGACGTAAACACACCCGAAAAAGATTTTCCCGTGTGCTGTCGGCCGTTGAAAGGTAAATAAACGAAAAATTAAGTGCCTTTGTCTGCTTTCACGTTAGCATTGCCGACTTAATCCATTTAAAAATAAATGAACAGGATTCAAACCAATAGAAAGTTTGCTTAAAACCAGTTTCTGAAAAAAAAAGAGAAAAAAAAAAAAAAGTTCCGGTGAAATTTATTTAAGGGAGTGGGCCCGAAAATCAATGGCTGTTGCTTAAATTAACTTGTGGTCTCGGCTGCTATGCACTAACTTCCCTTGCCCTTGCAGGGCAGTGTCGTTCATGTACCCCTACGGAGCTACCCTAAACGTGGCCAAGCCCGCCGTGGCGCTGCTGTCGACGGGCAGCTGTGCGTTCCCTCTGGCACGACCCATCTGCGCACTCTACCAGAGCCAACAGGTGGGCTCACTCTCCTGCTCATCTGGAAATGCTCCCTATGAGTACAGTAAACTTTCCTTAGTTCGACCTCGGTTCATTCAACTTTTCGTCTAATCCGGTCGTGTTCAAAAGTCCCGGCGAGCGCCCATACATTTCTATGGGAGAAAAAGTTTGGTAGTTTGAACTCAGGAAGACTCCGCATCGAATAATTCGTCCCGAGCGAATCCGTGCGAGCTCACATTGCACGACAGCACGGCAGAAAAACTAACGTACTGCGAAACACGGGCCCTTTGCTGCAAAGCGTAACAGGCGCAAATATGCGCCTGCTGCTCTACGCCGTTGAGATGAATTGTAGTGAATGACACGAGCCAGTGCTACCAATCTGGCGGGGAGTAGTGCGGAGAACATAGCACGTGGTCGGACGCAGAGACAGCGCGCACTCTCAAAGCATTTTTTCGTAGTATCGTGTGCGGTCCATCTTGCGCGCCGGAAAATGCAAATTCTGTTTTCCTTTCTTTTTATTTTTTTTTTATTGTTGACGGTTTGGTTGCTCGGCGCCGAAGTCGGCTCGTAAAGCATTCTCAGCGCGCGCTCTCAAAGCGCTTTTCTGTGAGATCAGTCTGTTTTCCTTTTTTTACAGCGGAGCTGTTAAGGACTAGGTTCCTCAGGATCATGTTCGGTACCAAACGAACGTCGACAAAAAACTCTGGACAGCTACCACCATCAATGAGCGACGGCGGCAACCAGACAACCAGCTTGCCGGCCTCGCTCATAGATGGCGGCAACCTTTCCAGCCTTTCCACTCGGGTTTTCACCAGAGTGGAAAGGCTGAATTTCTCTAGGCGTCGTCCTAGATGTCGTCCTCAAGGTCGTCCTAGAAGTCGTCCTTGAGGTCGTCCTAGATGTAGTCCTTGAGGTAGTCCTTGAGGTCGTCCTTGAGGTCGTCCTAGAAGTCATCCTTGAGGTCGTCCTAGAAGTCGTCCTTGAGGTCGTCCTAGAAGTCGTCCTTGAGGTCGTCATAAACATCGTCCTTGAGGTCGTCCTCGAGGTCATCCTAGAAGTCATCCTTGAGGTCGTCCTAGAAGTCGTCCTTGAGGTCGTCCTAGACGTAGTCCTTGAGGTCGTCCTCGAGGTCATCCTAGAAGTCATCCTTGAGGTCGTCCTAGAAGTCGTGCTTGAGGTCGTCCTAGAAGTCGTCCTTGAGGTCGTCATAAACTTCGCCCTTGAGGTCGTCCTCGAGGTCATCCTAGAAGTCATCCTTGAGGTCGTCCTAGAAGTCGCCCTTGAGGTCGTCCTTGACGTCGTCCTAGAAGTCGTCCTTGAGGTCGTCATAAACGTCGTCCTCGAGGTCATCCTAGAAGTCATCTTTGAGGTCGTCCTAGAAGTCGTCCTTGAGGTAGTCCTAGACGTAGTCCTTCAGGTCGTCCTAGACGTAGTCCTTCAGGTCGTCCTCGAGGTCATCCTAGAAGTCATCCTTGAGGTCGTCCTAGAAGTCGTCCTTGAGGTCGTCCTAGAAGTCGTCCTTGAGGTCGTTCTAGACGGCGCCCCTGAGGTCGTTCTAGGTGTTGTCCTAGACGTCGTCCTTGAGGTTGTTCTCAAGGTCGTCCTAGACGTCGTTTTCGAGGTCGTTCTCTAAGCGTCGTCCTTGAGGTCGTCCCATCATAGTACAGCTTTGCTGGTCTTCCTTCTTCACCAGAGTGGAAAGGCTGAAAGTTTATTTTTATTTTTCTTTGTTGCCAACGGTCTGGCTGCCAGGTGCCAAAATCGACTCGTAAAACTTACTCTTTTTTTTAATGCGCGATTTTTTAGGGACATGTTGTCTAGTTACGCTTCTCTCTGGAGCATGCTTTTAGACATGCGTTTTAAGCGCAGACGGCAGCAGACCATCCGTGAGTACTTTGGACAGTAAAAGGAAGTTTAATTTTAAGCGTTTTTTTGTCCTTTTTTTATTCAATCATTCGGATAATTCAACCAAATTTCAAGGTCCCGTCGAGGTCGAATTAATGAAAGTTAACTGTAGTATGTTGACACAGAATGTGCTTTATGGCTGGTTCCCAAGCTTGAGCACCTCGAAATGTTGTAACCAATAACAATTTGCTAGTGTTGTGCGAATATTCAGATTTTCGATTAGTATATAGTTTCATATGATACAATATTCAATATCTGCTTCGTGATGAACTGCAATATCTATTTTTCCAAGTGTTGATCATTGTGGGTTAGCCCCGTTGAGTGCGCTTCTTTCCGAACATCCGTGCACTGTGGAGAAGCAACACCCACGGAGCTCGCTTCTGCGGCTGTGGCTTTTTCGCAGTGCACCGGTGCTCGGCTAGAAGCCCACTCAACGGGGCTAGCCCACCACAATCATAATTTCGAGAAGTACAAATATTGCAGTCATGTGCTCAGGAGGAAAGCATACTTTCAAAGCGGGGTGGAGCATGCACGTGCCTGAGATATTTAAAAAGAAACGGGAACTTTCTGAATGTTGATATCTATACTACAGTAAAACGTTTAAAATTAAACTTGCTATTACGCAAGAGTGGGCAGCGATGTGATTTCTACGCCAATTTCACCAAACTCAGTGATGTGATTGCTGTGCCAATTGCACCAAACTGTGCCAAGGGGCTAACCCTGCTACATTTTACAGTGTAGACCGCATATAACGTATGTCCCGGGAGTCGCGAAAATCCGCACTATAAGCGGTACCGCGCTATAACCAAAACATCAATTTTTCAGGCCAAAATACATGCCATGAGACAACTTACCTTTGTAAAAGAATTTATTTTATATTAGATGAAAAATAAAGCTTAGTTTGAGGAAAGTCTTTATTTCACCAGACTAGTACACTTCTCTCTCAAGTGTGTCACATTTTGAAAGAAATGTGCGACTTTTGCCTGGCGTCGCGGGTTGCGGATGGACGTTGCGAGCGTTCAGGATTGCTAACCCTAATCACTTTCTTCCGGCGATGAAAACGCATGAAAATTCGCATCCTTTATACGGTACGCGCCAGTAATACCTTCAACTTGAGCGCAGGCATGAAATGCTCCAAATAAGAAATCCGGGCGATGTTCGAAAACACAAATGCTTAGAAAGCACCACTGTAGTCGAAGTAAACAAACACGACGACACGGGCGTTTCTGCCGTCTTGAGAGTGCCGCCACAACATCACCGCACGAGTAGGTGCATCTTCCCTTCTAGTACGTGCTGGGTTATCATAGCGACACACAACGAAAATTCATAGTCAAGGATAGCGCTTTTACGTGGAACGATGAGCTTTTACCACGCCATCTACGTCAACGATCACAACCGATGCCATGTTCGCGAATAGAAGCACCCGGCCCGCGACCGGCATGCAGCGCGCGCGAACACTTCTCCTCGACCTGCGATTGGCCTGTCGTTGCGGTTGCGGAGGGACGCACGCACGTGAACAACACGTGCGTGCGTCCCTCTGTCGCTATGGCAACTGAAGCCTCTCTCTTCGCTTCTCCCCGCTTCTTCGAGCAACCTCCTTGCCCCGCGAGTGGGCTTGCGGCTCGCGCCGTTATCTAGTGTCGCACAGGGAAGCGTGCTCGCTGCGCCGGTCAGTTGGCGTGCTGTTCCAAAAACCGCACTATAACCGGTATTTCCCTTCGCGCGCCTGCATTTTAAGCGGTATGTAAATACGTGGAGTTCTATGGGAGGCAAACCGGTGGTTTAAAAAAGCCACGTTATACCCGGTCCTGCACTATAAGTAGTTACGTTGTAAGTGGTCTATACTGTACTACATTTTGCCAAAATATGGGTAATCTGCGCCAAGCCTGCGCCAAAGGACCAATTTTGGTTTTCTTTGAAAACCGAAACTAAACTGACTACCGTATTTGGGCATGCATGTGTTATGGGGCGCAAGCGGCCGCCCTGCACAATGTACCCTGCATCAACCGTGTTGAATTAACCTGAGACTGGGGTAGAGAAGAAACAAACATAGAAGGGACAGCAAATAGACGGACGACGTCTCAAATTTTGAGACGTCGACCTGTCTATTTTTTGTCCCTTCTACGTTTTGCTGTTTCCTCTCTACCCCAGTCTCAGGTTAATTCAACATGGTTAATATTCACCAGCTCGCCTGCACCCTTACGATTTTTTCTATTACCCTGCATCAATGGTCCATCCAGTCTTGCATAGTTTTTCCGCCGTCTTGCGTTTCACGCTCTCGTCGTGTCGTGGGCCTCGTCTCGCATCTTTTTAAAAAAGTTTGAACGACAGATGTGTGCAGACGCTCTGGCACTAGCCTTCCGGGTACATGCCATGCCATTATGCTGTGAAACAAAGACACGTTTTTGCGCGCTAGGAGTTGCTTTGTGAGCTGAATCACTCGCTCCTGAAAGCAGCGGCCATGGGAATATTTGGTCCCTGCCTACCAGTCACCATGGTTGCGCGACGTCGGGTGTTGCCGTCCCCACGTCGCTGCCAATATAGCGCTTTCTAAACTGAAACGTAAGGGCTGCCGCATGGTCATCAACATTCTTGTTTAACTCATACGCTACTACAAAAATCCCTCTTTAACTAAAAGACTGCTGTGTCAAAGTATTGACTACCTAGGTTTCTCTCGATGGGCTTTCTTTCGAGGGGGACCCTGGTAGTTGGTGAAGAGAAGTGAGCTAAAGGAAAGAAGGCAATGTCTGCACGCTGAACCTGCACAGCGCGCTTGTTTGTCTCGAGTTCAATCGTTGCACAAAGTGCTCCAAGAACGTTTTGACCCTGGCTTGGGATGTCTTGCATCGATGCGCTCAGGTTCTTTTTTATGCGTGTGTGTGTGTTACACAGTCTCGACAATTACATTTTGCATACAATTCTGGGAATCTGTTGGCAACGGAACGGAGTGGCACGGTTTCGGTTTCGATCAAACAGCTGCTGTTGCTGCTCGCACGATGAAGCACGCGTAACTGCAAGCCTGCCGTGATGATCGCACGACAGAGGCACCAGCCGGAATGCTTGCAATCCATTGTTCTACGTTTGCTTACTTTTGACAAAAATCTGGCACGTCGGGAACCAGTAAAACGGTGGCAAGCGGTTTTTCGAAATTGCTTGGCAATGCGTACAGCGGGTTCATATCTCATGAGCGAATGACGTTTTAGCGATCAGCGATTTTGAGCGAATCAATGTTTTAGTGAATAACGGGGGTGCACGTTAAAGGGGCCCTGCAGTCATATTTAAACGTCTACCTTTTTTGCGGTTTCCACGTCTCTTAGGTTTCGGGCAAGCCAGCGGGCACGGAGAGAGTAACTAAATATCAGTGCGTCATATTTTAAACCGGACGTTGCGGAAAGGAAACCTCCTCCATCGACGGGGGCGACCTGCGTTGCTGAAAGCGCGTGAAATGTGAGGTCTTTGGTTCTAGGCTTACTACAGGTCAAAGCCGCTAAAAGCTTCTTTTTAATCGAAATACAAAATATAAGTGACGCGAAGCGTTTCAATTATTTATAAAAGTAGTTTTTGTTCGGTATTTTAGATCAGAAAAGAAACAAATGCGGTTTCTAAAGTATGGAAACAAGAAATGACTCGTCGACATACCCGCCACCAAGCGGTGGAAAAGGCGGCACATACTAGAAAGGAGTAGTGGGATCACGCGCCGACACGGAACGGTCCTGGATGTACGCGGCGGCGCTGCGGTCGTTTACGGACTTGAGGATTTGACTGGTTCCGAACGTTCCGAAGGCCTCCTGGCGCAGGTTTGGCTTGCTGTTTTGCCGTTTGGCGGTATGGCAGCACGAAGTGGCGCCCGTTCTGAACTGTTCTTTACCCCGAGTTTGCTGTCGTTTGTGGCCAATGAAGTGTCATGCCGAATTAGTGTTTATTCGTGCAGCAAATGCAATGCGAGCTGCCCTGCCTGCCCGCTGCATACAGCCTATCCAGCACATGCTTTAGTGGCGCCCTCTCAAGCCGTCGACACGGAGTGCGGCAGCTGTGAGCGCTCGCTGAGCTCACTACCCCTCCTCTAGTTCATGGCCACCCAAGCGGCCAAAGACATCGTGAAGCAGGTTATTTTTTGCTTGTTTTTGTAATTTTAATTTGCCTATAACTTTTAAAATCAAATCGGTGCAAATTAAAAACCAGTGAAAAAGTCCTTGCAGGGCCCCTTTAACCCAACCCCCTGTGCTGCGCTTACGCCGCTTCGCGGCAACAGTTTGCGGCGGCTCATTACAAAAATGTTATTCCACTTGGCCCACCCAAAAACGCCGCTTCGCGTCGTCCGACTATTCGCTAAAGTGTCATTCGGTGAAACGTGGGCGTTCGCTCAAACGTCATTCGATCATGTGAGTGCCTCCCGCCTACAGCACTGTACACTTGTGAGATGTCACAGCAGTAAAAACACAAGCAGCTAGTTCCGTCACAACACATCTCATCAGAACACAACACAAAGTGTCCTTCAATTATGCAGCACTTAAAACAAATATTTTTATTTTTCTAAGAATATCTGTTCCAAAAGCCACTTTTGCTGTTCCGAAACACTGTTTTGGCTGCTCCAAAAGTCAATTTCACTCCCCCAAAACACTGTTTTAGCTGCTCCGAAAGGTGCTCCAAAATGGCTTAGGCCAATCACATCAATGAGTGTATGTTAGACAGAGATGTCCTGACATCCTGCGTTTATTATTCACTATACTCTTTGTTTCTTTTCTAAAATTTTATATTTAAAGGGCAACACCGGTTAAAGTGAAGCTGCATACTCAACCAAAACCTATTTTAAAGGTGCGACCAGCTGCCCTTCAGCAGGTGGCAAGCGGGTTAGCTTTTAGTCGAGCGACACTGGATGAGGCATACTGCAGCACTACCGTTACATCATATCGTGGCCGTTTAGCTGGTGATCAGTGTTTCCATCTCTTTTTAGCAGATGCTTTCGGTTTTGTAATTGGCCTCGAGATCGACCTAGAGGTGGCGCTACGGTCGCGCTATCATCATCATCAAAGCGGGTATAGGAGAACGGCCGCCCCATAGGCTCTCCACGTTCGTGCGCGCGGCGGCGTATATTCTTGCGTTTATTTTGTCGCGTACTATCGGTGGGAAAACAATTCTAGCGAAAAAGGATGCGGTACTGTTCGGGGCTACAGGGAAGATCGAATCGTGTTGCCAGCGTGCGGCCTAAATTTATATAATCGCTTCTGCGGGTGCGTCGTCTGCTCTAGGCAGACGTTGGAAAGCATGGATCACCTCGACTGATGCCTGCATGTCTCCGGCTGAACTGGAATATTTATGTTAAACATTTGTTTCTTTTAAAATGACTGTATCGATTCATCAACGTGGGAATTAAAAAAGAAAACAATAAATTCCATCCCAGATAACATAATACTCGTAGTGTGAGCTGTGAAATCGCAGCTTCTATATTTTTTTGTTTTTTTCTTTACTTCTAGGTTTTTCAGTAATATAAATATTTGGGATGAAGATAAGTTAGCGCTGTATTGGAAATTACTGTGCTAATGAGTTCCTCTGCCCTTTTACTGTGCCATAGTGTGGGTAAGTTTTTTGGAGTCTGAACAAATCTAATGCGTTGCGATGAGGAGAGTGTGTCTCTTCTAGTTAAGATCTGCAAACTGCACGGTTGGCAGGAAAACTGAAGCAAGTGAAACAAACTGTTCCAATATATCTGTGTGACTGTAATAAACGAGTGTAACCGAGCAACGCAGCAATGTTCCTGCTATTAAATGCTTTTCTCGGTAGTGTGGGTTCACCCGCTTAAATTTTCTTGGTGAGGGCCGCGGATGTCAAGAGGCTAATACTATAAATGTCTGGCTAAATAATCTTGTATTCAAACACAGTAGACTCTGTAACCCCAACAAACGACGCGCACCAAGACACAGACAGCATCGGCCGCAGTGATACTCTTACATCTAAATTGAGCGAAGCTGTAAAACCTGAGCAACCTTTTTTTAGTCCATCATTTGAACTAAAAACTGAAGAGGTACTTAAGGTACAGGTACGTTATACTAAAACTACAGTTACATGTTTCCAAAAGTATTGTGTTGCAGTTTCTTGCAAGGGGTAACGAAGTTGGATTTCAATTCCTTTAATGTGTCCTTATATGTTAGATATGACCGTTGACTAACAGTTGTCCGCAGCAAGGTTTGAGGCAATGGCAGCATGGGTGCCGATACTAAGATGTGAATTTGTCCATTTTTTAACAATTTTGTAAGAGTAATTGCAATTGATCTTACTAGTTACTCCAAAATGTTGCTCAGTTACAGTTACAATCGCTGCAAAATCACTGTGACTTACGAAGTACTTTTTAGCTACCTAAATTTTTACTAACTTCTCTAACCTGAGTACTTTTAATTACCATAAAATACCGGGCTTGCGCTGAAGTAGCGATAGGCACCCACCCACTACTTTTGAAACATAAAAAGAAAAGACGTTTACAATTCTCTGTAACGTCGAATTAGAGCGCAGTTCTTGAGGAGGAGGAGGGGAGGGGAGGGTATGCTCACGTAATTTCACGAGGGTGACTTCACTCGTGACGTCACACGTGACCCTCGTGACGTCAATCGTGGCCCTTGTGACGTCACTGGTGACCCTCGTGACGTCGCTTGTGACCCTGGTGACGTCGCTGGTGTCCCTGGTGATGTCACTGGTGACCCTCATGATGGCCCCTCGTGATGTCACACAAAACGTCACGCGGTTACATCGACACTGCTCAACCCGGAAACGGGTGCCTAAAAGCCGCGCTCTAAAAATAAACAGAGGACATACGAAGCACCCAACCCAGGCTTGTGAGCACACCTGGCCAACCGAGAGGTTCGTACGTGTCGGCCGCTTCTCCGAGCTCACCAATGCAATGCAATGAAGCTCGATGCGCATGCACCGGTCCTAAGTACGAGAGCCCACCCCACCTTGTGCCCCTTCTGCATATTTGCTCTCAAACTTTTGCAAGTGCACATCCTCCACTTTTTTAAGATCATCTCCAACATTTGGGTGGGTGTGTTCTCGGTATTTTTTTTGGTAGTTGTTACTTTCCGACTCCGCATTTAACTGAAAGGAGGAGCCGAAATATCGGACAAGAGTCTTTGGGAAGGATGTGCGTGGCTGTACTTGCACACTCGTTTCAAGGTAGGCTGATTTGTATGTTGTCTGTGTGCAAGGCACTCTACGCGAAAGTTGTGCCGACTGTCATCTTCGTGTGCTCTCCCCTTCAAGTTCTTTTTCTTTTACAATGCGTTAATGCCACGGAAATCGTTACAAAATGTGTACCACGTGCTCTAATAGACATTCGGTGCAAAAGAAGGCATAACTGAGTAGAAAGAGTAATTAATTGGGAAGAAAAAGCAAAATTCTAAATGTGCCCCGATGGGGATTGGACCAACGACTCCATGATTATGAGACACTCTACCTGTGTGCCAAAAGGGGAGTGGTAGAATATTGGCACCAAAATGGCGGTGGTGAATGCGAACGCCGGACGCTGACGTTCGAATCAGTGAGGAGTAGAGCCGAAGGCAGCTAGCTCTGATTCTCTCCACCCGTCATTCCAACCAGAGCTCTGTGCTTTGACGTCCTCACATACTCTGATTGCCTCCTTTCCATCAGTTTCTGTTCATACAACCCAAGGAAATAAAATTTTAAAAATTACTTCGAAGTACCAGAAGCCCCTAAGAATGCCGCGGAAGCACAGTTTCTGTACCAGTTAATTTGACCGTGTTGCTATATTGAATACTTCAGAACGAAAGAATATAAACCTATAAAAGACATACAATAGAAACATAAAAGATTTTTGTCGCCAGAATTAAACGTTGTTGCTATTTGAAAGAGTGTGGTCATTTGTGTACATTTTTATGTTTATATTCTCTCATTTTTAAGTATACATTTTGTGTAGTATACAGAGTTTATTGTTATGATCGAGGTAAACATTTGGTTGGCAGAGCCGGGTCGTTTGTGTGCCATTCCGTAGTGGTACGAGTCTACTCTTTTCTGCGGTGCGATTGGTTGACCAGTGAACTGATTGCAGGGGCCTTCTGGGAGGATAGTTGTCCTGGGGTCGTGCCACCTGCTCTCAGACCAGTACCTGGACAAGGAAGAGAACAGTAAAATCAAGGTATGTGGTGCCCAGCACATTGCTCTATTTAGGGTGACCACCCGTCCCGCGACTCGCGGGACTGTCCCGCATTGAGGGCTTGTGTCCCGCGTCCCGCAAGAAATTCCCAAATCTTCAAAATGTCCCACATTTCATACTGTAGTAAAGGTCACTCTGCAACTTATGGCGCTGCCGAACAATTGGGCTCGGGGAAGCCCGAACGTCGCTGGTAATCGTGTGAACCACAATGGTACATCATTTTTTGTCCAAGCATTGCGGGAAGCGACCGTTGTTCTTGGAGGAGAGCCGACACGCATGCTCCGTTGTGCCTTTCCCCTTGGTGGCAAAATATTCTAAGAAAAATTGCTTGCTAAAAGTTTCAATATAAAATATTGTAATTATTTTCAAATCGCTCTGTCAATGCAAACGGGTTGCCGTGGGTCTTTGTTTTTGGGAACACAGCCATACAAGGCAAAAAGCCTGCAACTCGCATCGGTCGAAAAAGAACAAAATGTTAAAACTTTGTGTATGACTATGTTGATAAAAGTAAGCGTTGACAGGAAACAATAATCCGAAAGAGACTTAATGTTTCTTATTTTTATCTAATGCATCGAGTTCTGCTACAGTCGATTTTTATGTTTTCAACTTCGACACATTTAATAGCACATTTGCCGTGATATATATATTACTTTTAGTAAAAATTAATTGAGCTTAATTGCTGCAATACAATTAGCAGGTTTATAAACAGCACATGATGTTAAATGTATTAACAAAGCCTCGGTTTGCGGTGTCTGTGTTAATAAATTTCCTCTACCCCCCCCCCCCTCCCCGCATTTCGCTAGCAGAAAGGTGGTCACCCTAGCTCTATTGCGATGCATTTATGTTTAGGGTCCACATAAACTGGAGCTGTATGGTATCAACGAAGTGGTGCCATATTTTCCTGACTATTGATGCTTGTATCATACATAAATCATTATTAATATACTCTGTACTTGATGAAGTACGTCACGCCTCATCATAATGAAAAATCTTGAAAAACCAAATCCTTGTATAGTCTGCACCTGTAAATTCTCTGCATAGCATAAACTTTTAAACATGTGGAGTGTGCATACTACACTCCCAAAGGCATGGTATAGGTCCCTTTTCTTTTTAAAGCACCGCAAGGAGGCACCACTGGCAATTTTTTGCGTCCGTGAGCTTCCGATCAAATGAGAGGACAAACAATGCCCACCATAGCACCGCTTCTTATAACTTTTTAAAATATTTTTTCAGCAGTTCTCTGGATGGTTCGAAAGATTTGTTGGAGATTTTTTACTGCTCCCGTAAGACGACCGATCCCATGTTATATGTTGAATAGCACAACACAAGAGCCTCGCTAAACCCCCACTTCGTGGTTTCCACACAAGTTCCTCGTCTTGGGCATTTTGACATCACGAGGCTTGGAAGGCTTGCCTAAACGGAGCGATTGGAAGTCTCTTGGGAGCCAAGAGACGGCTTGTGTTTGTTTACACTAAAAGGGTCTATACACATTCTTGAGTGCGGCCCCTGAAAGCCACCATCTTGCAGCCGGTGTGTGTATATTGCCCAATAGTTGAGCCTCGCTAAGGTGTGCCCATGGTTGGTAGACTGGTGCCCCAGCGAAACGACTTCCACACACACTGGCCAGACTGGCTTTTGAAGCGTGGCTGCCTGCAAACGTGTATATTTTTTACAATATATCCAGATTATATGTGCATGGTCGAGTATATGGGAAATAGGTTCTTTTCGTGCGTTTTGTTGCACTGCAGAGAGGCGACAGAGCGAGCAAGCTTCTGTTTACCAAAATGCTGGATTTCGAGAGGTTTCATTTCATGAAAAGTAGTTATGGCTACAAATCATCCTATTTGGGAGCTTTCTCTCCCGGAAGGCTAGGGGTATGACCTTATGGTCATTGTAAGCAATTTGTATCAGAATGGTCTATTCTTCGATCTGATTTTTAATTATTTTTTCCTTTAGAACTCTGTCGTATTTCTTGTCCTGCCTGCCAAATGCAAGTTTTGGTCTCGGTCACTGTAGAAAGTTTTGGGAAAAATAGTTATTTATCAAAGATACCTAGTTCTATGGGCAGAAAGTCTGCACACCTCTAAACTACCGTATTTACTCGCAGAATGAACGCGCTTTTTTTTTTCTGAAAAATGATGCAAAGTTGGGGGGAGCGTTCACTACGCGAAGTAAAATTTTTGCTTCATTGTTTACTCGCATAATGAACGGACCTTTATCCTGAAAAATCGACTTAACTTCTTATCTCTTTGCGCGCGGCGCGCCACCCCGTAACCAAACTGGGCTGTGAAAAAAAAAAAAGGAAAAACAACTCCTTTTTTTTTTTCTCTTAGTTCCTTGGTATTTTTTTTTCCCCCTCTTTCGCAAGCTATTTCGTTTGCTTAGGCGAGGGCCTTTCCGCTTATCTTTCTTATCTTCTTGCGCGCGGAGAGCGATGCGCGAACCCCCGTAAACAAACTGGGCTGTGCGAAAAAAAAAAAAAGCTCCTCTTTGTTTTTTCTTTTAACTCCCTGGTTTTCTTTGTTTGTTTTTTTTGCCGCCTTTTGCAAGCTGTTTTGTTTGCTTAGAGGGCTTCTCCGCTTCTTTCTTACCTCCTTGCGCGCGGCGCGCGATCTCCCCGCGCCCCCCCCCCCCCCCCCCCCTCACCAAACTGCGCTGTGTAAAAAAAAATAAAAATAAAAGCTCCTCTTCGTTTTGTTTTCTCTTAGTTCCCCCTTTTTTTCTTTTTGCCGCCTTTCGCAAGCTGTTTCGTTTGCTTAGAGGGCTTCTCCGCTTCTCTTTCTTACCTCCTTGCGCGCGGTCCCAAAGTCCAGACTGCGATCTGCAAAACAAGAAAAGCTCCTCTCCATGTTTTTTTTTTTTTCTTGCTTCGGTTGGATCTTTTCAAATTTTTTTAACGCCTTTTGCAAGGAGGCGTTTTGTTTGCTCACGCTGCCCATGCTTTCGCGACATCGCTGCACCAGAATAGAAAAGTGCATTCATTTCGCGCGCGTGGGGAAAGGGGGGTCAAAATTTTGACGTCCGAGTTGGGGGCGCGTTTAATACGCGAGTGAAAAAAAAAGTCGAAATTTTGAGAGCCGACTTGGGGGGGTGCGTTCATTATGCGAGTGCGTTCATTGTGCGAGTAAATACGGTAGGACAATTTTTCTAGTATTGCACTTATCGAGACACGGTACTATGCAGTGGCACCTCGACCTCTTTCCCTGGGGTCAGTCGTTTGAGCGACCTTACTCGGCCATTTTTAGAGCGCAGCTCTTAGGCGCCTGTTTCTGGCTTGAGCGGCGTCGCCGTCGGCGTAACCACGTGGTACATTATGGGAAATGCCCCATAATGCACCACGCGAGCCCCCCCCCCCCCCCCCCCTTTGGCACAGTAACTGCGAGCCCACCCCCAAGGTCACGTGACCCCCCCCCCCCCGGAGGAGATTGAAGAATCCCCTCAGTACCCTTCCATCCTCCTCCTCAAGAGCTGCACTCTAATTCGACGTTACAGGGAGTTGTAAACGGCTTTCACTTTTTTTAAAATTTAAACTGTAACTTTGTTGTTTTCACTGTCGTTGAATACAGTTTATTACTAATTTTTGAGCTCAGTATTCGCCATGAAGTGCAAAGCTGAACTAGTATACATAGATTTCCCATTCTGTACCAACCCTCCCCCAAAAATCTCAGTGTTTTTTACACCGCAAAAATAAGCTGTGCATCACCGAACGCTCATTTCCCCCCCGCAATGTAGGGCTAGTGGTCCGAACCAGATGCCAAAGTTTCAGCCCCAACCGTTATCTTATTCAAAAGTTATAAGTGATTATCTGAGAATTTCAATGGGAAAATGGAGCCCATTTTCACCTGTTTCGGTAAGTGGCACTATAGAGCTGCATGTATTCGACAGTGCGGTCGGCTGCCAATTTCCCATGAAAAATTTAAGAAAATTATATATAACTTTTAGGGTTGTGTGAATATTTGAATTTTCAAATAGTAGCTTCAAATAATACGCTCTTCAATATTTGCTTCGGATTGCACTGCAATATCCGTGTATTTCCAAGTGTTGATCGCGGAGGGATAGCCCTGTTGAGAGGTTGAGCGCACTTTTTACCGAGCATCAGCACACTGTAAAGAAGCAGCATCCACGGAAGCGAGCTTTGTGGGTGTTGCTTCTCTGCAGTGCACCAACTCTTGGTAAGAAGCGCTAGAACCCAACCTGCTGCCATGAATGTTTCAAAAAGTACAAATATTGCAGTTGCATGCATAGGAGAAAAGCACATTTTCAAATCGGGATAGTGCGCGCAAGTGCTTGGTGTGCTTAAAAAAAACAAAAAAACTTGCAGTGAAATTTTCAAAATTCAACTGTGCCTATTATGCAAGAGTATATGTTAGGCAGAGATGCACTGACAATCTGCTTTGATGATTTGTGATCCTCTTCTTTGTTTTTTTTTTCAAATTCGAGATTGTAGAACGATACTACTTGCATACAGTAAGGTTTACAAATCCGCTTGAATATTTAATTTTACGTCAAATCCATCGTTTACCTGCCATCTCAATGTAGGCATTGGACTTTCTGCTGCCACAGTCTATTAATATAATTAGATTTAAATTGACTTAGCTTATCAATGGACACACATGGAAGCTTGGAAACAACGTTCACGAGTTCAGCTGAGTTTTTGTAAGTGCATAGTGCAGCAATAGCGAAAGACTTATAGAAACTGTTTGATATTCAAGTAAAAAATACTCAACCAAAACCACCATTCACTTTCAATTTGCTTCAAACTCAAAATCTTATTATTTGCACATGCCTAATAAGCCCAAAATGAAATTGTGGTTAGTGCTGAAATTTTGGCATCTGGTTTGAACTTTTTGTAGAGAAGTGCCAAAAGAATAAACAGGGACAAGAAGTTGACATAAACACTCGCACCATTTTTTATGTCAACTTCTTGTCCCTGTCCGTTTTTTTGCCACTTGTCTATGATTACAAACCAACTGGACCAAATTGAGACATTAATGGTTTGAACTACTAGTGTTACATTTGGGCGGAGAATAAGTGTTCGGCGATGTGTAGTTCATTTTTGTGGCGAAGAAAACCCTCTAAAAGTTTTTTTGAGAAACCTGTATGTGGCATTACATGTAAAAAAAAAAATGACAGCTCAGTTTGGAGTGGCAAGGAGAAAACTAAAACTGAGATCACTTGAAAGTGCACCCAAGTATACTTGGGCGTGGCTCTCAAAGGGTTAAAGATGGCAGTTAATCGACAGTTGTCACTGGGGGCAGGCGTGTAACAGAAGTAGTCACCATGAAAGAAGTAAACTTGTACACCTTGTTATCTGCAGCACGGTGGAAGCAGTGCGTACGAGTCATTGCGGAAGTAAATGCTTGTTGCACACATGTTGCTTGCTTTTAGTGCCCAAGTGTTGCTCATGTCACTTCCCTGCATTCCCCCTTGCCACGGAGGAAGTGCACAAAGCTTCTTCTTTGTACCGTGGAAGTGAAGCTTGAAATAATTAGAAAAAATGCGTAGCAAATTGCTGGGCAATGTACCTTTCTGGAAAGTAGCATGTGCCCTCAAGCGGCGCACGAGGCATTATGGAAAGAGTGAGGGTCGCCGCTCCGTCGTCCGCTGTGATGTTTTGAGGGCACTCGCAACAAAAATCGCCCACTGGGCCCTCCTCAATCAATGCGTCGCAACCATTCTTTCTTAATCTCATCCTTCGGAAACAGATGCCATGACGGGTAACAATCTTTCAAAGTGTCGTGGTTGTACCTTTGGCATGCAGCACATCTGTCCACTGTGGCTTCGACCTTGCATTATGACGTGGCTTCGGCTTCACACTTTTTTAAAAAATGTTGAGATCGCTGGAAGGGCCCTAAAAGAACTTCAAACTCGAAAGTGAAGCGTCGTCTGCTCACAGCGATACGCGGCAGACACTGAGAAGAGCGTGATCGCGGGACGCGGGCGAACACGACACTTCAGGGGTCTGGACGGTCCAGACGTGGGAAACTCGAGTTGCAGGACGACTCAATCTTGGACATCACGGCACTATCGCAGATTGCGCGGTAACTTCAAATCCGGCTTTGGGAAATTGTTTTTTCACTTCACAAACACCGAGTTCCCAGGTTTTGAATTTTGTGGGTAATGTCCAGGCTTCGTTTTTGATTGTTCTGGATAATAAAAAAAAATATGATTTTGACCATTTGGCCATTTCAAAGGCATTGAGTTATGTTCATGGGTACCAGTTAAAACCAAAGTGTGAGCTCCTCAAGATAAATCATTGCGCCAATCGATTTTGTCGAGCTTCCAGGTTCTTGCAGTAGCATCAATCGCTGCAGTACATCTTAAATTGTTAAAACTTCATCATAAAAATCTGTGGAGAAATCATGCCAAATTATAGTGAGTGGCAATTTACCTGCCACATTGAGCTATGAAAGTTGAGCTTACACTTGCTTAATCAGTGTAACAGCAGATTTGAGCAGCATCTTTGAATGATTTCTCTAACCATTTTGTTTCTTCAGGATGTCTTGTTTCAGTTTCTGACGAGTGATGAGGTCCATCTGAATGCCATTGATGCTGGAGATCCTGAGGTAGGAACTGTGATCTCTTTAGGACATATTGGGTGCTTTTTTTTAGTTTTTATTGGACAGCAAACATTGACGTTGAGTTAGTCGCAAGTCACGCTGTCTCACTCGTAGGTGTCACAAACTTTATATTGCAGTTGACAATAAATGTAGTAAGAATGCATATTCAAAATGTTTGTCAGCCTCTTTGGCATAATTTTTATTAATGTTGACAGTCTTCCAAGCGTTTTAGTTTTTGTCGTTCACACGTTTGCTTTTATGTGGTTTCAAAGGTCAATCTGCCTTTGCCTTTTATGTTATATAACGTGGCAATGTTCACATTTCGATGACTATTCTAATTGCACGAAGGTTGCAATAAATAGATTGTTTTTTAAGAGCATAATCCCCGGTTGCAGTTTTTAGTGCATCTATGATGAATATGAGTGCAAACGCCATTCTGCGTGGCACGCGGTATTACCAATGCCCCCTGTAGAATGTTCCACAAAGCTTAAATGCATGTTGGGGTCGAGACAAGTAGCCTTCTGCGCTTTTTGCACTGTCCTCTCCTCTCCGGATCATCCGCATGTGCCGACATGTAGTGGCCCATAGAGTTGTTACAATAAACGCTAGAGGCTCAGCTGGCGCTAGTGTGCTGTTGCATTTTGAAGCAGGCAGCAAGCAGTCAGAAATTGACTTCCGGTAATGCATTTCTATGGCAAAAAGCGAGTGCATTTTCTCTCTGCGCTCGATTATAAGAGCAAATATCACAAATAATGTGTACGTACTAGGCACATTGTAACGTTTCTCAGTCACGCAGACGAAATATTTGGTCAGTTACAGCATTTTTATTTAAAATTCGTGGCATGAAAAACGGTGTTAAAACCGCTTCGTACGTGTATTTATGTGCACTGTCGGACACTGTTAGCGCGAACACGGTGTTGACGCTTTCCAGCATGGGGGATATACGTGCCAAACGAACGAATGACATGTGGAAAACCAAGAAAGACGGCAAAAACTACGCAGTAACACTGGGTAAGTAACTCCTTATGCTTGCAGACGATCAAAATAAGTTGAAAGTCACGTAATATAGTCCGAATAAATAAGTACTGCTTCATTCTTTCTGCTCATGAATATGTGCGAAGATGTTTGTTCTGTGTTGAAATCATCACCCGCACGCTCCAAATCTTTGCAAATAGGGGGAAGCCAGAGGACAGGTGCGCGATAAAAACTGCCCAACATAGGAAATAATAAGAAAACACACCTTTCGTAGCCCACATACTTTATTCTTTACGTTTCGAACGTTTTTTTTAACCACTCGTAAGATGCACGACGGGGTCATTTTCATATAGTGAGAGGACAGGCATATTAGCAATATATAAGCACCAACGGAAAGCTGGCGAACTTTGAACACACTCTACATTCCTTTCGATCGTTATTTTGCTTAAAATCGTCGCTCGTTTCTACATACCTGCCATGGAACAGAGGTTTGGGCCTGAAATATAGGGAAGTTTAGCATCGTTCAGTGGTAAAAGAAAAATGCTGTAACTAAAGCAATTACACTTTCACAATATTAATAAAGGTACATACTACCCGGCACAACCAAAATAACAAAAGCTATTCATGTTATTTTCCGGCGACGAGACAAAATTCACGTGCGTTTTCCCATAGGAATACACAGGAAGACTGGAAAAGTAGACTGCATGCTGTCTGCTTCAATTTGCAACCGGAAGTCCCATAGACACTAGCGCCAGCTGAGCCTCTAGCATTTATTGTAATAACTCTATGTAGTGGCCTCCGCCATTTGTAGTGGAACGATTACCGCACGAGAATAATTCGGAGCGGCGTTGTACTTGTTGCGGGACAATTTGCGATTTATTTGTTGCGTTGTGCATTGCTTTTGTGACTTCAGGGAACGACGAATATCGCCCACACGTGCACCGCCGTAGCCTCTTGTTTGTGACAGTGCATTCTGCAGCTCTTTGCTCTCACAAAACAAAGCAAATACAGCCCTGAAGCGAATAATAAAAACAGTTACACTCAAATAAATGTTTACTAATGAAAGGGCTCTGGGTCATTGGTCAACTGTTTCGCCGACCGTTCTTCACTAGCAAACGATCCAGAAGTGCACAGTGGTACAATGATTGTTGGAAGTGAAATGTCTCGTCCACAAAGTACCTTTGTTTCTATGGAGATACCAACAGGGGGCACTGGTAGTATGATGGGCCACTTGGAGCGGTGTTCACACTCGTTTCGATTGTGATAGTACATCCACTATAAGTGTGTTCAGATAAGATTGAACATGCGAGTCCGGTTCACAATTTTGTTTTTCTTTGTATTTTTATATTTTACTCCCTAATATGTGGAGGGAACGAAATCAAATGTTTTCTCAAAAAAACAAATATCTCTATAGACCGTTCCATTAGGGTCATAGCAGAGAGGGTAAAAGAGAAAAAAATGCACTCCCCCTCTCACCCCGCATTTCGTCCGCTCCGCCGAGTGGGCTGTAGGTAGCGTCCGGCTGGCATGCCAACTGTTTAAAATCGCATCATTTTGGAACTTTTAAGCGCAGATGCGCAGATTTTGGTATGCCAGTTGTCGTGTAATACTATGCTAAATAAAAAGACTCACAGGGTCCAATTGCGCTGTTACCTGCGTGCCAATAAAAAGAAAAACAATAGGGAAAACTGTGTCAGATTGGCCAGTGTCTCTGGTGAAAAGTAAATCCGGTTGCTGTACCTTTTTCTACGATACACAAGTTCGTGCTGGTGTAGGCCTTTAGCGACCAGGAGTGGAAGTCTGAAATAATAAATAAAACATGCTCTCCTGCCGCAATACACGCAGTAGTTGAGGGTAGTACTGCCGGCTGACTCTACTGTTATTTAAGTAACAGAAAAAAGATATGCTAGTTGATCCATATACAGAAATAAAACAACAGAGAGCTATAGGATGATTCTGGAGTAGCCATAACTATTCTAAGAACGCGAACCACTTCACAACGGCAGCCACGAGCGAGAGTTCGATGTTCTGTACAGCCCGCCGACACAGCTCAAAGATGGAGAACGGCAAGCTCCCGGTTTGTCGTCTGCTAGCGGAGTCGGGCGCGTGCCCTCTCTCTTGTTTTACCCCGCCGAACCCGCTGAACTTCCCGGATATGTGGAGAGGGCGCTGCGGTCAAACAAAATAGTGCCGCCCAGAGAGCGCTAAATGGAATGGTCTATAGATAAAGAAGCATGACTGCTCCAAAAACGACAATGCTGTTTTTGAGCTTTGTCAATTCTGTCAAGTTTGACTGCATGTACATGATAGCCAAACTAAAAGAAAAAAAAAAAGAAACTGATTATTTTTTAGCAAGCAGTGATTTATAGTTACTACATTCTTGATTTTTTACAGTATTCTAAAAATTATATATTGTGCGTACAAAATTAACAGATGTGGCTGTTTGAACGTTTCGACCCCATTTTTGTAACTCGTGATATTGTTATGTGTTAAGAATATTAAACTGAAAATTTTTTTCATATGCCCTTTATAAATGTGTCTCTTATCCAAAAATAAATTGCTGCTCTAGTTTAAAATTCAAAATATTTGCAGCGCTTCAAACATATCCAAAATTGAAAAGTTGCGCAACTTCAACGTGCAATTAAAAAAAAAAAATCTTCAATCTTTTTAAAATTTGGAGAAATCACTCTCCCTTACATCCTCGTAAAATTCCATTAAAAACATGTTGCATCATTTTGCCTCCGTAAAAGTACAGCGCTTTGAAATGTACCTCCCCACGTGGACATGTTTGCCCAAGGTCACGGCCGCAGTGTGGCTGTTTTTCAATTTTTTTGTTTTGAACTTTTCACAATGTCCTGTTTTTTACTTGCGCACAAGTTTGAATTATTTATCTGGACCACTCTAAACACATCTATGAAGTGCATATAGCTCAGGACAGCAGGTCGAAGCATCGAAGATGCAAACTAAGACGAGCCCGCCCTTCGTGCTTAATTGTTGCATATGCCACTGCAGGGTCGCGCCAACTGAAACACAACCACCGGCACGAGACACTAGGCTCGATAAAAAAGAAGGACATATATAACCTGCTGTATGGTATGTGCGTGTTCTATTGAGTTCAAACAATAGCGGATGCGACCGGGTACACCGGGTTGATTTGTGTGATGGTTGGAAAGAAGGCACCGAGCAGATAGAGAGTGGCCCCGCAGGTTTCGGACTATGGGCCCATCCCAGCCCTGGGGTGCCTGTCGGAGGGTCCGTTGAGCTGCCTCCAGGAAGGGGAGGAGCCTCCTGCCGATCCCACGGAGCTCTTCCAGCAGCAGCTCTACTCTCTGGACAACTCCCTGCTGCCCAGCGTCATACGGTCGGCCTGTTCTCTGCACATTTCCTGTTTTTATTTATTGCTTTATTCTAAACATTGGGGACCTTTTTTGGGCCCTGGCAGGTCCCACAACAAAAAGAGCAGTAACGCAGCACTGCGCACATACAACAAAAAAAGATCCCGCTGTTAGTTCATTAGAAAACAGGAGTACTACATAATGATAGTAGCAATTAACAGAAAGCACATAGCAACTTATCGTAGATCTTGCAGGTACACTGACATGTCGTGTTTATTATAGCGACTTTAAACGATACTGTTATCGATAACAATAGCGACATAAAACATGACAAGAATTGAGACCAATATTTGTTCCTGAACGTGGAAAGGCTTAAAAGTTACTTTAAATTCCACTGAAATAATGTAGAAATCTTTGAAATTTTATTGATTATTTACTCGGCACTTATACATATATTTTTAATGAATGTCGATGGCATTTCTTTGTGAGACGAATCCAGTTTTTATTACGCTCACGAAAATCGTCCTTTGTCGGTTATTTATGCGCACCCCCAACGATCCTGTTCATTAGGACATCGGGAATCAGTCTGGTTCATATTTTTCCTCATTATATTATTCTATTTTACCTTATTTTCCCGATGTGGCACGCAGTATTGCCACTGAAAAATCAGAAACTTACTCTGGGATTCTTGAAAAACCGCTAATTTTGAGGTGCGCACAATTTATTGCTATAATTAGTCTAAAAACAGAACAATAAATAAAAGATCCCTTAGAAGGTAGTTACGTTCCACGCAGATCGCTTCCATGCACAGAACAGCGTCCATTGCATGATCTTACTGTCATACCAGGTTGTAGGTGTCACCAGTGTAGGTGTCGTCAGCCACACCTGGCGACGTGCTCCTCCATTGTTCCAATCTTTAGCGCAATATTTTGTGGCAGTTCAAAACTTTAGTGACAAAATTCACGTGCTTTAGAAAAAGCTCAATTTTCCAGGGCATGTGAGTTGTCTAATGTTGCTTGGAGCTTCCAATAACCGCTCTCGAAGCTTAGGATCCTAATCTCCCCTGTTTTCAAAATGTTTGTGCATAGGTCATTTAGTGCATTTCACTGGCAGACTTAAAAGAGGAAATCCCACCTAAATCACTCGGAAGCGTGTCTGGAGCTTCGTCACTGTAATATCTCAATGGCGTTGCAAGCGTTTCACTCGCAACAATTTTTCTGCCAGAAAGCAAGAAAGACGACCCCGTGAGTCTAACCTACCACAAAAATTAAGTAGTTTATGAATCATAAATGTAAATTCAAAAACATTTAAAAGCGAAAAAACAAAAAACAAGAAAAAACGCTAACGTGACTTGAAAATTGCTAAAAATCCCACCGCCCGCAAAACGCCCATTTCTCCCGCTAGACGACCGAGAAAACTGCTAAATTTAGTGGAAAAACCGCTAAATTAGCAACACTAATGGCACTTTCTGGCTTTTCCAGAAAGTGAAGGTTCGCATGCACGAAGGAGCTACGAGGCTTAAAATGACGACACCAGGGTGGTCCAGGAATTGCGAGTGTTATAAAAAGTAAATACATCGTCTAAAGAAAAGCATTGGCATTAGCGAAAATTGCGTTAAAAGGTGGAAAATAAGTGAGCTCTCGCGCAAATATTTTGGGGACTGGTGGCAGAGTGTGTTGGGGGTACATTGCAGCTCTGTGCATGTGGATATCCCCGGGTTGGGCTTTGAGCCCTCAGGACCCCAGGATCCCTGGGGTCCTCTACATCGGAGACACCAGACGTCCATTGGGGCCGATCAACTTCCCACTGTCTAAACAAACACGCAACACAGTTACAAGTGAAAAACGTTCAACTGTGGTAGTGTAACTAAATTATTTGTGTGAAATCAAACAGATTTTTAGATTTGCCCACGTAATGGGCAGTGTAACTCGGGTCCTTAACACTGGATGCTGCGCGACCCAGTTAGCCCAGAGATATCAGCACCTTGTGGAAATTTACTTGCTAGTGTCGAGTACCAAACCATGCCACTGAAGTTTGTGTGACGCGTGGGGTCTAAATGGCAGATATTTGGCCGTGCGGGAAAAAAATCGCTTTTTTGGTTCAAATGTGTTGCACTCTATATTGTTCATCTTTTACGGAGATCCGCAGCCTTACATTCCCTACCAAGGACGAGTGTGAACCACACATTTAACTTTGCATTGCACATACTTTTCAAAAATGTTAGAAGAGAGCACACCCAAAAATTTAGCGTGTGCACTTTCTGAAATTAAAGTTTAGTAATGGTTATAATGTGGAAATGTTTATTTTCTTTCGAGTAATCCTCTCTCATTCCTAGAAATGGCACTGCAAACTTTGACATGTAGCAGAAGTGCCAAAGGCAAAATAGTCTGTAGATAGTAGCTGTAAGTGAAGTGCACGTGCCTATGAGGCTTATTTAGACGTCTCCTCTGGTTTTACTTACCTGCACTACGTGCCACCACCATGGACCTAAAATATTTTTGCACATTCCGTATTTGTGGGTTAGTGATTGCCACATTTCTTTGAGGGTGTGCGAGGAAGGAGGCAGACCCGGGACACGTGAATAAAATAATTAGAGAAAAGAAAAACGTATATAAAATGAAAATTAGACCGATCAAAAAAGAAAGCCATTGCAAAACATCCAATGCAGAAATAAATTATGAGTGTTTGACACAGAAATGAATAAACAGTTCAGTCCGAATCCATGGCGACGGTTCATTGGGGCCCAGAGAGTTGCGTCACTCGCACGGTGACGGCTCGCTTCCCTGGTGAGGATCTTGCGACAGACTGTCCCGCTTCCTCGGTGCGACGCCGAGGCAAACTTGCGGGACTTGGTGGGAGATTCTCTCGCTTCCTTGGAGCGAGGCCAAAGGCAGGCTTCCGGTACTTGAGGGACTGCAGGGCCGGCTCGATGGTAAAGGCTCGTCCCCTGGAGTACAGCCGGGTTGGATCTTAGGAGTGAAGCCTGGACGCCAGTGCATGCGGCCCTCGGGAAAACCGGCGTTCGAATGCCCGCTCATGCTTCTCGCGTTCCTCGCCAGTACCGCTTCTCTTCTCCTCGGACTTCAAAACCGCGACAGTGATGGTACTTGCAGCATTCTGAAGAAATTAGTGATCAGTAATCTGGGCTATCCGTCATCTTCAGGGCATACGAGGAGGTGGGCGTGCCCCACGAACCCCTGCGGCTCATCAGCCCCCAGTTTGAGAGCCCCCTGCCGCCATTGCAGCCGGCGGTGAGTGCAAGCAATAAATTGTGGCACATTTGCTAGCCTGAAATTTATGAAAACGGTGTTGCACCTGCCAGGCGGGCTGTCTTTACAAATGGTGGTGCACTGACCAGCAGACAGTTTTTACAAATGGTGGTGCACTAACTAGCAGAGTCTTTGCAAATGGTGGTGCACTGATTAACATACAGTCTTTGCAAATGCTGATGCAATGACTAGCAGGCGATCTTCACAAATGGTGGTGCACTTACTAGTAGACGGCCTTTACAAATGGTGGTGCACTGACCAGCAGACAGTTTTTACAAATGGCGGTGCACTAACTAGCATAGTCTTTGCAAATGGTGGTGCACTGATTAACATACAGCCTTTGCAAATGGTGATGCAATGACTAGCAGACAATCTTCACAAATGGTGGTGCACTGGCTAGGAGTCTTTGCCAATGGTGGTGCACTTACTAGTACATGGCCTTTACAAATGGTGGTGCACTGACTAGGAGTCTTTGCAAATGGTGGTGCACTTCCTAGTAGACGGCCTTTACAAATGGTGGTGCACTGACCAGCAGTCTTTCCAAATGGTGGTGCATTGACTAACAGACAGGGCAGACTTTGAAATGATTGTGCACTCAAGCGAATGCTGTCAGTGTTCGGCTGCTTGCCGCGACATTTAGGTACGTTAGCTTAGCGCTGCATAAGAAACAAAAACAGATAATTTATGTTGTCCCCATGGGTGCTGTTCTTAACTAGCCTTTAGGGGCACAATGGTTGGATGGATAGATGAATGAGTGATCTCTGAAGATTCCCTATACTTTTGAAAATGTGCAGGCAAAAATTGGGAAAGGCTGTGGGGCAAACATTTATTTTGGCCGAAAAATCTAGATTTAGGTAAAGGATAATGTATAAGAATATTTGAGTATCTGGATATTTAGTGCTTAACTGGATGACCGCATGACATAACCGGTTATTCAAATAGCTGGTTATCCGGTTTTCAGATTAAAATCTGGTAATTCTAATAAACGGATAACCGATTATCTCTATTACAAATGGTGGCATACTTGTTAGTAGACAATTTACTTGTGATGAGTTATATTTGCTAGCGGCTGTCCTTGCAAATAGTGATGCACTACTTAACAGAATGTCTACAAATGGTGGTGCTCTTCCTAAGAGAGTCTTTGCAAATGGTGGCACATTTGTTAGCCAACAATATTTACAAATGCCAGCATATTCTTTAGCAGACAATCTTTGTGCATGGTGGGGTACATTTAGTGCAATCCACCCGACACGATAATGAGAAAACTCGAAAATGCAGTCGCCATAACCGATTATTGTTGTATCTGGACTGTGGATGCCCAATGCAAAAACACATGGTCCTCTAGAAACTGATTGTTATAAGCGGCACTATATCGAATTACCCGCTATGTCGAACTGGCAGATGGTTTTTTGGGAGTTCGATATAAATGGGCTTGACTGTACATGGTTATTTGCAGTATCGTTAAAAGTGGATTGTGCTGTATTAGCAGGCAGTCTGACTGCCTGCTAGTCTGCAGCTGTGCATTATACTCTCGTTGAGCGTGTTTGCCGCCTGGGGATCCACTAACGATGACGTGCAGGCCTCGTCTTCTCGGTGGTCCCGCCATATCTCTGGCCACCATGAGGCCATAGCCATGGCTGTACAGACAACTTGGAGAAGTTTCTGGAATAGAAAGATCCCTCAGTAGTGAACAACTTTGCAGGTGTTTCCACCGTCCTTCCAAGAGGCCAGTCACCCGGCCCTGGAGCTCTTCGACCTGGACGAGGCCCTGAGCTCCGAAAGCAGGCGTCTAGCGCAGCTGGCCAACAAGTGCACCGACCAGGACTTACACTACTACCTGGTGCAGTGCGGCCAGGTGGTGGGGGTTCCCACCTCTTCGGCCGATCCCCGGCAGGTGCTCGAGCACGTGCTTGCACACCTCGTGGAGTTCCGCAAGCTTAACCAGCTCAAGCTCCCCTACCAACCAGTTTTGAGTCCAAACTCTCCGCAAGCCTCGTAATCCCTCGGAAGCATTTGGTGTGTGTGTGGTTTCGAGAACTATAAGGTCAACCTTTCTGTTGTAGCCAATATTTTGCGAATTTGGCCCAGGCAGGAGGCCCGTAGCAGTTGCAGGAGGAGAAAAGATGACCGGCCTTGAATCTCGGATGGAACTGTTGTATTTGTGCCGATCTCATGTGCTCGTCTTTGTCGCTAGACGGCTATCGCCACATAGTCCCCTTAGGAGACAGAGTCTTTCGAGACTGAGGTCTTGAGAATCTTGCAAAAGGTTGAGGAGCAAATGTGGTGGCTCGCACGGAAGGAAATTCGGGCTGCTGGGCGAGCGCGTGGGTCACAAAAAATGCCAGCTCGAGTCATTTAATGCACACCACTCGTCGTATTTCTCACCAGATGGCTATCACCACAGACCTTTCCAAAAGTTAATCGAGCAACTGGTGGCCGACATATTTTGGGCATTGCTTCCTGCGTGAAGTGTAGGATGCAATGCATGCATAAAATCTTACATAAGCTCTCCGGCTAATGTAAAAAAGTTAAGTCATCATCTAATCGATTGGGGAGCTGTACTAAGAAACACCAATCCCGCTTTGCTACCTTGTGCTGGAGAGGTCTACTTCTTTCCACTTTCGTGTGGAAGACACTACATTGCCAGGCTAGACGTTGTTTCAAATGACCGACTGAGAGGACGCAACATTATCAAAGCCAACTCTGGACACCTGGGAATTCATTCCTAGAATTGCGGCTGTACGGAAGGCCTAACCAACTGCACCATACTAGGCAGGAATAAGGACCAAATTACTGAAGAGATTATCGAAGCCAAAAATACAGAGCAACTAAACGACCAGTGCGTCAGCACCCTATCTCTATCTTTAGCGAGGGAAGGAGTTATATTAGCCACAAGTGCAAGTCAAAAGTAGCAGAGATTTTGAATTGTATCTTTTAATGAATTGAAGAGCAAATGACGACAACATTAAAAAAACAGTTGTTGGTCAGTGCTGTGCGTCTCTCTTTTTGTGTGCCTGAGCAAATTGTCTGCTTTTGTGTGCTGTAACATCGGAGGTTGAAGAACCAACTTGCCCAAACTGCAGTCTAAACAATGCTTGTGTTTTTCTTTTTGAAGGTTGTTTTCTAGCAGGAAGTAGCCATAGGGGACACAACCATATGCTGTAAAATTTGCTGCCCACCTGGGTACACTCTTTTGAAGCAAAGTCATGCGTGCACTAACAGTGTTGTGCAGTGTACATTAAGGATAATGACACCCCTTAAACAAAAGTTTTTGCCAGGCGATTTATTATGGTGTCAGAAGACAACGCAATCAATATTTTGCTACAGCGTCGCACATATTTTTAACATAGTGAAAAATCGCAACTGCTTGAAACTGAAACTGGACTGAATTGGGGAGGAAGGAATATAGAGGAGAGAGTTCCACCAGAAGTCACTTGGCTGTGCAAGTTTTTTTTAATCATCGTATTTGCAGCTTTTTAGAAGCCATAAAAAAATGGGTATCATTTTTTTCTATATTTAATATTGAGTGTGTTGCGTCGATGACCCCCAACTACTTGCATTTGGTGCTTGCGTCTAAACCACGCACGTGAGCACACAGAAGAGAATGAGCGTGACTCAAACTGGCCATTCTAGATCGACAGTTTTCGGGTGGAAAGAAAACGAATTTCGAGCCACGTATTGTGTTCTGGGTAGTTAGGCTCTCGTATGTAATGTACAAATAAAAACTTAGGCGAGCATAAATACCCTGTCAGTGTCTCTTTAAAGGGATACTGAACCGAAATTTAGATTTCGCAAAATAAGGCCGCAGGAGCGTTAAACGGGATACTACGAACTCCAAAACAGGAAAAGAAGGGCGCGATCAAGCGAGTTCTTTAACGTAACTGTCCCCCGGGAGAATTTGAGAATGAGGGGAAGCGGCCTCGCTTCTCTCCTCCTCGCTTCGGTTCACCAGCTTGACGGGATGTAGCGAGGAGGAGAGGGAATGGGAATCATAATGTGCCTTGTCTCGTCGGCCAAGTTCAATCGCACACTTCTTTTTTAAAAGTATGGTGATCCGTTAAAGATATCGCTGTGTGAGCGACGTTTTTGGTTTTTGCAGCGTCCTGCCTTGTTTTGTAAGCTCGAAATTTCAGTTTAGTATCCCTTTAAGGGGATACTAAACTGAAATTATGCCAAATTATCTGTCTACAAATGAAACCAGCTCACAAACTTGTGAACTCATCAAACCCATGAACTCGCCCAACTCATAAAATCCCAAACTTATGAAACCATAAACTCATGAAGTCGCAAACCCACCAAACTCGTGAAACTGTTCGGGCTCAAACTCACACCCTCACTTACCTGCCAGGTGCCATTTTAAAGCTGTCTGGCTTCCAGCTGCTGCTATAATCTCCACACAATAGACGACTTTCTGGCCCAGGTATTTGGTCATATTTGTACATAGTCTCAGCCGGTATGGGTTCTTCAGTTAGTGGCCAAACTTTTCCAAAAGTGTAGCAGCAGAAATAGAAATATGTTAGGCAAAGCATTCAGGAAATTAGTACTTTGCGATGGTTTGAACTTGAAAAACTGGTAATATGTAGGCATTTCCGAGTGAAAATAAATTTTTAATTCTGGTTGACATAAGCTTTTCTTATGGAAGGAGTCTTCAGTTCACCTTGAATAAAAGCCCACAAATGGCCACTGAGCACAGCCTCATGCAAGAGAGTGAAATTAACAAGACTATTAATAATAGATATTAATAGTCCACCTGCACTCCCATTCTTGAAGTTTTTCTGAAAAAAAAATGTTTTGAAAATTGCTGGGCATATTGGTTGCACGTGAAATGTGCAGTTAGCGCTCTTGGTCAGTCAGTGACAGGCTTAACACGTGGCATGTACACCCGATCGCAATTCCTGGAATGGAGATGCCGGCGCTAAACCGAGTCCTCAAAACGTGCGACAGAGTGCCAAACTATCTGCCAGACGCAAAGCGGATGCCCCGCAGGGCTTTACCGCCAAATGACACCTTAACTAGACAGCAATGTCGCGACATGCTCGAAAGACACTCGCTTAATAATCTATGTGTTCTGGGTTTGATTCCTGCCTGGTGCAAATGCTTTTTTACTGCAATGATCTCTTCCGCCCAAGTCAGTGTCAAGCCTCACGGCCATGCTTTTAACCAGGCCTCACTTTTGGGCTTCATGAAAGGCCAAGCACCTAGCCAAAGAATGTTTCACATGAAAATGTTTTGCAAGTTCTGCTTTGAAACATTTTAAAGCAACATGATTTTACCTTAACACCCTCGGCACCAAGAGAAATCCTCATTGGGCAGCACATCTCAACAAGACACAGTTAAGGGCCTTAATAAAATATCTATACTGCTATAACTTAACATCACTTTTGCAGCTTGCATAAATGCTGATCCAAGAGAACATCGAAAGATAGATACAGCACTAACATTTATGGACATTGGGATCAGTATAAATAGGCAATAATAGATCCAGCTTCTTGGATGAAAATGGAAAGTAGGTTTCATTATTACAGTAAAACCTTGTTATAACAAAATTGGATATAACAAACTAATGGATATAACAAAGCAATCATAATTCCCCTTGCTTGCTAATAGTGGGAGGAAATGGACATTGGCTATAACAAACTAATGGTTATAACGAAATAATTACGATTGCTCCTTCAACTTTGTTAAAACGAGGTTTTACTGTAATCGGTTGCAGACCCCCGTCCATGAGCAACCTTTTCATGGTAATTAAGTCTCTTCACACACAATGTTTGTGCTCAATCACTTGGAAACATTTGTTTCCATACGAGATGCTCTAGGCAAATATGATTGCATATATTTCGAATTATTGATATGCCATGTTTGAGTCGCAAAGACTACCGAGTCTAAGTTTATACTTTCATCATATTTACTCAAATATAGGTCCACCTTATATTTCTGTACTATTATTTAAAGGGATACTACAACGAAATTTCGGCGCTCATTTTTTGGTCTATATATGTTCAAAAGAGCAGTATCACATGGAACATACCAATATCTTGTTAAAAAAGTCGCGAAAAGGAATTTTAAAACGAATTAAACGATTAGCAAAGAGCACCTGGTGGATGTCGCTAACGCCTCGTTTGTAATGCTCGTCTAGGAACCTCGACAGCTAGTGACGGAGGTTGTCTCGTCTTCGGCCACGACGAGAGAAGGGGAGAAGGAGGAACTCCCCTCTTCCCGAGAATCCCTTTTGTGTGTCGCAGAAGTCGCTATTGTCCCCCTACAAGATTATAGAAGATTAACCCGTCACTCAAAATTCGTATAAAAGCAGCCGCTTCGGTGGCTGGAACGACTAGGCCATCCTCTCGACGTCAGCCTCGCCGTAGCTTTGCTCGTCTTGAGACGACCTACGTCACGATTGCGTTGGATGTCACGTGCTCTAAGCTGGGCCTTCTTCGAGCGGTTGCCAGAGTGGGCCGTTTATAACGAAATATACAGCCACCAGGATCAAAATACAAACGGGCGATTGTCATTTACGGATATTGTGGATCATATTTAACCTATTTTTGAACACGACGGGAATATTTTAAATTTCGTTGAAGTATACCTTTAAAAACGGGTGTTAACCCTCAAAATTTCCTAACCCCTTGAGGAAACATGCTCTGCCGCGATGCACTGGTGCAAAGCAGTGAAGCTCTACATTGGCAACGCATTGCAAGCGCCATGACGTGGAGGTGCGAAGGCCAAGATGATAATTTTTTTCTTATCAGGAGTAGGAGGTTTTCTGCAAGTAATTTAGTGCACAAGGGTCGACCTATCTTTGAGTAAATATGATACTTAAAGGGGCCATGAAACGAATTTCGGGTTGGGATGAATGATTTTAAATTGGGACTTTACTAATCGCATATCGTTTAGTTGGCCAAAAAAAAAAAGGCTAGAAGGTCAAAAGCCAGCTTTTCGGTACGAACATTTGAAAATCTAGCGGGCTATTTTGTACCTTCTTTCCTTCGAAAGCTCTCCGCCTTTTCACTATGACACATCCGCGGTTCCAAAAGCGCGTCACCGGCGCCAAACTGACGTCAGCAGAGCCCAGCTCACGCATTGGACACGAGAACTGCGTCACTCGGATGTATGCGCTCGTCAACAATCAATCCGTCGACGAATATTCGGATTCGCGTTTGTGGCCAATGAGTGCCCTGACGGAACTTATCGTCACTGGGGAATGACAAGTTCTATGGTGTGCATAAAAAGCACGGTGGAAGCTAGGAGTCATCGCACCGGTGCCGAAGGAATGTCACGACCACGTGATTTTACAATTTGCATTTGAGTTGAGGATTAAAGCTAAGGACAAAGTAGGAAAATCGTTTCATGACCCCTTTAAGATACACAACTTCGTTCAGCAGAACATTGAGCCCATTTTAGTCGTGCGAACAGTAAATTTCAAGTTCGAAGCAAATTTAATAGTGAACGGTGGTTTTGGCCGAATATTTTCTAATTGAATTGTTTTTCCAAGCCTTTCGCTATTGTTGCCCCATACTTGAATGAAAACTAATTTAAACTCGTGAAGGCTGTTCCCAGGCTTCCACTTGTCCAGTTAAAAGCTAATTTTGATCCTATATTTATGAACAGTGACCTCAGAAAGTCTGATGCCTTGGGAAGGCAAGGAAATGACGAATTTGGCAAACTTTAGCCTATAGAGATGCTCAGCTGTACCCGACTGAGTGGATTTACATTCTTGCACTAAACAAAAATTCTTCAATTTGAAAAAAAAAAAAAAAAAAAGACCCACGAGTAATGAACACCAGGTTGTCAGGGTATCTCTGCCTAACATAATGCCGCATGCATGATTGAGAAAGAATGCTTCTTCATGCTTTTAGAAGATTCGAGTTTACTCTTACCCCGAGTGTAAAAGTAGGCCACGTGACCTTGCAGAGTCACTCTCGCTCTATGCTCCATCTCACTAAAACAGTACAGCTAAAGCTACAGGGGAGAGAGCGTATGCCCACCTGTTCAACAGAAAGGAAAGGAAGAAAGGCAGAGAAGGGCTGGGATTCCCCCATTCCTCCTTTCGAATATTTGGTCAAATATTCCAAAGGTTGAATATTCGAGACACCGAGTGTAGTGGAAAAGGAGCAGAGTACGGCCTTGCCGACTTGTTCTCCCTCGCAGTCTCGTGTTGAAGACGCCAGCGACGTCACCGCCGCTGCGGCGCCCACTTCGGCTTTTCTGCGTTGCTCATTCTTTCTTTTGTGTCTGGCCCAAGTTTGCCGATTAGACCTTTATTTTCAGTTTTACGCTGGTCAACCCTTCTCCGTTTACGATATACTCTTGCATAAGTCGTAGCTTAATTTTTAACATTTTACTGCAATGCAGATATAAACATTCACAAAGTTTCAGCTTCTTTTGAATTATACCAGGCTTGCACGTGCGCGATCCCGACTTGAAAGTGTGCTTCTCTCCCAAGCACACAATTGCTATATTCATACTTTTCCAAATAATCGCGGCGAGTTACCCTGTTGAGTGCGCTTCTCAGCAAGCACCGGTGCACTGCGGAGAAGCAACCCTCGCTAAAGTAAGCTCTGTGGGTGGTGCTTTCTTGCAGTGCATCTCTAAGCGAATATCGAATAGTGTATTATTTGAAACTACTATTTGAAATTTAGAATATCTGCGCAACACTAGCCCCTTTGGTTGGATAATAAAAAACCTCGTCAAAACGTTTTTCATGTTGCTAAATATGGTATTAAGTGAGCTGGTTCCCTTTGTGGTTACCAGCCCATCTAGGTGATAAAGGAACCCAGCAGTCATTTTCAAGCCGCTTCCAAATTTGTGCAGAAGCGCATCTCGAAACATACTGACATGCAAGGAGGAGACATCTTGTTGGATACAAAAAGTTTAGTCGCATAATTTTTTGGTGAACATCCAAACAGCCAAAAATAGAAAAGAAGTGACTGCAGCAAAGGAAATGACTGCATGCCAGAGGCAGAGAATCTACTGGGTCCTCAACCTATCACCGACTACAGACAGTTAGCTGTAGGTTAGTGTGGTGGGCCCTTAAAGGCTACTTTATGTCAAGCAGATCCTTTAGGAAAAAGAAAAGGAACAAAGCTGGTTGAATTGATTGAGAACTCTCGCAAATGACTCTACAAGCGACATAATTTGTTTGTGTTCTTTTATTGCTTGTAATATGTGTGCACTAATAAGGCCTCGAGCTGTTTGTGAGCACATTGAGCAGAATAAATAAATAAATATATAAATAAATAATCATTTGAAAGGCGTCCAAGGCTTCCGAGGCTTCCGAGGTAATAATGCTGCCGAATTCAGTAGCCAGCCATCTACCAGATAGATGGTCAAAGCTAGATAAACCAGACAGATAGCCAAAGGCTTTGCAGCATTTTTGAGATCAAATCCACCCACCATCTACGAGAAACAATCTCATAATATTGTCGGAATTGCTTCGAGTACAGAGATCGCGAGTGCTCCGGGGCTAGCCCACAGAAGGTGCCAGCGAGTTCCCCCGTAAGCAATTGCGATGCAGCCCGTCTCACTTTGATGCAAATGCGAGAGTTCTCCTTTACGCTTCCGGAGCGCAGCCTCTGGACGCCACCATCTCGCTGCTGGTCTGTACAGTCTAATAGCGAGGCAAGCCCACAGTTGCCAGACTGCTGCCCCAACAAGGAGTCTCCCAGCCACAGTGGCCAGACCAGCCTCCGAAGCGAGGCAGCTTGCAAACGTGTGCACACCTTGTAAACAACTTTTTACAGCTTGAGCATTGCCAACCGGATAACAGAAGAGCACAACTGCGAGCAATTGGTCTTCCTCGGCGTCACAACCACGAGTGGCGTTGCTCGCTCACTCGTGTATTACGACTACAAACTTGAAAATACGACGTAGCACGGGCTGTCGTTTCGCACGCTTTTTATTAGGAAAAAAAATAGGTGGTACGAGTCCAAACAAAGACCCGGCCACTGAACAAATCGTCACCGCACCACATTTCCATCTTGCGTATGTACAGCGCATCAAATAAAGACGCCTTCCCCACAACGGCCAACGGGGGACAACCGGTTGCATCATGGAGTGTAACACCGTGCACCCCCCACCCCCCTGCGATAACCGCCGGACAAAAAAGAGAGCGAGGAACTCCGGCGTCTCACACTTGCCCCAGCCCCCAAAATCCGCCTGTACTTTCGATACGTGGCCGCCGACGTCTGCTCCGTGCAAATGAAGGACGACGGCGAACGCAAAGACCACGGTGGGTTTTTGCGCGGGCGTCGAGGAATTGCGGGAATCGCATCGCGGGGAGAGGAGGGGGGAAAGGGGGCACCGAGGAATAAAAATGACCATCGGGGTGACAATGTCGGGCTTCACCGCCGACAAAAACTCGAACGGTGAAGTGCATACACAACTTGAGCATCTTGATAAAGAGCAGCGGCGCTCGGGGTCTCGTCGTGGCAGCCATCTTGAAAAGCTGATTCGCGATCGCTTTTTTAAATTCAAAGATGTGGGAACAAATAAGAAAGCGACTACGTTAACACGTTAGCAGTTTGCCCGGGGTACTGCAGTTACGAGCTCGAACTTCGTTTCACCAAACCGAAACACTTGGAAGTTCGAACAGCTCCTCCACACTGAAGCGTTATACCTCCTGCTCAAAAATGGGCCCTTTTCTTTACGAAATATCAACGTTAAGCTAGCGCTAAAAAGAACTGGCACACGAGAGTGCTGCCAGGCAGAATTTGATGCCAATGCGCGGCTTTTTTTTCACGATGGCCACCCTGAGACGGCCCCCATTAAAAACAAAAAGCGCAGGAAAGGAAAAAAAGCATTCCCCCTTTAAAAACAATGCCCCGGGCCTTGCGGCCGCTCATTTTTTCGTTTCGAGTAGTAAAAGTATGGGTCAATGCAGACAGGCTATGTGCACCTTCCCGCGGACCGAGAAAAAACTTAAAAACTATATCGATTAAAAAAAAAAGAAGGAATCGGCGGCAGCGCCCGAGGAGATGGGCGACCTTGACGAGGCGAGAACGACGAAGGCTCGAGATGCCCAAGGCCCCCGGTGCGCTGCCAAAAACGTGCCGCAAACGGCGGCCACTCCCCGCACCTGCGGCGCTTGGAACGAGCCTTCGACCAGTGCATTTGGCATCCCGTTCCGCCCGTACACTGAACATGGTCCCAAAGAGCCAGCAAACAAAGTCCCAGAAGCAGAGTCGCCATCGTCGCGGCGTCCCATCTTCCGGCCATCGACGCTTCCATCGAGCTGCAGCGGAGCAGGCGTCCGCCTGCCATGTCTGCCGCCGCCACAACACCGCCAAGATCGCGGCCGGCGACAACCTGACACTTGGTACGACGTCACCGAGTTAAAATCGAGGTGCCACTTTTCAGGGTGCGGTAAACACACCGGTCGAGGATGCATTCCAGGCACAGCGACCCAGTCCACACTGCGCAACGTCTTCGGGGCGACCTGGCGGGCGGGGCAGCTTCGACCCGTGTCGCTCCCGGTCCCGTGTCTCGGATCCGGGTCGAGACTTCTCGAGACGTGCGTCCTAGTCCTTGCGGGCCTTTTTCTTTTTCTTCTGGGGCTTGGCTTCTTGCCACGCATCTGCAAAGAGAGCGACAAAAGAAAGTGGACTTGCGTTCCTTCGACGTCGTGGACAATGATTCAACGTTTCCAAACTCCCGGCTTGAGAGTTTTTCAGTTCAGTGTCTGAAGAGTGCAAATATTACTTCGACCTTCAATCAATCATGCAAGCTCACGTTGGTTCGTCGCTGTTGCACCCATTGTGACTTGTCTTTTGCCACCAGTTCTGCACGAGGCACGTCCCCCTACTGGGGATCTTTGCTTCCTCGAGTTTCCTACCAAGGACCTCAGAGCGAGTCTCCGAAGGGGGGGTGCAAGATCCAAAAGTGGTGGATCAGGGGCGAAAGTTTCGATTGTGACCACTCTTACAGTTCGGTTTGCACGGAACCACTACCGACGATGCAATCTACGGCCAAATATGTTAATGCACCGCAGCTCGGCATCGCGCAGGACGAAAACTAGAATTCTAGTCCCAGGCAACGGGAATACAATTCTAGACGTATCTCCACTTCGATTCGACGTGCATGTGCGGACGTATAGTGCGATGCATTAAAGGTTCTACGTTAGCACTCTTACCGTACTGGCCAAATATTTTCATGAGAGAAGATGCAAAGTTGCCAGACATTGAGGCCGACTCACTTCTCGCCTTTATTGACGTGCGTATGATACATAAACACCAAGAACAAATATGCGTAGGCTTAGGACTTTCCACTAACATGTGGCTGCTACTCTAGAGGCACCAAGCCAACTAGATTGCCTCTATACAAAAATCTAGACAATATGCCACAAAATACACGAAGAGAGGTAGCAATCCTTTTTCCCTTTCGAACACACTCCTCACCTAGCGCTATGAACTGACATGATGTCGCGGCTTTTTCATAAAGGGCTTTACATTTCACTTTGCATCGAGTTCTTTACTTTCATACATACCGTATTTACTCGCACAATGAACGCACTCGCGTAATGAATGCACCCCCCAAGTGGGCTCTCAAAATTTCGACTTCTTTTTTCACTCGCGTAATAAACGCACCCCCAACTGGGACGTCAAAATGTTGACCCCCCCCCACGCGCGTGAAATGAACGCACTTTTCTAACCTTGTGCAGCGAGGTCGCGAATGCATGGGCAGCGTGGGCGAACAAAACGCCTTGCAAGAGGCGTTAAAAAAATTCGCAAAGATCCAAGGGAAGCAAAAAAAAAAAAAAAAAACAGAAAAGCTTTTTTTTTTTTTGCACAGCGTAGTCTGGACTTCGGTTTTGCGCGCCATTGCGCGCAAGGAGGTAAGAAAGAGAAGCGGAGAAGCCCTCTAAGCCAGGGATCGGCAAAACTGCCTTGCGGGCCGCATACGGCCCGCGGGGCAGTTTTATCCGGCCCCCGGCACGACCCCAGAAAAGGACCCCTTGCCCCCTTTGCAACTTACGTACAGCAACAAGAACCACTCGGAAGAACCACAAAAGGGGTTAGACAGGAGCATGGAGCGCTTCCAATCAGTATTGTCCCGCATCCCCATACTTGGGCAGAGAACACCTTTACTTCTTTTTTGCCTTTTTTTTTTGTCGGAGTCGGAAGGCCCCGAGGGTGCTCACCACCGAAAACTGTAGCTGCATCAGATTCTAGCTCAGTTGTGACCTTCTCTAGGCTTTTCTTACCGACTGCAAGGACGAGTCATACAAGCGCTCATTCTAGAGTAGACAAACGCACGGGCCTCGCTCGTGAATAGCGCAGCAATTATTCCAACAACCGTCGCAGCTTACCGCCGAGTTCGTCGAAGGCCACGTTAGAACCGGCACCCGGCGTGGAATCGTTGGACCCTTGCGGTGTGGGATCTGGGCTGCACGCCTCCGTCCTCTTGGGCTCTGCAAGTAGAACGGTTCTTCCCAATTAAATCCAAACATGTGTGACCAGTGCCAGTGCGACCAATGTGACCAGTGCCTATAAAGGCACTGGTTACGTTGGAAGAGCCTCGCCTACCAGCGAAACTTTATTTTTAACTCGTCGATCGATCGTGTTTTGGTTCTGTGGCGAGAAACTTCCGGCCCTCGCGGCTTTTTGCCGGGGTTTAAAGTTGAAAAGGTAGAATGGCGTTACGCGGCTGCTCGGCTATCTATTTCGATGCAAGATTCCACTTTAAAGTGAGAAAGTGCTTTCCTGATTTGGTCACAAATGGCGGTGCTATATAGGATCTCCTCTAGCATTACCCCCAGGAACAAGGTAAAGAAACAGTTCCACTTATCGGAAGACAACAAAACTAAGAGCGTCTACCAAATTACTTTTCTAAAATTCCTCAAAATTTCTCCAACCGTTAAAAAAAATAGGGAGGATGGGGTTGCAGCAGCCGTTAGGGTTGTTCACATTTAACCTGGTGAATCGGGTGCTGGATTACGCTGCACAGTACCGATGCCTCGGGCAAATGTTACTCGGCGCAAAGGCCATCCACGCCAACTTACACCACACCCTTCACCTTCGTATCGTGCCAATGCAACGCCCACTTTTCGTCGACTCGACCAATTATCCTACAACTTCCTCGACAATTTTTCGACTTTTCCAGATGCCTTAAAGGGCAACTCCGCTTAATTTAAAAAATTTTGAGATAGTGGCCGATTTTGCTTTTTGAAGCACTCAAAAACAATCCCCAATCCTTTGCTTCACGAAAAATAAAATATTCTTCGTGTAATTTTACTCTAGCCATGATCACAAACCGAAACCGAAACGGTGGCAAAGCCGGACAACATTGTATATTCGGCATCACTAAGCATGTACACCCACGTGATATACAAAGGGAAGAAGAAGCTTCCCTCTTATCAGGATCCTCCTTTGTGCCTCCTGGATTAGCACAGGCGTCGCTGTTCTCCTCCCAGAAGATTATAGAAGATTAACCTGTCACTCAAAATTCGTACAAAAGCAGCTTCCCTCTCCTCCTTTTACTTGGTGTTCAAAAGTATGCGATGTAACACAAGCCGCGCTCAACGAGGCGATCGGCTTATCAGTAGTATCAATAGTCGAGCGCCGGGCCGGCCGAGCGCGTCACTCACGTCTTTCACGGCGCTGGCGCCACCCGTGCTCTCCCCAAGAAAAAAAAACAAAATTGAAAAAAAAACAAAAAAGAAGCTGTACATGTTTGATGACGTCGCGGACGTGCCGGGAGAAGGAATTTGGAGGAAGCGGAAATGCAGCCGGGCAGTGTTGTCTGGCCCGCACCTCTCAACCAAAACCAGCGGATTCGTGCTTGTCAAACTTTGACAGCGATTTTAATGAACTTCTAGGCGGAATTCCGTCGTAATATTTGCCATGGGGGTTTTGTAGATGATAACAAAGAGAACTGTATAGTTTTGCACTACTGGAAAAGAAGCGGAGTTGCCCTTTAAAGAAACACTGACACCCCCCAAAAATTTTTTTACATTTTTTGCCAGACGCTTTATCATGGTGTCGGAGGACTACCCAATTAATATTTTGCAAAGAGTAGCGTATTTTTTTAATAAAGCCAAAAGACGCAACTGCTCGAAACCGAAGCCCGACGTAGATCGGAGAAGTGGAGAGAAGAGAGTGAGTGGTGGAAGTCACGTAACTACACCCGACCGTGCGTTTTTTTTTTTCTTTTTCTCCTCTCCATAGCAGACGACACGACATGCGGCGTACGGGAACTGTTCGCCGTGCGATTGTTTTGCAGTTACGTTTGTTCCGCTCGTTGTTCTGTACTCCAAGATGAGTTGTTTTGTACATTGAGGAGTTGGAGATGAGTAGTGAGTGCCCGTGGTGAATTTCCATGATCAGCTTTGAAAAGAATACACCCAAGATGTTGCGTGAAGGGCTGGCTCACATGTCCTGCGTCCCCAAAAAAAAAGGGACATTGTGCGACAGAGTTTCCGAAAGATCAACGGGATCGGGACCAATGACGTGTGAAGCGGACGTCTTTCCCACTGAGCTACTGGGGCTTCTCTTTACTGGTGGATCTCTTTCCTTAGTAATAATTTAGCCGATAAACTGTAAGTTGTAAAGTTTGCTGTCGATTTTCCTCTAGCAAAACCACTCCCGGGTCGAAGTCGGGAAGCACCACACATTGGCGACATTCGCACCTAGTAAAGAAATCGTACGCGTGCATATTCAACTCGAAGTAGACACGTCGTGCTTGACGTTTGCACGAGCGATGTCTTCAGCCACGAGAATGGAGCGACGGCTCGGCGACGTCTTCGTGCAAATCGGCTTGGTGGTCGGGCGTGTCGTACGGGATAATACCAATTCTTTTGATCAGGCCCAAATTTCTATTTTAAAAGTAGACAGAATTCGCCGGTACCGCGAACGACAGTTCTGAAATAGAGGTCCCACGCCCGTCGTCCGCTGACATCGCCGTCCCCGCGAGTCCCACGATACGCGAAGCAACGAACGCACAGAATGCTTCCGGTTGTCTGTGGAACTTTTTTTTTTTCAATCAACGTATTTGCAGCTTTTTAGAAGCCACAAAAAATGGGTTTCATATTTTTTTTCTATTTTTAATACTGAGTGTGTGCCTTCAGTGACCCACGACTTTGATTAAATTTGGTGGTCGCAATGATACCTTAGAAAACGGCCCGTGACCGCGGAAAAGAGAGTGAGCGAGACTCGAACCGGCCAGTTCTTGAACGGCGGTTTTCGGGCGGAAAGAAACCGAATTTCGAGCCGCAAATTCTGTTCTAAGTAGTTGAACTCTCATATGTCACATACAACTAAAAACCTCGGCGAGCATAAATACCCTGTCAGTGTCCCTTTAATATCCTCCTACAATTCAGCATCTTCCAGGTTGGCGGTCACTTGATGCCACTTCAACGACGGGAAGATGAGAGTATTCTTCGGTGAGTGGTGAGGGTACCGATGTCGCGCAAAGAAACATTTTAATAAACTACTTCCAACAAACTTACACGGACGAACACCTCACGTTCTTGTCCTCGATAGTGATTGAGAATTGTGTTGAAGGAACCTATTCCGGTAGTTGATCATTGCTAATGGTAATCACACAGCCTACTGCACTGGCATAGATGCTGTTGTGTACCGTGAGCGTACCTTATGAACAAGATGGCCTCTTTGCCCACTGACACAGACACCCACTGACACCTAAATCAATGGTCTGGATGCGTGCAGCTGCCACATACCAGGGTCGGGTGTGGTGTTGTGGAAGACCAATGTACCACGGTCCTACGCAACACAAACTGAACAAGGTGCGCTACGTCACCCAATTGTGCACTTACGAACTGCACCGCAAAACATCATGCCCAGCGTGGTAACAAAGGAGGAACCACCAACTTCATCCTCAAGCAACGGCACCCACGTTACGGGGAAAAAAAAAAAGGGTTTCAGAACCTCCCTCTCGTTACGCAGCATAGTTTGTAGAAGGGAGGGTGTCATGACCAGTGACTAAAACAGAAGACGACAAAGCAAATGGTCACAAGGACACGAGCAGTGGGCAGAGACGCCACAACAAAAAGGAATCCTTCATTCGTACAATCGTCTCTATTCGTTACGGTACGAGACACTTTCTCTTCTAAGAACTACTCTCCATAACAAGAGAAAAGCTTTAAAAGCCTTTCACATCCCCTAAAGAAAATAAGAAAAAGAAGTTTACTCAATTTTCTAATTATTTGAGAATTAAAACTGTGCAAAGGACAAGAGACCTGATAAAGTAAGATGCAGACGACACTGTGTGTGTCTCTTTTTGTCTGGTATCTCGTCCTTTCCACTGTTTTAATTCTCGAGTACATTGTAGCAACTCGCCCTAGCTTCAACTTTAGCCAAAGCACACTGAATTTCCTAATGGTGCCTGCCAACGCATGCATGAAGATGTCCACAAGACGCCCCACGTGGGTGAAGCAAAGAGAATAGTTTCAAAATTTCAGTTTAAACTGAAAAAAAAAAAAAAAAAAAAGAAGTCAATAACGGTATGTTGACATTTCTCAAAATTCAGTTTTAACCGAAAAAGGTCAGTATACTCGAGAAGTATGGCCTATCTTCTTTTTTGTAATGGCCATTTGTTTTGGAATGGTGGTTTGTGAAGAACATTGCTGTCAGTGACTCATCAGTGACCTCGCGACCGATTCTTCATCAAGTTGCCAGTTCGACTTTGGGATCATCCTTTGTTAAACTGTTAAAGGGTTAAACATTCAACATAGACTTCTCTACAAGAAGGGCGAAAGCTGCATTCTTTTTGTGATCAGGTTTTTGTGTGCCAAGTGCCCAGGTCTTCAAGGAAACAGTTTGGAATTCAGTTATCTTCATATAAACGTCAACAGTAAAAACGCGAGCTTCCCTCTCGTTTAGGAAAGCATAAATATGACTGATTTAATGTGCTTCCGTAGACACAAACTCAACTAACCAACTCTGACGGATTATCCCCACGAACCTCGCGATTTTGAAGCGTGTCCTTTCAAAGGAAAGGATAACAAGGATCGTACTGCTGTTTCCCTCTTCCCTGCGTGCATGCTTTTTTTTTTTCTCCATTTCTGCTCGACTGAGGTAGAAACCTCAGTCGAGCAGAAATGCCTTTTGTGTTTACCTGGCTACCGGAATCCAAATAAGCTTCAATTCAATGCAACGTTTCTCTCGTTTGCAAGTCAGATCACGGTAGAGCCGCGGTGTACCCTGGAGTGCACATCAAGAATGCACGTCACATCAAGCTGAATGTTGCACACTGAATCTGGCAAGTGCGACAGTTAGATACTTAAATATTTGATGAATAAAACAGTAAAATGTTAACTGTATAAATATTCATGGGAAAAAACCCCAAAAAGTCTTTCTAAAATAAAATATAATTAAGAAAAAAGAAACATGTTTACGATTCTCTGTAATGCCGAATTAGAGCACAGCTCTAATAGGCCCTTTGCAAAAATCCCAAAAGCCCGCGTGCACCGCACAACAAATAATGGGAGTCCCTGGTACGCCCCTCCTGCCGCTACCACGTGACATACGCGAGCAGGCGCAGGTCACCACGGCAACAACTTTTGAGCAGCCGAGCCAACGGCGGCTGCCGCTTTCTCATCCCTCTCCTTTGTACCGACTCTGTCTGCTGCACCAACGCTTTGTCGAACCTGCCACGGTTGCGGTGCAAACTAAATGGATTCGGTGACAGTTCAATATGTGAAGGTAAATTACGACAAATAACGTATTGAAATAAATTCACCTGAGTAACGGTTAAGAGTTGAGCTCTTAAGTTCACCTGTCGCGATGCCTTTACGCTGCCACAGATACGGTACATCGCCAACGACGTACGAACTCGGCGGATGGGTGGGATGGCGGATGGCTGTAACGGCTGCTGGCGGTAGCTGCCGGGATGCGCGCGCAGTCGCGGAGGCGCAACGAGAAAGCGCGTGATCTGTACTGAGGGTCCCCGAAATTCCCTACCGTCGTGGTGCTGTATGTTTTGCAAAGGGTCTATTCGGCATCACGGAGGGAGGGTATGCCCCTCCTCCCCCTCCACACCCTCCCCTCCTCCTCCCCTGATCCCCTCCCATTTAGCGGGAAATTTTCTATATATTTCTCCCTAAATTTAATGGGGAATTTTTTTGCTAAATTTACAGGGGAAATTTTTCCGCTAAATCTAGCGGGTAAACTTTTCCATAACACACAGTTAAGGGGGGACGCGGGCTTTGAAAACCAAAAAATTGCGAAAAAGTCGATTTTTAGAAAACCTTATTTTTCGGTTGTATATCTCATAAACTACCTTCTCTGTAATTATCAGCACCAAATACAACGGGGAAATATTTAAAAACAATTATTTACGAGGCCTGGGTAGCATCCAAGCGACGGTCAAACGTCAAAATCAACCCCAACTTCGCGTGCTCGCCATTTCCGACGCGTTCGGCCGACAGCCGCCATCTTAGTCTTGTTTTGAACGTGAATTCTTTCTCTTTTTTTTGCCAGCTCCCAAAATGGCGTCGGCCGCGTGGTTACGGCGTGGTCGCTGTTCTTCCATGTCGCAATCGCAAGAACGCGATTGGACAGAGCGCGCGCGCGAGAAGCGTGCGGGGGAGCGCGCGACTACTATTGGCTGGGACGCGATTTCTCTGCGCGCGGAGCGCTCTCCTCCTCCTCCGTTTCTCCTGCTGTTGCCGCTCGCATCGTCTGCTTTTGGTAGTGGTCTGCTTGCACGCGCTCTTGCTTTGTCAGCTCCGCTTCGTTTTTCGCCATCTTTACGATCGTTTTCAGAACTTTCTTCGAGTAGTTTCGTGTAGCGTGCCCGTCTGTTTCGTGGTCGCACACGACGCGGGGTTCGAAGTACAAGACGGTGCGCGCGTTTGGCGCGCGGAAGCGGTCCACGAAGTTAGTGCGGATGGCGAAGTTGGAAGTTTCTGCATGGCGTGCCGTCAATGATGACCGCGTCAACACTTCCAGTGATGGATTTTCTGTGCCATCGGCTGTCGTCGAGGAAGAATGCATTGCCCCGCTCACGCCTGGAGTACCGAGCATGCCGACCGTTGTGGTTCCTCGCGAGATCGCGGGTCCCAGCGCCCGTCTTCCGCCTGCCGCGACAAGTGGGAGCGCGTCTTCCAGCACCCATCTGCGGACACATTTCCTGACACGTGAGGAGATCGAAGCAGAAGCTAGACATCGTGATACCGTTCAAGCCGAACTTGGAGCTATGCCAGCAACCCAGAGGAAGTTTGAAGCCATGCTGCCCAATCCCACACCTGCCTCTGCTACAAGCCAAGGTGAGAAGTTCTGCCTTGTTCAGATTGACGTTTTGAGCAACCTGCTCTGCTGCACAGTGTGCAAGCATTGCTCGGGGACTGGATTTACTGTCCAAGAAGGCACCAAACCCGGACTGGCAGCAAAACTCGGTCGTATGCCCCCATTGCGGCATTATTGCAAATTCCTGGACTTCGCCACGCCAGCAAGACTCGAGGGCCTTCAAAGTCAACATCTGCTCCATCATGGCAATCAAGCAGATAGGAAAGGGGCAGACAGCTCTCAATGACTTTTGGGCAGCTATGAACGTCTCCCACAGAGGTCTCCACCACAAAACCTTCCAGGAGCACCTGAAGAAGACCTTCAGAGAGCCAGAGGCCCTGTGCGTGGAAAAGTTTTATGCCGAGTCAGCTGTCGCGGTGAAGGCAGCCTGTAAGAAGATGGACCCGGGGTTCTGCAAGGATATCACCGTGGTGTATGACGGCACATGGCACAAGAGAGGGCACACATCTCACATCGGAGTCGGGTCAGTCATAGAATACCACACAGGCCTCATCTTGGACGCCGTGGTTTTATCCAACCTGTGCCTTGGGTGCCAAACAGGACCCAAGCCTGGAGATCAAGGGTACGACAGCTGGCACATGCATCATGTCTGCCAGAAAAACACGGACGCCAAATCTGGGAGGATGGAGGTCGAGGCGGCCCCGACCCTCTTCAAGCGCTCTATCTACAAGCACGATCTGCTTTATACAGCACTTGTCTCCGACGGGGACAGCAGGACCTTCTCTGCCCTTGCAGAAGAGAACGTCTACGGGCTAGTCCCCATCGTGAAGGAAAAGTGTTTGAACCATGTTCAGAAGAGGATGGGAACGGCACTGCGCAACCTTGTCCAGAAGAGCGACAAGGCGTTGAGCGGCAAGGGCAGGTTGACGAAGGCCCTTATCGACAAGCTTACCGACTACTATGGCTGGGCCCTCCGAAACAACTCCAAGGACGTGGCAGCGATGCAGCGTGCTGTTATGGCCACCTACCATCATGTCACGTCGACTGACCAGGAGCCTCACCATGAACTCTGTCCGGAGGGAGCTCAATCGTGGTGCCGTCATAGAGTTGCCGAGGCAAAAGGTGAGCCACAGCCCCAGCACAAGCACAAACTCCCAGCCTACGTCGCTGCAGCTATGCTGCCCGTCTACCAACGCCTGTCGCAGGTTTCTCTGCTTCAACGCTGCTTGGGAGCAAAAACTCAGAATGCATCTGAGTTTTTCCACTCTGTCCTGTGGTCTTTGATGCCTAAGGAACAGCATGCATCGCCGATCGCTGTCGAAACTGCACTTCATGAAGCGGTGTTGAGGTTCAATGCCGGCTGCTACGAGGCAACTGCAGAAATATCGGTTGCAGTGGGACTTCAGCCGGCCCATCTAGCCCTCCAACGAGCTGCCGAGAAAGATGCCCTACGTCTGCACAAGTCCAGCAAACGACATCAAGACAAGTTGGAAAGGCGGAACAAGAAGAAAGTGCGCAAGAACACTTCTGACTATTCAGCAGGGTCATTCTAAAGCTGAAAATCTGTGTGCAACTTTCAAGTGCTGTTTTCTCAGAATGGATTTTTTCACTGCCGTGGCTGCTCGTCTTAGCGATATCTCAGGAACTGATGAATGGATATTTGTGCTGTCTTTTTTATTCTGTTCTCTAATAACATTGTGAGGGCATAACAAAGCCCTTTTTTTAGAAAACTGTGCTAAAAATTTATAATAAAAAAATTAAATTTGATGAATGTGGGTTTCATTGATTACACAAAATTCAAAGTTGCGTTAAAATTTTTCAACAAAGAAATTTAAGAAAAGGGCTCTGTTATGCCCTGGGGAACCTATCCAGGGGTCATCATAACAAATTTTACGCCGCTACTACCTTTTTCAAATTCTTCAGACCTGGGATAAGGCATGCATATGGACGATTTTGATAAATATTTGTAACTTGAGAAATAATATGCACAGCTCCATGAAACTTTGCACTTACTCTTATGTCTGTGCTATAAATACACCCTGTAAATTTCATTCAGATATCTCTAGAAATAAGAAAGTTCATATTTATTCCCCACCTCCTCCCTTAAGCTCGGTTGCAATATTCCCATAATGCAACGCGCGCAGTTACGTTGACGGCGATGCCGCTCAAGCCGAAAACGGGCGACTAAAGGCGCATCCCCACCGGCGATGTAAGCAGTCGCGCGATGCGACTAGATCGCATCGCAAAAAAAGCTAGATGGTCACACCGGCGTGCGCGATGAGCGAGTCCAACGCCTTCATTGGCGAGTCGTTCCTCAAAAACTCTCGCTCCGAACGCCGTTGATTGGCTCAGCCGCTCCGCGACTAGATCGCATCGCAAAAAAGTCTGGTTGAGTAGCGACTGCTCAAATCGCGTCGCTTTTTGCCCGCGATGGTCGCGTTTGCGATGAAAGTTATCGCGCGACTAGATTGCATCGCCGGTGGGAACGCATCTTAAGAGCTGCGCTCTAAGAAAAACAATGCAGAATTTCAGCTGCAAGGCACTGACCAGAGGGCGCTGAGCAGGTGTCTGGAGCGGCCTTGGAAGGCACGGCCTTGGCCTCCTCGGCCGGCCTCTTCTCGGCCTTGCCCTTGCCCTTGGACTTGGCCACTGCCGGGCCGGAATCCTCGGGAGTTACAGCGCACTCTTCTGGACGATGGAAAAGAACGGCCTCCCTTTCAGTCAAGCCGCTTCGACCGCATTAAAAAAAGCTTACTCCCTCGAGGAACCCCTTAACCACTTCTTTGCATGCCTGTCATAATTCTATTGTTTATAAGTGCCCTCTCTATGCCACATATTCAACTACCTCAATTACTACGTTGTAACTACTGTAAAAAATTGTGTATCTTTTTTTTTTTCTTTTCCTTAGCACTGTTTTGTTGTTTGTGATTAGAGTTTTTTTTTCATGTTGTGCTGAGCATTGTCAACCGGTAACGGTGCCACGTCGAGCAGAGCATATCTGCCTTTTGCCCTTTAATTGGAGATTGTGAAGTCTGAATAAACAAACTAAAAAGTCTGGTCAGCTTAAATTTCTAGCACGGACATTCTCGTATATCTACAGTGCGCTTTGCGCTTGGTAGAAGAGCGTGTTGGTTTAAGTCATGGATGAAGAAAGAATAAAACAATTAAAACAGGGACAACACAACCACATCTTTCAACTAGCAACAGACGAGTAAACTTTCAACAGCGAGCAGCCGACTATACCCAGGAGGAGAAGGGGGGAGAAGGGAAGATAAGAAAACGCGAAGTGCAAGTCACAGTGGTGGGCTTGTCTCGGATTTTAGAAATTCAACCTCACTTTTCGTCAGCAGGAGGGAAGGGTTTGACACATTGTTTTTTGCTGTGGTCATGGCGAATGATTCTATGATCTCCCTGCCGAATCTGCGGGCCTGATCGCCAGTCACCAGCCACAAAAAAGAAAGCCCGATTCGCCGTCACTCCTTACGTACAGAATTCAGCCCACCGAATAAAATCCATTGCCTCAAAGTTCGACACGAGTGTTGCCTTCTCGTGCCGCATGCGTCTTAAACAACTCTGTCAACAAGTGAACAACAACCGGATTCCGATTGGCTGCACTGTTAAACACGAAAAGAAATTCATTCCATGCAAAGAGAAGAAAGTTTACTCCATCCCCTTGAGCTGCGGCCATCAATACATAGGACAGACCGGCAGATGCACCAATCACAGAGTCCGAGAACATCACAACGAAGTTTCTAAGGCCTCTCCAGATTCTTATCATCCCATAGTCATACATGCCCGTTCGTGTTTGCGTTGTCATCCCCTCTTTGAGGGAACAAAAATCCTGGGGGGGGGGGGGGGGCATGACAGCAGATTCGGCAGGGAGATCACAGAGTCATTCGCCACGACCACAGCAAAAAACAACGTGTCAAACCCTTCCCTCCTGCTGACGAAAACTGAGGTTGAATTTCTAAAATCCGAGATAAGCCCACCACTGTGACTTGCACTTCGCGTTTTCTTATCTTCCATTCTCCCCCCTTCTCCTCCTGGGTATGGTCGGCTGCTCGCTGTTGGAAGTTTACTCGCCTGTTGCTAGTTAAAAGATGTGGTTGTGTTGTCCCCGTTTTAATTGCTTTATTCTTTCTTCATCCATGATCTACAGTGTGTTCGTGCAAAATTTTAATTTTTTCTTTCACCGCAAAAATAAACCATTCATCGCCGAATGCAGCGCCATCAGCCTGGACCCCATGCCAAAATTTCCAAACCAACCGTTATCTTATTCAAAAGTTACGAGCGGTTTTCTGAAACTTTCAACTGAAAAATGGAACCCATTCCCGGAACTTCGCGCCATTCGGCCCCGTACGTTCGTGGCTCGCCTGCCACTCCATTCCCATTCACAATGTCAGAAAATTTCTTCAAACTTTCCAACAAGTTCCGAAACATTGGCATCTGGTACGGACTGCCGGTGCGATGTTTGGATGTGGGGACAGTGTACGGCGTTGCCTGTAGTTTATTTTTGCGGCGAGGAACACGCCGTAAATTTTCTTCCAGAGACTTGGCGTACCGACGTACGCACCATAGGCTTTGTCGTGAATGCCGCAGGGGGTGCTCCGCAGGAAAACAAATCCTTGATTGCGAAAACAGTTTTTTTGCAGCCGTGGGACTGCCGACTACAAAATCCAACCCTCGACGAGGGTGGCTCAACACTCACTCTTGGCAATCTCTTTCTTCGCGGTTTTAACGGGTTCTGGCTCGGGAGGACTCTTGTCCTTCTTCTTGTTGCGCTGGTCCTTGGGGTTCTCCTGCACAAAAACGATAAGAGTTTGGCGCCATCCTGCGTCTCCGCTGGCTCGCGCTACTAAACGTCTCTAAAAGCGTTTGCTGAATGCGACTAACGGGCGTCGTTTTGAAGCCAGCAGCACGTCTAAGTAGACGCGAGCTAAAGGAAGCATTGGCGGCTAAGAAGGGGCTAGGCAAGACGGTATTTGCGAGCCCATCCTTGGTCGGTGCGAACAGATCGTTATCTAGAGAGGAGTGACAAGCGGAAGTGATGTGAAAAGCCAGACATGCACATACGTACATACACAAAGGTTCTTATAGCGTAAAATGCAGTATTCAAATATCGATCGGAAAAAATTAAATCAGAAAAGCATAGCAATGGCATTGTATAGGTGCCGACTTTTCTTTATTTGCTTCTGGCCAAGAATCACTTGGTCGCGCGTTCGATTTCTGTCGGGGTGTCCTCCTTTCGTTCGTTTAAAATAGACGCTATGGGTTTACATGTTTTTAAACAAATTTAAACTTTGCGTAAAATGGCGCTGGAACCTAACAGCTTTCTCATGGAATTCAGTCGAGAAGACATATTCCGCGTCAAAAATAAATTGCAAAAGCAACGTCAAGGAAGCCACATTGCCGGCAACACAACCGATACGGAAGTGCTCGTTAATGGTGGGCACTCTTGTTGTCCAGCGATCTGCGGGGACAGTTTTAGTGGCTGCTCTGACCCCTAACACGTCCAGAATATTTACCGCTACAATTCGTTCTAGATGTGCATCTCAACGTTCTGAGACAGTAAGTGCTTCACACTAGAGCCGGCGGTTGCCAGTAATGAGAGTCGGCCATGCCACCGAGCCACCAACCATCCGTTGAACCAGTGTTTTCAGTAGCGCTTTGCAAGTAACGGTGTTACCGCTACTGTGTTACATTTTTCAGTAACATAGTATCATACTTGTTACTTTCTCAAAGCAGTAAGGAGTAACATACTTACATTACTTATTTAAAGAAATGTGTAAAATACGTTATGTTACCTGTTCCTTCTTCCCAAAGCTTAAAATAATTACACTTAAATTTATTTTGTGTTTTTTGGAAGTTCACGGGAATGCGCAATGCAGCAGCAATGCCTCAAGGTCGAAACGGTCCCTACCTCGGGGTCAGCGGCAACGACTGCCGGGGCGGACTCCTTCGGCTCCGGAACCGGGGTGGCCGGAGCGGGCGTCTCGGCGCTGGCGGCTGCCTTCTTTCCTCCTTTCTTCTTGCTGCCTGGGCTGCTCTTGGAACTCTCCGCTGCAGGAATTGCGCGACAAGTCTTCGGGTCGGACGCACCTCAAGATGATGTTGCGCGTGCTTCAGTCACCTCCCACGAATACGTTTCTCGCAAGCACAGCAAATTGAAATGGTCTATTACGCAGACCTACTGCGTATTTGTAGGCCACATACCAGACAAATATGCGATGAATAGCTTAATGATGCTATCGCGTTAATAAGCCTAGGGCACACCAAGCGTCCACCTCAGCAAACCTCTCAACTAGGAATGCTACGCCACGACAGCCACCTCTCTGATAACACCAATGCAAAGCAGTGAAGCTTTTGAGCACGTGCCAGTGTAAAGTGACAAAGTTTCGTGCGATAGTGACGACGCGAAGCAATCTTGTTGCAGGCAGCACGGCCGTTTTGAGAAATGGGGGTTCTAAAGGTCCCGCCCACTGCACCTTTGTCTTACCAAATTCCATTTGATAGGACGAAGCAAGGGCCCACCGTACGGTCTGCCCACCTGCTCTTCAGCTCTCGAATCTAACGAATGCCCTTCCCTATTTTCTCGCGATTATCTTCCGCTTTTGGGTGGGCGCTAGCTCTGTACTTTACAGTGTGCTTGTCCTTCGCGCATGTCTTATGCATATTGGTCTTATAACCAGTTCTTAATTCTATTGCGAACCGATCAATTATATCCCAAGATTTTATGATCTTATGAAGCCTTATCTCTTTGCGAGAGATTCAAAATCTTTGCGACGCTCTTCTGCATTCAAACGCTCCAGGTTTTAAGTGAAATGAGGAGGTCTGACTCGGAGTTTGAGGGTTCGAGGTACCTGCAATACCCTCGCAAAGCAAACTTGCCATTTCCTACTTCCCCAGCAGACAGTCCTCATACTTCAATAAATCTGAAACCACTAAACACTAGTAGGTTCGAAAGGTTTAGACAATATCTAAAGACTTCCATACCTGCGTAGCTGGCTGGCTCAACGAAGTTCGAAGTTTGAGACTTTTTACGCTGACAGATTACATCATTTTTATGTTTTCTGAAGCAGCATGGTAGTGATGACAAATGACTTCCCGTCCGTTGTATTTGGAATTCGCAGGATCATAAGCTTATAAGAATTAAAATTAAAAGCTCAGAAATTTCAACATTTTTTACGATAAAGAGGTTTTCACCACCATCTTTGTGTCAAAGTAATGCATCTTGCACTCGGAGCACTACTTTTGGGGCTGTAACAGCTGGCTTTAGTTTAAATAGCTGCAACATCTCTATTTAAAAAAGAAATGCAAAGGTAAGTTTAAGGAAAACAAAAAACTAACAGAAAAAAAGAGGACGAATGCTTTGAAAATGCACAATTTGTTTCACTCAATATCACATGTAACTATTCCAGTGATGGAAGTGGCATTCAACTTTTTCGTAGCAGTTTTCGTAGCGGGCAAAATGTCGGTTTGTAACAGCCACTCACCCTTTTAAAGCTGATCCACGTGCGATAGCAAATCACTCGAAAATTAAATGATTATTGTATCACTAAATAAGTAAATCTTTGATAATATTTAAGGGTTAATTTTTGATATGAAGTATATTATTTGTTACCTTCTGTAATTATAATACATATGAAAAATCATAAAAAGTACATGACACGCAACTGTCTTTTTATAAATAAGGCTCTGATAAACGTAGGTTTCATCTACAAAGGGGATTTAAAAATATTTATTAAAAATAAATCCCAGTAAGATACTTCAGTTGAGAGAAAGTCTCTCTTCCCCTCCCTCTTTTACGCTTATAGTTAATTTAGCCTGTGAAATATCATTTATGTAAAATTCCGGAAAAAAATAGCGTATCCGCTAAAACGTCAATCAATGAAAATATATTCTACCCAGAATTATGTATGTAAAAAACTCTCGAATGTCATAAACTGTGAAGATGAACCCTTACTCCTCCCAGATATTACAGAGACACCAGGGATGGTTTGCTTAGCTCTGTGGGTACCTGAACAGGTGAATAACATAGTTGATTAATGCTGGAGTTTGGGCTAGTTGGTATACAGACATAGTAAAAAAAAAAAAGAGCACGAAGATGAGCAAAAGGTAACCGACAGGTACCGTCCTTCTGTTGGTTACCCTTACCATATTTTCTCTTTTGTTTTTTCCTCGTCTTTGCAGTGTTTTTGTTTTTATTAAGGGTAACAAAGTTGCAAGAGGAATTTTTAGGTGACGCGACTGGCTCTGCGACGAGAAACTATTGAGTGTTCCAGCCAATTCCACTCTGCAACTTACCTGTTACTTTTTTAAATTCTAGCCTGACAGAACTTTCTCCACAAATGACTTGACATGCCGTTCCTAAAGTACACGCATACTGTTCATTTCACCTTTTTTCTGCAAGGGGGACTTTAATAGTCGAAGCGAGGATAAACTCACGGCAGCCCTTTGGCTGTGACGCCTGGTACCCTTAGTTCAATGTCCCCACGGATCTTGAGAAGTAACCTCAACACCCTTCTTGCGGGTAAGTTGGCCGCCGGGCAAGATAGCCGCAGCAGTCGGCAAACTGGTCCAGGGGTTGGAAAGATTTCCTTTTCGGGTGGCATCCTCTCTATCCCACGAGCAGCAAAAAGCATATCCTAGAGCATGGGTTCCCAAACTGGGTTCCAAGGGAAGCGAGAGTTCCCCAGAGCCCCACGTTCCCAAAAGTTCTCAACCGTCCCCGCTGCCAAGTAAAACATTTTTTTACTGCAAAAATGAACTGCACATGGCCAAACGCTCATTCTCTGCCCAAATGTGGCACTAGCACTCCAAACCAGATGCCAAACTCCCAGAACTATCTCATTCAAAAGTTGGTGATTTTCTGAAATTTTCAATGGGAAAAAGAGGCTCCTTTTTGGCCAATTTCGGTAACTGCGCCATTATTTTCTGAAATTTTCAATGGGAAAAAGAGGCTCCTTTTTGCCCGATTTCGGTAACTGCGCCATTATTTTCTGAAATTTTCAATGGGAAAAAGAGGCTCCTTTTTGCCCGATTTCGGTAACTGCGCCATTATTTTCTGAAATTTTCAATGGGAAAAAGAGGCTCCTTTTTGCCCGATTTCGGTAACTGCGCCATTATTTTCTGAAATTTTCAATGGGAAAAAGAGGCTCCTTTTTGCCCAATTTCGGTAACTGCGCCATTATTTTCTGAAATTTTCAATGGGAAAAAGAGGCTCCTTTTTGCCCAATTTCGGTAACTGCGCCATTATTTTCTGAAATTTTCAATGGGAAAAAGAGGCTCCTTTTTGCCCTATTTCGGTAACTGTGCCATTATTTTCTGAAATTTTCAATGGGAAAAAGAGGCTCCTTTTTGCCCAATTTCGGTAACTGCGCCATTATTTTCTGAAATTTTCAATGGGAAAAAGAGGCTCCTTTTTGCCCAATTTCGGTAACTGCGCCATTATTTTCTGAAATTTTCAATGGGAAAAAGAGGCTCCTTTTTGCCCTATTTCGGTAACTGTGCCATTATTTTCTGAAATTTTCAATGGGAAAAAGAGGCTCCTTTTTGCCCAATTTCGGTAACTGCGCCATTATTTTCTGAAATTTTCAATGGGAAAAAGAGGCTCCTTTTTGCCCGATTTCGGTAACTGCGCCATTATTTTCTGAAATTTTCAATGGGAAAAAGAGGCTCCTTTTTGCCCAATTTCGGTAACTGAGCCATTATTTTCTGAAATTTTCAATGGGAAAAAGAGGCTCCTTTTTGCCCAATTTCGGTAACTGCGCCATTATTTTCTGAAATTTTCAATGGGAAAAAGAGGCTCCTTTTTGCCCGATTTCGGTAACTGCGCCATTATTTTCTGAAATTTTCAATGGGAAAAAGAGGCTCCTTTTTGCCCGATTTCGGTAACTGCGCCATTATTTTCTGAAATTTTCTAGGGGAAAAAGAGGCTCCTTTTTGCCCGATTTCGGTAACTGCGCCATTATTTTCTGAAATTTTCAATGGGAAAAAGAGGCTCCTTTTTGCCCAATTTCGGTAACTGCGCCATTATTTTCTGAAATTTTCAATGGGAAAAAGAGGCTCCTTTTTGCCCAATTTCGGTAACTGCGCCATTATTTTCTGAAATTTTCAATGGGAAAAAGAGGCTCCTTTTTGCCCGATTTCGGTAACTGCGCTATTATTTTCTGAAATTTTCAATGGGAAAAAGAGGCTCCTTTTTGGCCAATTTCGGTAACTGCGCCATTATTTTCTGAAATTTTCAATGGGAAAAAGAGGCTCCTTTTTGCCCGATTTCGGTAACTGCGCCATTATTTTCTGAAATTTTCAATGGGAAAAAGAGGCTCCTTTTTGCCCAATTTCGGTAACTGCGCCATTATTTTCTGAAATTTTCAATGGGAAAAAGAGGCTCCTTTTTGCCCGATTTCGGTAACTGCGCCATTATTTTCTGAAATTTTCAATGGGAAAAAGAGGCTCCTTTTTGCCCGATTTCGGTAACTGCGCCATTATTTTCTGAAATTTTCAATGGGAAAAAGAGGCTCCTTTTTGCCCGATTTCGGTAACTGCGCCATTATTTTCTGAAATTTTCAATGGGAAAAAGAGGCTCCTTTTTGGCCAATTTCGGTAACTGCGCCATTATTTTCTGAAATTTTCAATGGGAAAAAGAGGCTCCTTTTTGCCCGATTTCGGTAACTGCGCCATTATTTTCTGAAATTTTCAATGGGAAAAAGAGGCTCCTTTTTGCCCGATTTCGGTAACTGCGCCATTATTTTCTGAAATTTTCAATGGGAAAAAGAGGCTCCTTTTTGCCCGATTTCGGTAACTGCGCGATTATTTTCTGAAATTTTCAATGGGAAAAAGAGGCTCCTTTTTGCCCGATTTCGGTAACTGCGCCATTATTTTCTGAAATTTTCAATGGGAAAAAGAGGCTCCTTTTTGCCCGATTTCGGTAACTGCGCCATTATTTTCTGAAATTTTCAATGGGAAAAAGAGGCTCCTTTTTGGCCAATTTCGGTAACTGTGCCATTATTTTCTGAAATTTTCAATGGGAAAAAGAGGCTCCTTTTTGCCCAATTTCG